TTTATGCATGCGGCTCATTCTTCAAGCACGGGTAAGAGGTGTCCAGTCCAGAGTGAAAATCGTGAAGATCATACTCCCGTTCCACCATCTCCATCAATTGCTACTCCCATGGCGGTTAGTCCTATGCAAGCAAATCAACATGATCAGGAAAATGGGATGAAGCAGATAGCACTTTGAACCAGAATCAAGAGCAGTTATATGACACATTTCATAAAACTGGTCCTGATATATCAGTTGACAACAGCAGCGACATCCAAAATCCTGAAACCTCAACCATCTCTACGTGCATGGAGGTGGACAGAGTTCACCAGGAAGATATTTCAAGAATGAAGGATGCAAGAACCTTGGAGTCTTGCGTTCAACATAGTTTTTAATGAATTTATTCTTCTGAAACTGTAGGGGAGCAGTGAAACCCCAGTTTCAAAATTCGCTTTTTCTGTTTACTAGGAAATATAAGCCTAGTATTGTAGTGATTCTAGAACCTCGGTGTAGTGGTCAAAAAGCTTCTGACATTATCCGAAAATCTGGGTTTAAGCATGCTTTTGTTCAAGAGGCAGAAGGTTACTCAGGGGGTATTTGGATCCTCTGGAATGATGAGACTGGTCTCGTTGAAATTATTAATCACACAAAACAGTTTGTTCATTTTAAAGTTCAGAATTTTCATGTTCCTTCCTTTTCTTGCACGGCAGTTTATGCGAGTCCTAGGGAAGAAAATAGAAAGGAGCTATGGGATGATCTGCTAAACATTAGTCTCCATTGTAATGGGCCGTGGTTGGTGGCTGGGGATTTTAATGAAATAGCAAATCGGGATGAGAAGAAAGGTGGCTGTAGAGTTAACTTAAACAGATGTTCCAATTTTGCAAATGTTCTTCATAATTGCAAGCTGCTGGATCTTGGAGGATCAGGTCCTTGGTTTACATGGAAGGGTCCGAAGTTTCTTCATCTTGATCGTGTTTTTAAGAGGCTGGACCGAGCCTGTGCTAATGCAAGTTGGAAGACTACCTTTACTGATGCTGGCGTTAAGGTACTTCCACGGATTTATTCTGATCATAGTCCCATTTTGGTCTACTTGTCTAACTTGGACACAGGTTGGAAAAATCGTCCCTTTCGCTTTGAGATTGCTTGGATGGAGCATTATAACTTTACTCAGTTTCTGGCTAGGAGCTGGAATGTTGTGAAAGACACTAGAACGAATCTGCATGATCTGACTCCAAATTTAAAAAGATGGAACAAGATAGTCTTTGGCAACATTTTCAATAGGAAGACTAACCTATTGCATAGTATTGCAGAAATTCAGAATCAAGTTGATTATCATACCAACTTATCTCTCCAATCTAGAGAAAAGGAGGTTAGGAAGGACCTTGATGCGGTTCTCATACAAGAAGAGATCTTATGGTTTCAAAAAGCCAGGGTGAAATGGATAAATGATGAGGATAGAAACACCAAATTCTATCACATTAAAACAGCTACTCGAAGAAGTTCGAATAGGATTCTTGAGTTAAAAAATTCTGATGGGATTTGGGTGAAGGAAGCTAGACAACTTCATCAATTGGTAACAGATTTCTATAGCAACTTGTTTAGTGAGGAAGTCCTTAATCGTGATTGGGTGAAATCAAAGACTACTTGGCCCCTTCTGCACGATGATCTGCTATCTAATTTGACTCGTAATCTTTCGGATGACGAAATTTCAAAAGCTGTTTTTAGTATCAATGGGTCAAAAGCTCCAGGGGAAGATGGTTTTCCAGCTGCCTTTTTTCATAAGAATTGGAGTCTTATTAAGACTAATGTTATTAAGGATGTTAACATGATGTTTCAGAATCCCAATCTGATTCACCTTGTGAACTCGACTCTTCTGGTCCTCATTCCAAAAGTAAAGAGACCTGAAAGTGCTAAGCAGCTCAAACCAATCTCTTTGTGCAATGTCATTTATAAAATCCTCAGTAAAATTCTGGTTGACAGAATGAAGCCCCTAATGGAAGAGATGGTGTCTCCCTTCCAAGCTAGTTTTGTTCCTAAACGACATATCCAGGACAACATCATCATCACCCAAGAGCTGATCCATTCAATGCGTAGAATGAGAGGAAGAAAGTGTTTCATGGCAATTAAAATCGACTTGGAAAAGGCTTATGATATGTTAAATTGGGAGTTTGTTCGTAAAATTTTGGATGAAATTCAAATCCCACACTGGTTCACAAATATTATCATGAATTGTATCAACTCTGATAAGGTCTCAGTGCTTTGGAATGGAGCCATTGCAGGTGACTTCCTTCCTTCAAGAGGAGTTCGTCAGGGTGATCCTTTATCTCCCTACATTTTTGTTCTAGCCATGGAAAAATTGTCTCATCTCATTCAAGATGCGGTTGACAATAAGAGATGGAAGCCAATCTCCGTGGGATCAAAAGGTCCTAAGATAGCCCATCTGATGTTTGCTGATGATTTGATGTTGTTTGCAGAAGCTTCTCTAGATCAAATCAAAGTTATAGTGGATTGCTTGGAGACTTTTAGTTCAATGTCTGGCCTAAAGGTTAGTATTCCGAAATCTAGTATTTTTTTCTCGAAAAATACAGATGCTCACATTGCAGATGATATCACAAATGTGTGTGGCTTCAAGCAAACTCACAATATAGGGAGATATCTTGGGTCCATGATGAAACATGGTCGAGTAACCAAAGACCATTATGCTGATGTTGTTGCAAGAATTAGGCACAAGTTATCTGGTTGGAGTAACCAGGTCTTATCTTTTGCCGGTCGAATTACACTTTCCAACTCCGTTATTTCAGCAACTCCTATATTTCAAATGCAACACAGTCTGCTTCCTGTAGCCATTTGTGATGAAATAGAGAAGTTGCAGCGTGCCTTTATTTGGGGTGATAAAAATGGTCAAAGGAGATCTCATCTGGTTGCATGGGATAATATTTGCAAGCCTAAGAGCATGGGTGGCTTAGGGGTGATTAACCTTCGTGTCCAAAATATGGCTTTCTTTCACAAGCTTGCATGGACGATACTTACTTCGCCCGATTCGTTGTGGGTTCGAGTTGTAACAAGTAAATATAAGAGAGGTTTGGATCTTCGGAGGGAAGTAAATCATAAAGCATATGACTCATACTTCTGGAAAAATCTGTGTAGTGTTTGGCCATCTTTTCTTCAAGCAATGCAATGGGAGATTGGAGACGGTAATAATGCATTATTTTGGACAGACAATTGGTTGGGTTTAACTGAGTGTCTTGCCTCTCTGGCTACTCGTACTCCAACTGGTTTGGAGTTGAATCTCCCTGTTAGTGCCTTCGTGAACAGCAATACTGGTCAATGGAACTTTCCCTATATTCGTCAATATCTCAATGATCAAGCTGTTGCAAGGATCCAAGCTGCTCTCATTCCTAGCGCATCGGATGGAAATGACCGCATTATTTGGAGAAATCAAAAGGTTGGCTGCTCTTTAGTTAAAACCGCGTATTATAACATGCTTGGTTTCCCTCTCATGCCGTTGAAAAATTCTTGGACTACCATATGGAAATGGCATGGGCCTCAACGTGTTAAATCTTGTATGTGGATCATAATGCATGGCCGCCTTCTTACTAAAGACCGCACATCTAGATGGAGTGGGGAATCTGGTCATTGTAAAATATGTCCTGGTGAGTTGGAAACAAACCTCCATGTTCTAAGAGATTGTAAGCATGCTAGAAGTGTTTGGAATTCTCTGGTTTCAGCTAATCGGCAAAGCTTATTCTACAGCTTGGATCTTAGAGATTGGGTTGAAAATAATATCTCAAAAGCCTGGAATCAAAGTAATTCAGATGATTGGCGTGATGTCTTTTTTATCTCTTGTTGGTTCATTTGGGGATGGAGGAACAAAAGTGTCCATGATACTAACTTCAAGCATCCAACCCATGGAACGCACATAATTGCTATGTATATAGAGGAAGTTCGTAACTGCATGGGTAGGAAGGCTATGGCTACTACTAGCATTCATCCAACTCGTATGAGTTTATGGAAACCTCCAAGGTTAAATTGGGTGAAGATTAATATTGATGGGGCAGTTGAAAGGAATACTGAGGTGGCTGCTTGTGGTGGGATTATCAGATCTGATGATGGCTCTTGGTTGGGAGGCTTTGAGTATCATATTGGTGCTTGCACTCCTTTAATGGCGGAGCTTTGGGGAACTCTAAAAGGTCTGGAATTGGTTTGGCAACTGGGATTTAAGAAGGTGGAACTAGAAGGATATGCTTCTGAAGTATTCTCTTTGCTTGCTGATTGCAATGCAGCTTGTCAGCCTCGTATAGTGGCTAAGATACAAGCACTCATCGGTCAGGATTGGGAGGTAACGCTTTCTCATATTCCAAGGGAAGCTAATTCCTGTGCTGATTGGTTAGCCAAGTCTGCTCTTCACAAAGATACTGGATTCTGGAGTCATAGAGTTATGCCGTTTCACCTTGCTCAGTTATTTGATCACGATCTTCAGGGAATCTCCTCTTGTAGGGGTATAGACCCTGGATAGTTATTTTTTGTTTCTGGTTGTTTGTTTGTTTTTGTTTGGGGCTTCGCCCCTTAATGTTATCAAAAATAAAATAAAATAATAATTCCCTTCCTATATAGCTTGCCTAAATCAAAAACCTTGTTTGCGTAGGCTTCATACTGACAACCATATTCTTGAGGTATGACAATCAAAATATCACAATTTCAACCATATTCGTAATTGACAGGTAATTTCTTTTAATAATGTAATTAATAAGTCATTGAAATGGTATTGGAGGACATTTAGTGTAAAATTTAATTTGCTGTTGGGAAGGCAAAAGTCAAAACGAAGTGTTATTAAAATGGGTTAGTAGGTATTGAACTGAAAATTTTAAACACTTATTTTTGTAGCAGTATGAACGACAGAAACATGTAGATGTAGTTAATTGTAGACTTGCTTTTGCATCTCCTTTTTATTTTTGCAACATTTATTTATTTATTTTGTAAGTTGGTTCTTCTCTTCAGGGTTGCATATATCATTTGATCATGATCTCTTCTTTTGTCAATGAGAAGAGAAGAGGCATTAGATTATGTGTCGTGTACATTTATTTGTATCTTTCAAAGAGTCCTAAAGCAGTGTTTCTTGTTGAGATTAACAAGAACCTTGAGAAAACAATAAAATCTTCAAAAATAAATATGATAAGTCTGTGTATACTTCCAAAAATCAGTATAGAAAGTGTGAAAGACAGTTTAGGTGATAGGACCCTATGGCTCATTAACTGCTTAACCTATGCACTACCCTTCATCAGATCGTTATTCTTCATAACTAACTTCGTTCTATTTCCTGTCTTCCGCCATAAAGGTTCCTGATCATGTATTTCGGTCCCAAGAATTAAAGTGGTTCCTCATATATTTATCTATTTAATTTTGCTAAGGCAACATGAAGCACGAGTACTTGATTGTGGAAACAACTTGTCCCCACCTCAGACCAAGGCATCCCTGCAGGGGTTACTGTTAATTTTGCCGCACGCTTTAGAAGAATCCGCTCGTATCATTATACTCTGAATAAATGCAATCACCTGAAAAGCAACGTGTGATATGTTAATTTGTTAATTACATGGTTAATAAACGTTGAAAGAACTAACTGACGCATGATGATGAAAAATTTAAACAGTCAGCAGACGAGCTTTCATTAATTAGATCTACGATCATTTAACCCGAGTCTTGATACTCCATGTAAATTAATGCTCCCAACATATACCAACAATTTCAGCACACATCCCGATCATGGTTCAACTTTAGCATAGTTAAAATATTATCATTTTGTGACCAAAAACATATATTTAGTTTGTTTTAGATATTATTTCAACATGTGTGAATTGTTGAGATATTCAAGTGTGATGAGTCCCACATTAGTTGGTAATGTGCTAAGTGAAGAGTATATAAGTGAAAGGACCAATGAACTCAATGCCTTAAGGTTTTGGGTTGAGATGTGGTGTCAGATCCACTTGGTGTACTTGGAGTAACTTGGCTCATTGGTGGTGGTCCCTCGCCACGGGCTTCCCCTGGACCCACCTGATAGTGGTATCAGAGCCGGGTTGGGCTCGAGCCAGCCTGGTGATTGGCTAGGAGGCGGGTCGAGTACTTTGCACGGGCTTTCCCATGGATCCACCTGACATTGTTAGGATATTAAGTGTGATGAGTCCTACATTGGTTTTGGTGATGGGCTAAGTGAAGAGTATAAGTGGAAGGGACCCATGAACCCAATGCCTTAAGGTTTTTGATTTGATTGTGGTGTCGGACCCACTTGGTCTACTTGGAGCAACTTGGCTCATTGGTGGTGGCTCCCCGCCACGGGTTTCCCTTGGACCCGCCTGACATTGGTATCAGAGCCGGGTTGGGCTTGAGCTAGCCTGGTGATTGGCTAGGAGGCGGGTAGAGTACTTTGCGCTTCGGGTACTCGGTTGAGGGGGAGCATACCAATGGTGGGTTTCACACTTGAGGGGGAGATTGTTAGGATATTCAAATGTGATGAGTCCCACATTGGTTGGTAATGGGCTAAGTGAAGAGTATATAAGTGGAAGGGACCTATGAACCCAATGCCTTAAGGTTTTGGGTTGAGACATGGTGTCGGATCCACTTGCTACGGTTGGCGTAGCCTTAACCTATTAGTGGTGGCCTCCCCCCACGGACTTTCCCCTGGATCCGCCTGAGATGAATGAGTTTCGCATAAGCCCTATGTTTGGGATAGATCCATTCCTAGCCAATGGTGTCTTCTGTTATTCCTTTTTATTTTCAGCTAGTTACAAGCTACTAATTAGAGTTCAAAACATATACACTATTAGCGATGAGAATTAAAGGAAACCATATGACGTATATTTATCATATCATTCTAGGCTTAATTTTCCCTTTGTAACGAAGAGCTGCTAACTAAACCCCCACTAAGTGCTCGATCATTGATTTATGTTCTAATCAAGATGGCAGGTTTTCTTACATTAACTAATAGAGAACCCTTGAGGGAAATATCATCTTACCAGTGCTAGCCCAAGGCACATTAGGCTGAAGCCAGGAAAATAAAACGGTGCATCTTCCGACAGGAACAAGGCTGCATAGATGTAGAAGCTTATTAGTTTCTATAATTTTTATAAAAACAAAATAAGTTCCCTTAGATTATGCTCGTCATATACCTGTCAGTGGACTGAAAATCAACGGAGAAATGATGTTGGCTAAGGAACTAATTCCCGAAAGACATCCTTGAACCATTCCCTGTATCAAATACTGATCAGTTAGACTATAAGCAAAAACAGATGATCATTTTTGTACATCTGAAGATGTGATTGAACCCAAGTTGTCCTACAAGGCTACAAATTTCTCCCATGGAAAATATGAAAAGAAGAAATTAAAAAAAAAAAAGCAGGAAATGCAAGTCCTTTGTCATTAGACCTGTTCAGTCGGTCCAACTTGTTTGGATGCAATGCTGCATATCTGTGCAAACAACGATGTGAATGATTAGATTACTCCTTCCCAGTAGTCAAACGCAACAAATTTATACAGAGCTTAACAAGAAAAATTACATTGAAGGTCTAACCGAATACCAGTAAGAAACTTACACTTGGGCGCACAAAAACTCCAAAAATAGAGCAACCTGCCAGGGCATAAGGAATCTGCATGGTTTTTATCAGTTTTGAGGAATTCTTTTGAAAGGATATAAGAAAATACAAAAATGAAAGCGTTTGAAGTAAGTAAATTACCCAAGGTGACCATGATATGCTGTAGATAAAGATCTGCATAACATCATATATTGTGAACCATCAATACTCTCTAAATCTGCTCATTATGTGGAGCTAACTAAGAGTTTCAGGTGAAGGTGGTGGAACTTACACTGATGGAGCTAACAAAGAGCCCTGTGGAGAGCAACTTCTCCTCTCCTATAGCAGGCAATAGTAGGGGCATGAAAAGTAGCTGGGGATTTGCAAGTATCCCAAAGCAGACAGAAATAAGTCAGCAACGTTACCCTTCCTATAGAATGATGAATTTTAAGAAGCAAAATAAATAGCTAAGCTTGGACTTGGGCGGGCCTACTTGTGTAAGAGTTGCTCCAATCCCATTAATTAGCAGCAAATCCGCATATTGGTTCTTGTTGAATTGAAAACGGGCCTTTAAATAATACTGCATGTCGTCCAAGATTTAATTAATTACAGGGCAATAAAAACCTTCACGATTTTCGGTGGCATTAGGGCCTGAATTGCTCATTCTGCCTCTGCTCTCTGCACTTTGAACTTCTTGTTGCAGACAGATAGAAAAGGGGTGAAAATTTAGTGGGATGATTTTTTTTCCTTCAAATTTCACTCCCTGGCTCTTGTTAAATGGTGAAAAATGGGCAAAAAGAATCAATTATATCTCAAGAGGCCATAAATTACAGGGCTGGACTAAAATTAAGTTGCACTTCAATTTCAATTGTCATTTTTTTTTTGGTACCTAGCAAATGAAAGTAAGTTTTATTCCAAATTTTCCTCTGCCAATTATAAGCACAATCAGTCTTCACCCTAGAAAAAACCTCCGTACAATAATTAAGGTCCTTGACTATCTCAAAAGTGTTGCCTGCTCAGATTTGACAATCTTCTTGAGTAGAGAGAGTAATAATTTACCAGCAATGAAGCCATCAACCCGCCATCTGCAAGGCTGTTGAAGAACAAAACAACTGCTGCTTGTGAAAACGTAGGGCTGCAAGATGAAGCTTCTCGGATCAATGAGTTCGTACAAAAAATTAAAATAAAAAATTAAAATAACTCTTTTTGAAAATAAATAAAATAGCTTATATATATAAAAATTATAACAAGAAAGTAAGTTAAAAATAATTTTCTAAAAAGCTTGGGTATATCCCAGACCCCGGTAAAAGATGCTGCATTCCTCACTCACCTACACTTGAGCAAGGAAATTAAATCCCCCAGGGAAGGCAGCCTCTTGAATGGTGCTGTAACTGTTGTAGTTGGCGATGAGTCATTCTCACAAAATTGTTCATCCTCTTTCAACAACGGTTGCCTCTCACCAGCCACACTTTCCTTCAGGAAAATTCTCATGTACACTGCAGCAATCATTGATAAGACTGCTGCAACCTGAATTAATAATAAAGCAAATCAAAGTAAGAATAGTAGTGTTAAACAAACAAACAAAAAAACAAAGATTGAGTGGTAGAAAATGAAAGAAGAAATTAAGAGGGAGGACAGGAGGACATGATGAGATGGAATGAATAAATTACCTGAAATGTGAAAGCAGTAGAGAGGAAACGGGCAGCTAATGTTCCAACCACGAATGAAGCTGATCCTACTCCAGCTAGTATTCCAAATGCGGATGCTCGTTTCCCCTCTGCAACCTTGTCTGCCTAATAAAAACAAATAATTAACAAAAAACATCATCCAAATCCTATCTATTTTACTATTTAATTATTTATGGGATTTGGGAAGAAATACCATACCATACTGTCCATACATGATACATACCACATATCCAAGAGCGAGGCACTGTACGCAGCCTTCCACCATGGCAGCAAAAGTCTTGGCCACATAGTATGCGTAGAAGAAGTTGGCACCCCTGCTATTATATGCCAATATCACTGCAAATATACCCTACAATATATTAGGCCACTTCAAGTTCAAACAAATATATGCCTATGTCCATGCTCACATACTTTAAATATAGAGTAAATAGTCTTGCTCCCTCAAATATCTACTAAATTTTTTTTTAGTCTTGACAATAAAAAATGACTAAATTGGTCGTTAAAATTATGAAAAAAGGGTCACGTTAGTCCTTATGTCAACTCTTGTGTCCTAACGTGGCCCTTATTACATCTAATTTAGTCTTTTTTATTGCCAGAGACTAAAAAGAATTTCGTAGATATTACCGGCACAAAGAGTGTCTACTCTTAAATATATATATTCCCGCAAAGATTATATTTGAGTATAAAGAGAGAAGAGAGTCAAGAGAGAGAGAGACCTAGAGGAATCACAGATACGGTCAGAGGAAGTGTGAGCAAAGCTTTCCTGCCGTATCGGTCTGACAAGTTTCCTATTAAAGGAGTCAGCACCACCGCTCCCACTCCCGTCGCCTGCACCGCCAAACCACCCATTAATGTGAGCTTTTCGGTATTTATTTAACTATTTCTTAATGAACACTTTAAAATTATTAAACACAGGGAAAAGGTTTTCCGGTGTCAACGGATATAAAATTTATTTACGTGAGTTTAAAATATCGTCGTTTTGGACAGAAATCAAAATGTTTTTATAATTATAATATATTGTAAGATTATATTAGTCTTTATTATTATAATTTTTTAATCTTATAATTCCAAATAATTTTGAATTTATTAAAAATAATTTTATTTCCGGTAACTAGAACTTAAACACAACTTAATTTAGAGTATACTTTAAAAACAAAAAATACCACAGTAATGATATTAACTATCCTTTTGATTTTGTAGTCCATAACGGTATTTTTTTAAAGTACCATATTATTTTTTAAAATTATAAACTATTTTAAATATTACTGTCTAAATTATTAAAGTTGTATACTCATAAAAGTTACGTAATTTTATTACCGAATCGATCTGGAATTTATTTTAAATAATTTTGATGGATAATTAATTTTGGAAAACTAATTTATAGTTTTATTGTAATCGAAACTTTATTAAAAAAATAACATTCAGCAATATTCTTGTTCGTGAAAAAAATATTTAAGTAATGTAACCTAACATATCCAAAACTATGGAGACAAAATTTTTGGGCGGAGAGACAAAGTTAAAGAGGGATGATAATCAACGCAGGCACAAAAATTAATTCTAACTGCATTACTCCGTGCAGATAAACTCCCAACCCAACTAATGTTAAACTTTAGAAAATCTTTCAGTTTCTAATAAAGTTTTAAAAATAAACATGATATAAAAATTTTAGATAACAACTCCTTAAAATTATATTATTTCTAAAATGATTAAGCAAAAGTGTATCTATCGTTCAATTTTTTTTTATTAAAGCAAAGTTTAAGTGAGGTTAGACACTGATATTCAGTTAGGGTTAAGAAATATCCTCTAACCTCTTTGAGAATTTTTGAAAGAGATTACATATCATCCATCAATAAAATTCTCACATAAGCTAGCGGAGTTTGAATCCACATCCTTAAGAGATATAGATCAAATATTTAGCCAACTGTAACCCAGTTGACTATCTATCCTACCCTTAATCTCAACTCATTAAAATTCAAGAATAAATACATCTGTATTTAATTCATTTTAGAAATAATTTTATTTTAAAAATAAATTTTGCAAAAGTTTTTATTATTAGATCAATAACTACACGGATCAAAGATAGTAACATACCAACATTGTGTCCATTTAAAAATTAACTTGCATTGAGGTAGCTTTGTCTTGTCTAAAAATGCCACTAATTAATAGTCTTTTTTTTAATACTTTATAATTATTAAGTGAAATCTGATATGGATCTCACTAAAAAACTTAGCACACTACCCGTTAGTTGTGTCAAAACAAGTGTTAAAAAGAGCTTCTACCTTTTTTCTTGCCTTCAATTAACTTAGTTCTCTCATATCTCAATCCAGCAGGGCTTAAGCAATCTTTTTAATAAAATATGACTAATTCAATAATATTTATGTTAAGGTTAATTAATTCTTATTCTATTTTATAATTTTATTCGAGTGTTTTATACATTTATTTTTAATTTGATAAATTTATATATTTTTTATTAAACATTATATATATATATATAAAGAGAGAGAAACAAAATATTTACGTCGCTATAAAAATAATAAGTTTCATTGATTAAAATTAAGAATATACCTTATAGCAAGTGTTTTTATAAGACATCAGATTATATTCTGTAATTTTATTTATTTTTTATTTTTTTTGGTACATGTAATTTTATTTAGTTAGTTATTCATAAAACTAAAGATTTAATGCATCTACCAATCAAAAGCTGAGCCCTTCGGAATGGTAGGTTGGAACTTAGAAGTTTGAAGTTTAGGCGGCGATTTTTAGATACTCAAGCCATCTGAAAAGCCACGTGTATCTTGAACCTCCGCATAGCAATTAAGATAAAACCAAAGGTGAAAATAGTTTAATCGAAAAAGAAAAAAATGTACCTTAATTATATCGTTCAAATATGGAAAAAAAACCTTGATGGACCATATATGGGATGGGATTTGAATAGTTATTTTGAATTTTATGGGAGTGCATGGAATGGAAGCATGGAAGAGAGTGAGAGGCAGAATGAATTAACACTAACTATCCATTGTGACCCATGAAAGTAGCATTCTGGCTAGACAGTTTTGATCAGAAGAGCATTATATATATACATATATATGTGTGTGTGTGTGGAATAGACTATAAGACTATATATTATTTACAGATATACTCACAGCCTGCTGGAAGCCGGTGAGGTAAATGGCAAGCGAACACTGATCTTGACCTGGGCAAAGCGCCGCCATCGTGACGTCGGTGATTGCCGGAAGCACTATGCAACCAGACAAGCCTGTCAGAAACATTGTCACGAAAAGATGCCCCAACCCTGTTCCGCTTACCGCTTCCATCTCCCTAACTCAATCCTCTATGTAGCTCTTCTCTTTCTATATTTAAGAGTGAGTTTTGCACTCAAAAGAATGTCTGCTCTGCACAATATATATTTGGGTCACTTGTGCCCAATTTGTCTGTGAATTAGACAAAGACAAGAGACAGGGACAGGGACAGAGATAGAGCGAGCTTGACCAAGAGAGAGAAGAGATAAGATTCCAAATACCCTATATTAAAATGGAATTATTAACCGAAACACGACTCAGGAAAGCAAAAAGACGAAGGAGACGTAGCTTCTAAGTTAATTGCTCTATCTCTATGTATATGGTTTTAAACGGTGGTTAATTATGGCCATCGCATCGACAAAAGCATAGTGGGGAGTAAGTAATTGCATGCTTTCCTAAATCATATTTTCGTGTCTTTTACTGTTTCACGCTTAGCCTCTCATTTTCAATCCATAGCCAATGTTTTTTCTTTCTTTGTCGCACTGCGTTATGAACCATCCAACTTACTTATCATTTCCTCAATACTACTTATTTCTCATTATATTTGTGGTGCTGACCAATAAGACCTTCAAATTTTGAATTAACAGAAAGACAAGGAAAATAAAAAAACAGAGTAGCGAACAAACAAATCATTAGTTGGAGATTTGAATTAATTTCGTATTCTCACACCTAGTTACTTATGCTTGCCCTAATTAAGTAATTAGCTGCCTAGTTAGCGGGCGTAAATTTATTTAGGTAATGATCGCATAATAAATGATACTTTTGCAGTTTCGGCTCCGCAAGAAAAGGCTAGATATGGAAAACACTCTGTCTTTGTCAAGATGGCGGTGAGACAGAGGGAGCAGATTCAGAGCCGTGCAAAAATGTAAAAAAAATGGAAATGTCATGGATATACGAGTGAAAACTATTAGGGGAACACAATATAATTATAATACATTATTATTCACTTTTCGTTTCTCGATGTTTTACTTTCTTGTTTTCACGTATACGAAAGTTTTGATTTGAGGAGAATTCTTAGTTACCACAAGTCCACAATAACTGAGAATGTTTTAGGAGGAGCTAATATACAATGTCAGAAAAGTAAGTGGGTTTCTTGGAGTGAAAGACACAAATTAGGTCCATGAACATGATTAAAGTTAATTGTTCTCTAAATTATCCAATATCCAGCACAAACAAATAATTAAAGTTCAGAATGTGCATGCTTTTTTAAAGGAATATATCTTGAGTCTATAAACGTTGGGCGTGTCGAAAGTAACCTGTTGATCAATTATTGTACCATGAAAATGTCTAGCATGTGAAATGACCTTCGCAGTTTCCTACAAAAAAGGGGTTAAATCTGGAAGAATTTTGCCACTGTTGAAATAGTGATCAGAGGAATCCTAGGAGTTATAAGACGATTGATCATGAACATATATTCATCGAAATAGTTAGTTGATGGAATATGTGACTTATAATTTGATTAAGTTGGTTACAGTGAGTGATGGGATTAATTAAATTGCAACTGAACTAAAATGTTGGCTAATTATCTAAAAGAATCCAAGCTCAAGCATTCTCTCAATTCATGGGTGATGGCTCGAAGATCCGTTTTTGGGCGGATAATTAGATTTTGATGGGGATCTCAATGAAAAGTTCGTTTCTCATATCTTCTTTTTCTTTTTTCTTTATCTTTACCAAAAATCTAGAAAAGAAAACTGTAAGATTCAAGGCTAAGTGAAAAAGGGCAAATATCACCCAAACTTTAGTTTTGTTTATTTTGTAAGAACTTATCTTTTTCTTTTTGTGTATCCTCTAAATGTTGAACTTGCAGTAAGAAGATACTTCGAAAAGAGAATAGCTTTTGACTGAGCAAAACGGGGCATTTCATTTCATTCCACAGTTTAACGACTTAAAAAGGAGTAAAGAAACCTCCAATCCCTCAGCGGTGAGTAGTAAATACTTTTTAGTTTTTTGCTCCTTAAAAAAAAAAAAAAAAAAAAAAGAAAGAAAGAAAGAAAAAAGGGAATCTTTTAGTTTTTAGTTTTCGGCTGAAAGGGCCGAGAATACTGAATACTTGATCTATGGTTCACACTCTCCTCCACAGCACCCAGCAGGAGAGGTCCATACAAAGCTGAAAGCACGTTATTCAGTTTTGTGGGCTGAGTTCGTCTCATTGCTTGGGCCATCAATTCTAGACAGTGATACATACACTGTCTAGAACTTCCTCTATCTTTCAACTATTGGATCCAATTTATGTCCGAAAACTGTGGACTTTCACGTTTCATTCTCGAGTCCAATCAGATTGCTGCCAATGGTTTCGTTACAGTTACAGCATTCTTTATAACTGGTTTCTTTAAGCCAAGAACGCCGTAAATATTATGTTATAAAATCCGATCCATCCGGATCAATTCAGAAATCGCTGGATCGGTTATGTAACTCTCCAATTTTCATATTGGACCGACCATATTATAGAATTGATGTGATCCAATGTGATCTGGTAGGTTTTGATAAAAACTAGTAACCTAGTCCGTGTAACTGGTTACTCGGCTAATTCATAAAATAAAATAAAAATTGGTTTGTTCTTATCAATTGATGTCTTCCTTCTTTTCATTCTCACACATAAATGGTTTGTTTTCTTTTGAAATATTTGAGTGATCTGTAGCTTATTAACTTACATAGGTTATGTACTTACAACACTAATATTATATTTGTTATGTAATATGCAAGAAATTTTGATTTGATTTATAGTTAGAGATGTCGTCTATTGAATCTGAAACACCAGTATCACAAGTATTATATGTTCAATTGATCTTTTGTTCGACAATAATGTGTAATTTATTTATTATTTCATATTGAAATATTTAAAATTTGTATCATTTTTCTATAGGTATTTAATTATATTTATAGTTTTTTTAATATAAATTATAGATTTACATATACTTACCGGGTCATGCAATTAAACCAGTGATTTAATATCTCAATCGGGTCAAAATAACCGGACGAGTTTAATAACATTTAATAACTACATTCTAACATGATGTCAGCAAAATAATAATAATAATAGCAATAATAATCTAAGGGGAAATGATTTCTCTTTTTTAAAGGATGTAACTTATGTTTTTTTAGCAATTTATAACTATGTACTAAGAGTAGTACGTAGTTATAATATTAAAGTTATATTTTTTTCTCTCTCTTTCCAGACACGGACATGGAAAGTAAAAAAAAATATAATTTTAATATTATAACTATATATTATCCTTAATACTTAGTTATAAATTACTAAAACAACATAAATTACATTCTCTAGACTGACAAATTTTTAACCCATAATCTAATCTGTAAACTAATATTTCCCTTTGTGTTTGAATGTAAACATGCTTTTTCTATTTTTCCTTTTTTTTATTTCTATTATTTGTCAATCAATTACTTGTTCATGTTTAACTAGAGAGCGCAATTTTCCAAAAAAAAAAAAAAAAAAACTAGAGAGCGCAAATACAGCTAGGGCCTGTAGTTTCTTTTGTTATATACACATAAGGGGAAAAGCCCCAAAACAGCAAAACAAAAAACACAAACAGAAAGCAAAACACAAAAACAAAACAGAAGGCAGTAGCAGGAGATCAATCCGATGCAGCAGACAAAGAATGATCCAAGGAGTTCACTGCATCAGCAAACAGCAGCTCAGACAACAGACTATCAGGGTCAGAAATCAGAGTGGTACCCTAAGAACCAGAGAGGGTGGGTGCCCTGTAGTTTAATTAAACTATAGTTGTGTTTGATTTGATAAAAGATGAGGATTGATATTATGAAAATTGTAAAGAACCTTGGATACACCACCCCAAAAGCTAGCTCAAAGGGTGGGAGTGTCCAATACTCACACGAGAGCCCATTGGGCTTGAAGAGTAGATGATGCAACAGGCTCAGCCTATCTGTGTTAAGAACCTCCACAAGAGAAAGTGGGGGGCGGCGAGACTCTGATACCATGTAAAGAACCTTGGGATACATCACCTCAAAAGCTAGCTCAAAGGGTGAGAGTACCAAAGGCCTTATAAAGGCCACATTAGTTGCACATACAACCAATGTGAGACTATATATCTCAACACGCCCCCTCACACAAGAGCCCATTGGGCTTGAAGAGTGGATAATGCAACAGGCCCAGCCTACCTGTACTAAGAAATTCCACAAGAGAAAGTAGGGGGCGGTGAGGCTCTGATACCATGTAAAGAACATTGGGATACACCATCCCAAAAGCTAGCTCAAGGAGTGAGAGTGTCCAAGACCTTATAAACTCCACATTAGTTGCACATACAACCAATGTGGGACTATATATCTCAACAAAAATATTTATTTTATATTGTTTTTAAAAATAGTCCTTGGACACATATAGTTAGTTACAACAGTTGTAACTGACTGTCTATGTAAACATTTGGGACCCACCTTCTCCTGTATTTGTCCCTCTTATAACCCTTCAAGGGCATAACGAAATCATCTTCATACTCAGGATGAATATTGTCAAAATCGAGTTTCTACCTAGAGAGGAAGGGACGGTAGAAACGTAAATCGTAAAATCGACACGTAACGTAAAGTTTTTACTACTTAAGGTTAAGATACAAAATTATAAATATACGCATATAAAAAAATCACATAAGTCACTACTGAAAATTCAATGAACAACTTCATATTTAAAAGATATAAGTCACATAACTATATAAGACATAAGTTCAAAAACACAAAAAGAGTTTAACAACTCCTACAACCAAGTTTCAAAACATCAAAAGAATAAAGTTTAACAACTCCTAAATTGTATCAATTGATTCAAATCAAACACATCGTCTTGCATCTATTGTATGTCCTCAATGTCCCCTTCTCTTGCTCCTATAACGAGTTCATTTGCAATAAAACAATAAAACATGAAAGATTGATTCAAAACCTACTTCAGCTTGGCACTCAAACTTTTCACTAGTGGCTTCACCCTCTTCTTTATTTGCAACAGCAACCTCGTGCGAGGGTTTTTTTTCCAGATAACTAGAAAAAGATACTGTGCATTTTGATTTAGAGGAAATGAAAATTGGTTTTTAAAAATAAAAATAAAAATTGGGCCATAGGTTAAAAGTTGACTTGGTTCAGTTTTTTGCTCTTTTTTTTTTTTTTTTTTGTATAAGACCCGGTTTAGTATTTTTGTTTAAATAAAAATGTAGAAACTTGCGTTTCTATTGTTTTTATGTTATTACGCAATGTTTTTACCAGTTTTTGCTTACGAATAACTTTAATAAAAACATTTTTACACTAGTTTTTTACAACAATGCCTGGGATTGATTCAATTTTGGTTTCCCTTATTTTATAGGTCCTAAATTATTCTTCTATATCACACCTTGGAAACTCTGGCACAATAATTGTAGTAATGTGTAATCCATGTCTTACGAAATTTCTCTGGTTTTTATTAGTGCTCACTGTAGATAGTTCATTTCCCTATTCTTTGTTTTGATAAGCTGTTGATGCATGTGCAAAAGGGTCTTCTTTTATCATTAATGCTTGATTATTTAACTGCTAAGGTTCCGTGGCATCTGATCAACCACAAAATTGTATTAAAGTAAAGTATGAAGACAAGCTCATTCAACAGCAATACAGAAACATATAATTGGTAATCCTAATTCAGAGAAAACTAACATACGATACTGAGAAAATTTTACAGAAAAGATAATTATTATGATGGTGGTTATTGTAGATATAAAATTACAGCTTAATAGCTTAAGTTTTTGCGAGAATTGATTCTTAACATGATATCAAAAACTCTATGAGCAAGTGATAAGGAGTTTGATTCTAGCCACCTGCCTTCTTCTGAATAAAAGTTAAATTGCAGCACAAGATAGAATCAAATTGTGCATTGCCGACACTTCAAGCTCGAGGGCCCTTTGTGTGAGGAGACGTATTAGATATAAAACTATTCATCTCCTTCACCTAATATCTTAAGCTTTTCTAGAGAGTTTGTTTTTGATACTTATCATTATCTTCACCATCACCATCATTTAATTATTTCTATTTCTTTTAGTTTTCCCTAAGTGAAGCTTGATGCTTGGGGAAATGATGTGGAACAAGGGAAGACTACTGTTTCTTTGAGTGGTTTATAAGCTGTTTGAAGTGGGTTATATTGGCCTGAAATAACAAGCAGTTATAATGGTTTTCTTTTTAATAAAAAATAAATTCATCGAGACCGGGAGTAGAAAAGAGTTAGGACTCAAAAAAGAAAAAACAATCAAGAGAGAACAACAGAACATCAACGAAGCAAAGCTTCCCAACCCCCAATATATGTGTAAGCGAAACTCCTTTAAAAAGACCATGTGCTTTGCACCAAGTGGAAGCCAAACGCCTAATCTTGTCTCAAAGAAGCTGCTCATCCAAAGAAATCTCCTTAAAGATTTGTTACTGTTCAACTGACTGTTTAATACAGTCTATTGAGTCTGCATGGTAATATAGCATACTTGGAAAATGCTCCTAGCAATTTATATGGGACACTTAGGAAAATTGATGGTAGAAAGTAGAAAACTAGCTGTTCGTAGGACTCTTAAGAGAATGGATTTCGATGTTGCAGAGACAGAACTAAAACATTTGGCTACTGTCTGACAGTAGCGTGAGCAGTTTATATTTGTTAAGAAGGGGAAGAGGAGGGTAGTTTGCATTGCATGTGTTTCCATCAGTAGTCCCCTCGTGCTCATATAAACCTGTCTTAGGTCCCATTCAGACTTAAGAAAAAAGTAGGGTAGCATAAGTTCACTCATTCTCAAGCTCAGTCTTCCAATTTTGTTCTTGTTATTTCTCATGTACGAAGAAAACTTGGAAAATTCTTCAAAGCTGACTATGTACCCAATTGTCCTATTATCTGCCTGAGTTGTGTGATCTTTCGTCCACTCTCACAAAATTTTCTGACTCCGCTGTTTGTGTTAATTCTTGAGCCAAGTTTGCTGTAGGTTATTACTTTACTTATTAGTATTTTCCATTTCAACACGGTACACATCTGGGTGGTGTACATGTGAGTGTGACCCTTGTTGAAAATATAACTTGCCGAATTTGAGAATCTCCTATATTATTGACTTGAAGGTCTTTTCCTTTTTGCATCAATTGTAGTTTTTTTTAAACATCCTGTCGAATCTGTAGGTTTGTAGATACTTGATAATTATATGAGAAACCGTAATGGACCATTGGTGGATTAGAAATCAGGCTTATTGTTTCCTGATAGTTAATGCGGCTTAATTTATATTTTTATGATAAGAGATCTGTTTTAGCAGGGGAAGTGGTTTGGTGCAGTCCCATTGAAAGAAAATGTCTGAGCACATGACTGCAATGTAGGATGCTGTGCATTCTTCAAATTAGTTAATTGAGACAGTATTTATCATTTTTAAAAAATAAATGAACATGTGACTGCATGTTCTTCTGGAACCTTACCAGTCTTTAAGATTTATACGTTGGACTTTACTCCTATAGATTTATATGGGACCTTTGTGATCAAACTCAGTTGAGCATAGTCAAGCATTTGTAATAATTACGTTCTTCAAGTTTAGACCTCATAAAATATCATCATTGGGACTCGCAATTGCGTTAACATAATCCATTTCTAATTCACGTGGAACCCTTATAGTTAATTGCCAGTTCTACATATATTAAATGGGGAATATGTGTCTCATATTACATGAGATAATTTATCTCATGCAGCACACATAAAAGTGGGTGGAACTCATTGTGTTGCATAGGATGCAACATGAGAAACATTTCCCATATTAAATTTAGGGGTTTACTAATCTCATGTTACATGAGATAGTATTCTCGTATGGGTATCATAAATATGTGGTGTTCATAATATCAAAAAAAAAAAAAAAAATTGGCACGAAATTCTATGATATGACATAAGATAAACTCTTTTATGAAACATGAGGCTATTATTTATCTTAAATTTATTCTAAATTACTACTTCAAATGTGTTCTCAAGTTGTGTCCCCCTTACACGTTTGCTTTTCATATATCTGATAGCCTCTTTTATAATGACAATTATCATTAAATCAACATGCTGATATCTTTATTCTTTATTCTAGCATCATTAACATGGAATTCCAGTATGGGTTTCACGTTGGCATCACTAGACAGATTCTCATTTCTGTTGATTACGTTAATCTAGAATTGCATACCCTTCAAAAGAATAGAAGACACAGAAAAGTATATCTAGCAATGCTTATATCTTTAGTTTGTTTTATGATAAGCATTGTTGATAATCGCAGTATATATATATTATATCATCTAATTTTATGCAGAGTAGATAGTGATCTGACTAAATATTATGTTGAAGGTTAATTCACCTGATGAAGGAAAAGGATGCAAGGTAAAATTTGCTCAAAATGAACCTTTTTTTTTTTTTTAATAATAACAATTATCTGATATAATTGACAGTGATTTGAGAAACTCTGGTGGTCTTATTTTTCTCCAGTTTTTTGGCGCCCTGGATATCTCAACCTGTATACATTATTTTGATCTTCTTTGTAGATTTTCCAGGTTACATATATTATCAGTTTAAATTAAAGCTAGCAGCTTGTTTAGGATGACTGAATAAAGTATGGGGGATGTTTAAGTTGATTTCTTTCCCCACAATAACTTGTACCTTACAGTAGCATGCCTCACAGTAACAATGACTGAAAGGCTCAGCACCAAGTAAACTCACTATTTGGTTCCATTATATTTTTCATATTACCAAAATATATACATGGAGTTCGTCAATTTAAATAATTATTTTAATAAGGCGCCTTTTAGGGACTATCAAATCAATAGAGGGTAATTTTCAATAGCTGTATTGAAAATAAACAAGGTGCATTCACTCTTCATTTAATCTAGTTTAACGACATTGAGTCATTACATAATTTGAGGGTTTCAAATATCTTTACTTAGCTCAATTTATAAGAGATATTTCATTTTATATAGGCCAAGAACATCCTTTGTGTGGAATGTGAAGTATTTATTTATTTATTTTCATATTTTTAGAAGTGAAAAGGCAGTTTAGTTTATGAAAATATTTTTCACTTGCATATTAGTTTCAGATTTTATTTGTGTATTAATCCTTAAATTTAGAAAACTTGTGTCATTAGTCGTTTTGGTATTTCTGATTGGGACTCTCGCGATACCATGTGTCACAATAAATGACTAAATTGCCACTGCGGAATATTTTAAGAACAGCCTATTTAATCATTTTTTGCTTGTTAGCTGGAATGAACAAATTAGGTAGGGATAACTTGTACTTAATTGTATATATTTTTGTCGAAGGCAATTTTAATCCATATCCATATATATCACATTAAGGTAGAGTTCATCAAGGATTATTAAGCAAACAAGTTTTGCCTTCTTACTAGTTTAGGTATTCAAGGTCTGCGGGACATATACCACACAACTAGAGCTGAGGCCTAGTATTATTTTGAAATTTAGTTAACAAGTCTGTCTGAGATTCGAAGTCACTGACGGTATGAAAATTTTCAAGTTTATTGTTAAGAATGGCATCAGCTCATGAAACATTTGGGATGCTGAGCAGATCAATACAGCTTGGTTTTATTCTATCCATGTGAATGTTATTTAGAGCTATAGTTTCGTTTTAAAGGATTGGTCACCTTAAGCAAAACCATGTATACAAAATTCGAAAGAAAAAACATGTATGAAACATCTCGAAAGCCGGCTTATAATGCCTAAAAAGCAAAATGCCAGTGGATGGCATGGAACAATCTCAATTTGGGTTTGTATGACCAGATTGGACAATATACAAGAACAAGAACAAAACGAGCTTTCTCACCAGACTGCTGATTCTTCAATCACCATTATTCGTTCTATCTGAATTTCTTTGTTTAGGAGCAAGTCGCGGCCTCAGCTGTATGGCATATAAGTAGGTAAACATAACCAAGTAAAACGCAAAAATAGGGGAGAGAAAGAATTTAAAAATTAATAGTAATACTAATTAAAAAAAAGGGGGGGGGATTAAAAAGTTTCAAAAAAATAATTAATAATTTCCAATATTGTTAAGCACATAAACCATTGGAGAATGGGAAGACGAATTGATCTGTAGTCCAGATTCTAATATTCCTAGAAAAATTATAACTTTAAGGTGCATCCTGAAAGCCTTTGTCCCTGTTCTTATTATTCAAACCTGTCGTTAAATTATTTATTTATTCTTAATTAAGTTCTTACCCTGAACAGCACACAAACAGAAGTATAAACCAACTACTAATCAATAATCAAAATTCTGCAGTTTAAACATACCGCTTCTATATACTTGAGTTGCTTCAGAACTTGATCTGTTTCCACCTCCTGCAGCAAATAAATAGGGGAAATGGCTAGAGTTCAGTGACACAACAATGATCATAATACAGGATTTAGTAAGATATTGTTAAAAGCAGTTGAGCTGAAAAATAAAGATCCGCATAGGCCCACTGTATTACACAATACCTGAACGGCCCATATGGTTGGGCTGGCTAAAGTCTAATTCAGTTGCATAATAACTGGTTTGTATGGTTTAAGACAAACAATACTTCTAAGAAATGTAAGTTTGAACTTGTATTAAAAAGATGAAAAAAAAAAAAAAGGAAACACCGATAGAAAGGGGACACACGAAAATATATTAACTAACGAGACTTTGAAGTTACAAAACATCGACCTAACACCTCTATATAGTAAAACAGCGACTATGAAAAGACGCTTACACCCTTCATTCTGGGTGCACTACATGTGATTATTAAATTAACCAAGAAGACAGATGATGGTAATAATAATAATAATAATACTATATTTCTCAACAATATGCCTAGTGCATCTAGGGATGCTTCGTGGTGATGTGTTATATAAATCTCTCTTCTAGATATTAGGATTGCTTTAATTTATGATTCACATAAGACGAGCAAAAACATGTAAGGCACAACACTGACAATTCACTACATCACTCCTACATCTAATATCAGAATATTGAATTGCAGTATCAAATATTTTAAATACATTTTCATATATTCGAACTTTACTGATAGTAATCTGATACGAACAAAACTCTATTTAAAACAAATACTTCTGCCAATTGTATTAATGAAAAGAAATCACAGTTCAAATTCACTCTGTACAGCAATTTACTCCTGATTACGGTATGTAAACTCCATCAACAAAGAAAAGGAAATACTCAGCAACACAATACAAATACAGGGCAAATAAGAGATGCCCTGAGTGTCTCCCAAGCCTAGTCTATTTTCCAAAATGACCAAAGATAGTGCTCACAGTGCAACACGGCACTATATCAACCAACAACGCTCCACTCACGTAACTAACTTCTTACTCAAGTGGTTGCATAACAGACTTCCTTGGTGATTCAGCACTAACCACATTTTTTATGGGCCACACCACTTTTCTATTTTTATCCCTCACATAAGTTTTAATGGGCCTAACTCTATCAATACTTCCCCCCAATTTAAGCACCTTGTCCTTAAGGTGGGAGTGAGGAAATAAACCCTGTAACTGCCCCAAATCCTCCCAAGAATTCTCAAAAGAGGGTAAATGTTTCCATTTAACCAGAACTTCCACATTCCCAACAGCACCATGGCGCCACTACAGTACATCTTCAGGCTCCACCTTGAGTTCCCAATCGGCAGAAAGCATGGGAGGTAATGGTTGAGCATTCTCCACAGGTTTTAACGCCTTTTTCAACAAAGAGACATGAAAAACTGGGTGTACACGACAATCAGTCGGAAGCAAAAGGCGATAGGCAGCAGGTCCAACTTTCTCCAACACCTCAAATGGACCATAATAACAAGGACAATTTGTTTTCTTGGCAAGAGTCTTCAGTCTATAGGGTTGAATCTTCAAATAAACAATCTCTCCCACCTCAAAGTCCACCTATCGCGATGCTGATTGGCCTGCACCTTCATGCGATTCTGCGCCTTAACCAAATTGAACCGAATTTTCATCCAAAATAGCATCTCGTTCAGTCCGAAGCTGAGAAACTGCGTCAATACTTCCAGCACTGTTACCTACGCGCAGAATGTGGGGAGGATCACAACCGTACAACGCCTTGAAAGGGGTCATACCCGTGGAATCCTTATAAGTGGTACTGTACCAAAATTCGGCCCAATGAAGCCACTTTGCCCACTGTTTAGGCCTAGGGTGACAGAAGCAACGCAGAAAAGTTTCCAAACAGCGGTTCACCACATTGGTTTGGCCATTAGTTTGAGGGTCCTACACTGTGCTATAATGGAGTTTAGTACCCGCAAGCTTAAATAATTCAGACCAAAAATGACTGAGGAAAACCTTATCCCTATCAGAGACAATGGTTAAAAGGAATCCATGCAATTTAACCACCTCTCGAACAAACAAATCTGCCACTTCCTTGGCTGAATAAGGGCAAGACAAAGGTAAAAAAATGCGCATATTTGGTGAGCCTATCACCCACCACAAATATGGTATCCACACCACTGGCTCGAGGAAGACCACCCACAAAGTCCATAGAAATATTGGACCAAACTTGCGTAGGAATTGGCAACAGCTATAACAACGCAGGCAGGAGATAAATTCTGCACTTTATTCTGCTGGCAGATTCCACATTCAGCCACATATTGTTTACTAAACCTCTGCATACCTTCCCAATAAACTACTACGACGATCCTTTTGAAGGTCCTATAAAACCCCAAATGACCTCCCATACGAGAATCATGGAATTCCTGAAGGATTATTGGAATAAATTTAAAATTCTTCGAAAGCACCAATCTGTCTTCAAAAAATAATCTGCCACCAACCAAAGTAAAGCCTGAATGCGAGTCAAGCTTTAACACAAGATCCTGAATGATCTCCCGTAGTTTAGGGTCTTTCTGAACCTCCTCCTCCCACACTTCCAATATCGACAGTTGAACCTGTGAAATTGCAGAGAATTGCATTTGCCTAGACAATGCATCAATGACAACATTATCTCTGCCAGGCTGATATTGTATTTCGAAATCATATCCAAGAATTTTCGAAGTCCATTTGTGCTGCTCCTCTCCTAACACCCTTTGATCAGTCAGAAATTTTAAGCTTTTTTTATCTGTACGAACAATAAAATGCCTCCCTAAAAGATACGATCTCCACTTCTGGACAGCAAACACAATGGCCATCAACTCCTTTTCATAAACAGATTTTGCTTGAGCTCTAGGAGAAAATCCTTGGCTGATATATGAAATTGGGCGATTATCCTGCATGAGAACAGCCCCAATACCTTTCCCGAAAGCATCGATCACCACTACAAAAGGCTTAGAAAATTCAGGTAAAGCCAATATCGAAACTGTATACATTTTCTGCTTCAACAACTAAAACGCAGTTTCAGCCTCGTCATTCCATGAGAATAATATAAACCATTAAAAAGGCCCTCACCCAATACTTTAAGGTTTTAGGTTGAAGTGGTTCTTTACATGGTATCAGAGCTTCAGTGACCACGAGGTCACGAGTTTGATCCTCATCACCCCACACTTTCTAGTGGAATTAAATAAACACAAGGTAAAATCAAAAAATTGGGCCTGTGCAATATTCATGCTTCAAGTCCAAAGGACTCTTGCGTGAGAGGGTGTGTTAGAGAATAATATAAACCATTAAAAAGGCCCTCACCCAATACCTTAAGATTTTGGGTTGAAGTGGTTCTTTACAAAAACAATTTGTTGAGATATATAGTCCCACATTGGTTGTATGTGCAACTAATGTGGCCTTTATAAGGCCTTGGGCACTCCCACCCTTTGAGCTAGCTTTTGGGGTGGTGTATCCCAAGGTTCTTTACATGGTATCAGAGCCTCGCCGCTCGCCACTTTCTCTTGTAGCGTTTCTTAGCACAGGTAGGCTGGGCCTGTTGCATTGTCCACTCTTCAAGCCCAATAGGCTTTCGTGTGAGGGGGCGTGTTGAGATATATAGTCTGCAACTAATGTGGAGTTTATAAGACCTTGGACACTCCCACCCCTTGAGCTAGCTTTTGGGGTGGTGTATCCCAAGGTTCTTTACACAATTTTTCTTGAGCAAATTAGTGAGAGGTCTAGCCAATTTTCCATAGTCTTGTACAAATTTTCTATAATAGCCAGTGAGTCTTAAAAATCCACACAACCCCTTGACATCTTTGAGAATAGGCCAATTCAACATTGCTTTAATTTTCTGCAGGTCAGTAGCCACTCCCTTGGATGAAATAATGTGGCCAAGGTTCACTTGTGATTGCCCAAAATTACATTTTTTTCTATTAGTAAAGAGACTGTGACTGCAGAGAAACATGAAAACTTGTTTCAAATGCTCAAGATGTGCAGTACGATTGTAGCTGTATATTAATATATCATCAAAGAACACAAATGCAAACTTTCTTAAAAAAGGTTTCAAAACTTTATTCATTAGAGCATTAAAAGTGGAGGGTGCATTAGAAAGACCAAAGAGCAACACCAAATATTCATAATGGCTCTCATGCATTTTGGAAGCTGTTTTTGGGATGTCTTCATCCCTCATTCTTATCTGATTATATCCAAATTTGAGGTCTAATTGGAAAAAATCTGTGATCCACCAACTTCATTCGATAATTCTTCCACCATCGGGATATGAAATTTGTTTGGCACCGTGATTTTATTCAAATCACGGTAATCAACACGCAAACACCAACTTTCATCTTTACTTATTTTTTACTAAAATAGCAGGGCAAGAAAAGGGGCTGATGCTTAGTCTGACTGTTGCTCAACAATTCTCCCACCAGTTTTTCAATCTCAGATTTTTGATACTAAGGATATCTATAGGGACAAATATTAGAAACAAATTTACCTGGAATTAGAGTAACAACATGGTCCTGTGCTCTCTTCGGAGGAAGTCCCTCAGGTAAGAAGAAAATGTCTTCGAATTCCTTGAGAAGCTCTTCCAACTCAGACCAGTCAAGGGGTACAGGTGTAGCGAAGTCCAAAGTCAATTCATAATTCACATAAAATCCCTGACCTCCATCATTAACAGCCTTGACTACTGTTTTAAACGAAGACACTGTACAAGAGAGAGATGGTTCACCCCATATGTGCTTCTCTTCCCTTTTAATGCCATATTTGAAAGTCATATCTCGAAAGTTGGCCTTAATTTCTCCTAACTCTTTCAACCAATCCAACCCCAACACTACATCCACTCCCCCAATTCAAACAGATACAGATCTTGTCTGATCAAATTACCTTGCATTACAATTTCCACTTGCCTGCACACCCCTTTACTCGACACCTTGTGCCCATCTCCAACCTCCACCTGATAACAGTTGGTCTCTTCCACCACCAACCCAATACGTTCGACTAAGCTGCCCTTGATGAAATTATTCGAAGCCCCACAATCGATCAACACCACTACCTTAGCTCCAAAAAAATCTCCCCCTAAACCTTTATAGACTGGCTAGACGTTAATACTGGCTAGACGTTAATCCCATTAAATTTTCCAATGACAACTGTAAAGCTAATTCTTCATCCTGCTCCAACTGCGAACATAACTCTTGTTCTTCCTCAGCCTCTGATTTTTCAGTTCCTTCTTTGCCATCGATAATCAAAAGGTGGAGTTGCTTTACTGCACACTTATGCTCAGGTCTCTACTTTTCGTTACACTTGAAACATAAGCCTTTACGCCTTCTTTCTTGTGCCTCCACCTTTGACAACCGACAGAATTTGTTACCTTGACCATCAAACCCGTGCACTGCCATCCCACATGCTTGACTTGCCATGGACCCCGTGTTTTGGTTACTGCTCACTGAATTAAGGATTGCTAAGTTCACATTTGTGGAATTTTCCCCTTTCGTATTACTTCCGTTGAATTGAGTCCAATTACTTCTACTTTTACCCATTGAAGTGGTCTTAGTAGAAACACTCACTTTGGACCCAAGTGAGATGATTCCCTTATCAGCCCAAGCTATATTCCTTTGGTCTATCTTTTGGGCCAATTTCATCATAGCAGATATCCAAAGGCCCGGAGTCATTAGAACTTCTTCTCTTATACTGGGCCTCAACCCATTAAGTCATGCACCTTTAAGGAAATCTTCATCAGCATAACGCATCGTCCCAATCACGCCTTCAAACACCATCGAAATTCCGCCACCGTGTTGGTTTGTTTCAGTGCGTATAATTGTCCAAAAGGGTTATCTTGCAACTCCAGCTGAAACCGATTCAACACCTCACGCCGAAATTGAACCCACGTCAAATTCGGATTCTCCATTGCCCACCACTGAAACCATCCTAATGCCTCTCCCTCTAACACAGTCATTACCGCTCTCACCTTCTCATCGTCACCAATGTCATTGACGACGAAATATCATTCAACTCGACTTAGCCAAGCTAAAGTATCACTCCCTGTGAATGTTTGAATTTCCAATTTCTTCATTCCTCCGTCGATCACAAGCGTCCTCCGGTCACCATCCCTCGCTCCTTTCGATGCTCCCTTCTGTGGCCCGCCATTGTTAGACCCAGTGGGATCATCTTCTATTCGCAACCCTCTGATGTTTGATGCAATGGTTTCCAACTGATGCATAATCTCAGTTTGCCTCGCATCACTGACATCCATTCTTCACAGCAACTCGTTCAGTCCCGCTTCTGTCCGACGAACTCATTCATCTAAACTCTCCCACCGATTCTCCATGTTTCGGGTAGAAACCATCCATGATACCAAATTGATAGGAACAAAACTCTATTTACAAGAAATACTTCTGCTGATTGTATTAATGAAAAGAAATCAGAGTTCAAAATCACTTTGGATAGCAATTTACTCCTAATTACAGTATTTAAACTCCATCAACAAAGAAAAGGAAATACTCAGCAACACAATACAAATACAGGGCACATAAGAGATGCCCTGAGTGTCTCCCAAGCCTAGTCTATTTTTCAAAATGACCAAAGGTAGTGCTCACAATGCAACACGGCACTATATCAACCAACAACGCTCCACTCACGTAACTAACTTATTACTCAAATGGTTGCATAATAGACTAAGTGATTCAGCACTAACCACATTTTTTTATGGGCCACACCACTTTTCTATTTTTATCCCTCACATAAGTTTTAATGGGCCTAACTCTATCATAATCCAAGATGTTTCATACTTAACATATCAATATTATGTTTTATACGAAATTTAATATCCATTAATATATTAGTTGTGTTGTATCCATATGTTTATGCCATGTTGTCATCACACTATTATGTTGTGTCCCATGTCCTGAATACATGTCTCTGCATAATACTGATTCACAATAACAAACACAGCAATTGTATACGCAAGAGCATGCTGATCTGGCCATAATCGATAAAGGTTTGAAAAAATCTCTAATCATAGATAACCGAAAATGAAATACAAACATACTTTAGTGAGGTTATAGAATTACATAATACTTGGTCTGATAACATTCTATGTTGGAGAAGATTTGCTGAGCAGGTAGGTAGAAAAAAAAAATTGAAGTCTTCCAACTCAAGATTAACAAATACTAACACCTTTCTATACGACAATCATCAGAAAGGTGAAAGTCAAAGTATTAAAATATATTTCACCTGAGGTACAGCACAATCAGCATGATATGGATCCCAATGGATTGCACAGAAGCATTCCCAATCATCAGTTTGAACTTCAAAAAGCGGAGCCCTGTCAAACAGATATATTTGCTAGATTAAGGCGTTTTGAGCACAATCAACAAGAGACTTATTCTCACACTTTATTCATTTCTCCCTTCTGTATACGAATCATCTTCACCAAGAAAGTAGCAAAACTAATAAAAGGAAATAAGTAGAAAAGGTGTGTGATAATGAGGAAAAGGACAATAAAAATATTTAAATAGAGTTTATGGGAAAAGAAAGATAAAGTAAATCTCTTTATCCTTTGAGCCACTCTATAAGACAAAGCTTCGGTTTTACTATGATAAAAACCAAAGAATGTTTAGTCAGTTTAGGGGGGCACTTTTTTTTTTTTCAGATATAAAAAGAGGATAAGATATCCTCCTAAAAGAGAATTGGAAAAAAGTTTTTAGCTAAAAGGAAAAAAGAAAAAAAGGCAGCCTAGACAAACTAATTAGCTAAGCTAAGCTCGCCAATTTCTCTGTATATCCAACAAAGAAATCCCTCTAAATTAACCATTGACTGTGCAACATAAAGAGCCTTAAAAGTCTACTTTATCCAAAGCAGAAGAAGCATAAAAGTTATTATCATTGAAAGTTCAGAACCAATGCTCCTTTCAGTATAATAGAACCTCTAGTGCACAACCACAAGCCTTATGGAATAGTTACCTAATTCTGGAGCTTCCAGTCATATTACAAGTGGTGTTCAAAATTTGATACAAAGCCAACAACTCAATGTTTCAGACCAGGTCTTTATTGGCAATGGTCAAGGTTTGCCAATAACAGCCATTGGCTCTTCTTCTTTTCATTCTCCTTTTGACTCTAAAGTTCAGTTTCATCTTAATAATCTACTGTTAGTTCCTTCCATTACCAAAAACCTTATGAGTGTGAGTAAGTTTGCAAAAGACAACCATGTATTCTTTGAATTCCATCCTAACATTTGTTTCGTAAAATCACAGGACTCACATAAGGTTCTTCTCAAAGGAACTGTCGGACCAGATGGCCTTTATCACTTCTCATATATACGCCTTTTTCCATCCAGTACTTCAATGGCAGCTGCACACTTAGATAATGTGTCCTCAAGCCCTCGCCTATTATCTGTTCAACATGATGCTTGTAATTCTGTATCTAGTAGCTCATGTATGTCAGTTACTGAAACTAGTCCACAAAATAATTTTTCTGGTTCTTCATATTCTCTGTGGCACTGTCGACTACGACATCCACATTATGATTCACTCAAAAGTGTATTAAAAGCTTGTAATATACCTTTCAATAAAATGAATGACGATTTTTGTTCTTCTTGCTGTGTTGCTAAACCCCATCGTCTACATTCTCCTTCTTCTAATACTATATACCATGAACCTTTTGAACTGGTTTACAGTGATTTGTGGGGACCTTCATCAGTGAAATCAACTTTGGGATACATATACTATATTTTCTTTGTTGATGCTTTTTCCAAGTATACTTAGTTGTTTCCACTTAAACTAAAATCTGATGCATTCATTGTTTTTCAACAATTCCATGCTATGATCACACACCAATTTCAAAAGCCACTTAAGGCCCTTCAAACTGATTGGGGTGGAGAATTTAGAATCTTCACCCAGTACCTTAAACTTCATGGAATAAACCATCGGATCACTTGTCCACATACTCATCACCAAAATGTAGTAGTGGAAAGGAAACATAAACATGTTGTTGAGACTGGACTAACCTTATTAGCTCATGCATCTCTTCTCTTACAATTTTAGGATTATGCCTTCAAGGCATCAACCTATCTAATAATGTTGAGATATATAGTCCCACATTGGTTGTATGTGCAACTAATGTGAAGTTTATAAGACCTTGGGCACTCCCACCCTTTGAGCTAGCTTTTGGGGTGGTGTATCTCAAGGTTCTTTATATGGTATCTAGAGCCTAACAAGAGGAATCTTAATCCGTTTAACTTAGTTCTATTTTCCATAATTTCAATATGGCTATAGAGAGATATCACCCTCCTTGAGGGATTCCCGTTGCTATTTCTTTTTCGGGTTTTTCTTAGTATACTCTGTGACTGCAGCTTAGACTGATCTGTCACATCATAAAAGAATGATCCTTGGGAAGTTGTTGGGTTGACCACCGTTGTCGTTGACTGACCACCGTTGACCGCGTCGTCCACCGTTGACAGCCGTCTCCGGCGACTTTTCCGGTGACTTTTCCGATGACTTTCCGGCGACTTTTTCGGCGATCCACCACCGTCTCCGACGACTTTTCCGACGACCCACCGCCGTCTCCGGCGACTTTTCCGATTCCGCGAAGCTTTGTTTTTCTTTAATCTTCTTTCTTCCCAAGATGGAGTATTTATACTACTCATCATCCATCTTGAGGGGGAGCACCGTCCATGTTGCTGATGGTCATTCCAGCAAAATTGTCTTTGTCGATGATCATTCCGGCATCTTCCATGTTGATGTTCATTTCGACGCCATTTTTAGCACATTGTTGATTTTTGGTTTCTCATTTAGGAGATTTATTTTGATGTTATGTTACTTGGTCTTTCTTGTAATAAGCTTGTAGCATAGTCAAGGGGAAACCACGGCTGCTCACCAACTGTTAAATGAAATGTCTGAGAGGGATCTTGATGCTGATGTCCTGGTCAGCTCAGTTGTCTTTGCCGATGATAATTCCAGCACCATCCATGCTCTGATGTCCATTCCAGCACTGTCTCTTTATCAGCTCTTCAGACTGATGGTCATTCCAGTTGATTTGTTGTACTTAGTCATTTCATTTCGTTGATGTAGCATTGTTGTTTTTGGTTCCTAATGGGAGTATTATTTATGTATCAAGCTTGTAGCATATGATCTATATGCTACAGCTTGAGGGGGAGTGTTAAGAGTGTTAGTGTTAATAGTGTAGAAGTCCCACATTGAGTGTGTCTCTTTGTATTCTTCAATTGGTTTGCTATATAATAGCACCAATGTTGTGTAGTTTAATAAAAACAAGGATTACTATCATTTCCTCTTGTATCTATGATATTCAACAAATAAATATACTTCCATCAGCCCCAACTCATTTTAAAGTACCCTATACAAAGTTACTCCAACAAGCCCTTGACTACACCGTTCTAAAAATATTTGGTTGTGTTTGTTTCCCATTTTAGAGACCCTATAATAAACACAAACTGGATTTTAGATCCAAGGAATGTGTTTTCCTTAGATAGTCTACAAATCACAAAGGCTATTATTGCCTTAGCCCTAATGGAAGAGTCTATATCTCAATGGATGTACTCTCCAATGAACATAGATTTCCTTATTCCTCTTGGCATGACAAGTCACAACCCACTGCTCCTTCTTCCTCTTCTTACTCTGTTCCTTTGTCTATTCTGCCCAAAGATTTAAAAAACCAAACCTCATTAATTAAAGCACCAACTCCATAACCTTTTCAACACACTGCCACTTCCTCTTCATCTGATAACGTGTTGGACACTCCAGCCCCAGTTTTGGACACTCCAGTCTTTTCCCTACCTTCAGTTGCCACTGAAGCACATGGTTCCACAAGGTCAACCTCTCACACACAGTCCCAACATGCTCAGTCTGATCCCTCATCCACACCCCTCAGCCTGCCCTCTTCCAATAACCAGAATTCCCCTTCTTCTTCCGCTTCCGGCTCCAGCTTCCCTTATTCTACCTCAGAATATGTCCCATCTGATTTTAGTACTCCTTCCCCAACCCATTCCATCACTACCAGGTCTAAAACATCAGCCAGAAACCTTGTTCTCCTTACTCATACAGAACCTTCAACAGTTAAACAAGCTTTGTCTAGTCCAGAATGGTTGAATGCAATGCAATCTGAGTTTAATGCATTATTAGCTAACAAAACTTGGTCTCTTGTTCCTTTACCCGTTGGAAGGAAATCTATAGGATGCTAATAGGTCTTCAAAATTAAGGAAAACCCTGATGGCAGCATAAGTATACAGCCCGTCTTGTGGCCAAGGGGTTTCATCAAAAAGCTGGTTGTGATTACAATGAAGCATTTTCTCCAGTTTTAAGCTTGCCTTTGTCCGAATAATGCTCACTATAGCTCTTTCCTTTGGATGGTCTCTTCGGCAATTGGACATAAATAATGCCTTCCTCAATGGTGATCTAGAGGAGGAGGTCTACATGGATCAGCCTCCTGGCTTTGAGGCAACTGACAGATCCTTGGTCTGTAGGCTACATAAATCTCTCTATGGTTTGAAACAAGCCCCAAGGGCTTGGTTTGATAAACTGAAACAGTCTGTCTTTACTCTTAGGTTCAAATCCAGTCGTTGTGACCCCTCTTTATTCATCTTCAAGACTGAATCTGCTTGCATCTATCTATTGGTGTATGTAGATGATATTATTGTAACTGGAAATAATAGTTCTCTGCTTTAAACACTGATTTCTTAGCTCCATTCAATGTTTGCACTCAAAGATCTAGGGGAACTTGATTACTTCCTTGGTATTGAGGTCAAACGCAAATCCTCTAGTTCTCTGTCTCACTCAATCTAAGTACATCAAAGATCTTCTAACGAAGGCAGCAATGCATGAAGCAAAAGCTATCTCAACTCCTATGCCCTCCAACTGCAAACTGTCCAGATTCGGCTCTAGTTACTTTGTTGATCATCATCTTTACCGTTCTATTGTGGGTGCACTCCAATATGGTACAGTCACTAGACCAGAGATCAGCATTGCTATTAACAAAGTTTGTCAATACATGAGTCAACCTCTGGATGATCATTGGAAAGTTGTAAAACGCATTTTACGGTACCTTCAAGGTACTATTTTCTATGGCTTACACTTGACTTCTGCCAATCCAGCAACTCCTTTCTCTCTCGGCACGTTTTGTGATGCTGATTGGGCAAGTGACCCTGATGATAGGAGGTCCACTTCAAGTGCATGTATATTTTTAGGCCCAAACTTGGTGTCTTGGCAGTCCAAGAAACAGCCCTTGGTTGCTAGGTCATCAGTTGAAGCAGAGTATAGAAGTTTGGCTCTCACTTGTGCAGAAATCTTATGGATAAATCACTTTTGCATGAACTTCAGCTCCCATTCACAATACCACATATTTTGTGATAATCAGAGTGCCATAGCACTCTCCCACAACCCAGTTTTGCATGCTCGAACAAAGCATCTTGATATTCATTTTATTCGCGAAACAGTGCTTGCCGGGGAAATTCTTGTATCCCATGTCCCAGCTATTGGTCAAATTGTTGATACATTGACCAAGGCTCTCTCTCCTATTCGTTTTGCAGACCTCAAAACCAAACTCAGAGTCATGGACACTCAGCTCCTCCAGCCTTCTTGAGTTTGCCGGGGGGTATAAGAGAATAAGAGTTTATTACTTGCTACTTTGTTGCTATATTAGTTTTACCATGCCTGTACTTTTACCATTCATTTACTGAGTCTGATGTATAGTAAGTAGTATAGTTGTGATACACTAGATCCATTTTTCTATACAGCTGTTAGCTTTCAACCACTTTCTACTTAGGTGGTTTTAGGTGCTGAGTCATCACCTCAGTCACCATCTCCTTTATATTCTTGTATAGTGTGTGTAAGTGATCAGATATCAATAATAGAAATCTCTTTCGATCTTTCTCTTCTCTCTATACCATGTTCTCTCTTAATCCAAATAGTGGGAAGGCGCTTAGCAAGAGTTCTCATAGGGGAATCCCCAATTTCCACCTTGAGGTCAAGGTTGAACTTCAAGCGGGTGGCCTAGGACCCAGGACACAAGAATGAGAAACGTGGAGGCAAAGCAGTTAAAATAGTTACAAAATTAGTTAGGCTGTTAAGAGTAGCTAGTTACAGAATTGGTTAGGTGATTAGCTTGAATGGCAGGAGAAAAATAGAAGAAGAACCATTCTGAATAGTTTGTATTGAAGAACCAACCATTAGCACAGTTGTAACTTGTAAAAGGGGAAACCCTTGGAAGAAGAATTGTCTCCCTTTCTCAGTTTGTCACAGAAGCATTCTTCCACTTTTTCTCCTTTGTTTTCTTAACTCTGAAACCTCAAATATTGTTTCTGGGTTTGTAACAAAAAGGGTGACCCCCAGCGCCAAAATCCAATATGAGATTCATCCTAAATATCAAAGAAACAAAAGAAAGAATCATACCACTATGAGAAAAATTTCCAATTGCTCAACAGCCCTTATATTGTATCCCACCCATTTTGTTGAATCCATAATTGCTCCACATTACCTAGAGTCAGAAAATCTAATTCAAGGGAAAACCACCATAACAATTTGCTAAACGTGGCAATATCTTATAAAACACGTTACAAATACCCAAGCCACCTTCTGATGGGCCTATAATAAATAATCCAAGCCCATTAATATCTTACACCAATTTTGCCTGTGGGGTAAACACCTTCAAAAGGTCATCCTTAAAGATTTGGATCTCTCCTTTTAAGAATGTAACAGTGTCATGTTATGAGAGAGAAAGACAAACTACTTCTGTGCAGTGATTGGGTGGGGGTGGTTTCCTCTACACAGAAAAAGTTGTCTTTCAATCATGTTCTTTAAAAAAAGGAGAGAATTCAAATCACATCCTTAGAAAGCCCTGAGTCCTAACATACCTAATAATCAGCATTCAGCAGTAGTAAAACCAACCGGTCCAAGTGCTTTATCCTTAACTGTCCTCCTCTGCAAAAACTAACTAGCCTTACCCAAATAAATAGGCCAGTTATCCAACCCTTCAATTAAAGGGCTGAAATAATCCATCAGCCAAGAAGTACTATTACTTGGGCTTTATGCAACTGCTATATCCATTGCCTACTCAACCCTGAACCCCCAAGAAACAAACTTCACTACAATAATTTTATGTTGTTTGATAAACAAAGAAATCTTGAATAAGAAGACTATCCTACAAAATAATAACTTGTTAAATCATTCAAAACTAAGAGCAATGTCATGTGACTTACCTGCGCCATTTACCACATACAGTTCCATTGGCTCTATCTATAACCTCCCGACATTGAAGCCAATTACCAATGGAACTGAGTCTAGTTGGATTTCTCAGATTCTCTTCCTGCAGAACCGAAAAGGATTTCCATCACTTGGAGACTCAGATGAAAATGCAGATCATAAAGTAAATGACTAAAACCTTTACCTGTAGTCTAGAAAATTCTGAAGGATTAATTTCAAATGGTTCAGGAAGATCATCTTCATCACTGCAAGAAATTGTAAAATGATGCTGGTAAAACTGTAATAATACCAAAATATGGCTCAAATAGACTCCTAATGAACAATGCTTATGGACAGAGACAGTGAGACACACACTAAATATGCACAATAAGGAAACCTCAGTTCACCCAAGCAAAGAAAACGTATGTTAGTAAGCACACTGGTATATAAAAAACATCAACCAATCAGAAGAGGAATTTCATCAGCGGTGCATACGTTAATTGTGTCTTACCACACACACAGACACACGTTCATCAGCTGTTCAGATATATATGTATATATATATATATATATATATATATATATAACTTTAAAGGGAGTTTTAAGCTTCCAAAACAAAGTAGTAAGGGCTAAATTATGTGGAAGGATTCTGGATTAAAAAACTAAAAGAAAAAAGAGAGAGAGACTTACATGTGAAAAACAAGAGTTCAAGATTAATACCGCGTGAGAACTAAAAAAGCAAAAGATAAACAAGAAACATGGAGAACAAAACAGAAGCTTCTACGTCATTATGATGCCTAAAGAAGTGAAAACTCCACTGGATTGCTATAGGACTAGCAACGCTCTAGTTAGAGAAAGTTGGGCAGAAAAGTGCCAAAAACAATAAACAAAGTGTAGTGGATATAAGAATTATGGAGTGAATATGTGGACATACAAGAAAATATAAGATTAGGAACAAATATTCATGGGAGAAAGTTGAAGTAGCACCTTATTAGCGTAGCTAGCCTGAAGCTTAATGTAGCAGATTATTTTCGCTTTATTAGTTTGTTAGTTGGTTTCCGTTCTGTTAAGCTTTCTGTTTCTAATCTGTTAGTGTGCTGACTCATCACTGAGTCAGTTACAGCTCTATAAATAGAGCTTGTAATCTCTCAGTGTGTAAGATCAATTCATTCTATACAATAACAAAATGCCTTTGTTTCAGTTTTCTCTCTCTCGACACTTTCTCTCATTTTCCTTCTCTTTCTCTCATTTTCCTTCTCTTTCTCGCATTTTCTCTTGCTGATCAAATTCTAATACACCTATTGAGAAGATGATGGAAGCTCACCTAAGATGATTTGGTCACATAAGAAGACCAATAATGAGTCTAGTGACAAAAGTTCATATGGAAGATCTATAACTTTTTATTAAAAGAGAGAGAGAGAGAGAGAGAGAGTGAGAAACCACAAGTGACAGAAGATGAAGCAAATGCTCAAGCAAAGAAGCACATTATAACAGCACGGCCAAAATGAAGCAATTCTACCTTAAGAATCGTTCTTGATATCATTAAGGAATTACAAATTTGTCTGAAGATAAATATCACTAGGCAAAAGTAGATGCTTGCAATAATACATCCATGTAATTTATAACCAAAGGTCACACATAACAAATACGTCATGTATCAACATTAACATTAAAAAATTCTCATATTATTTTGTTACCCCACATTTCCACTTAATCTATTGCACAAATAGCAGCAATGTGTAAAGTAACAATGACTGAAAGATAAGATGTCATAGTCCTAAAGCATAATATTTTGTACTTTCATAACTGAGAGAATTGTTTTAAAAAGAAAATAAAAATAAAAATTGAGCATTGACCAAACATATCAGGCTCTGTAGGTCACTTTCTCTGCCAACTGACATACAACACCAATTGATATGATACTCCTTGTAGATTAGTTTGTTTACATAAAATGAAGTTAAGTAAAGCTTATATTCAAAGCAATGTAAAAACACAAAGTTCAATCGATGGATGTCAGAAATATTTGGTTCCAAGCATTTGTCATTAAACCAGAAGATACCTTCTTATTGGCGCTGACCAGTCAAGTACTTCTGCTTGAAAACCTTTGCCAACCCTCACACGGGTTGTATATGGCTCAGTGTCTCTCAACATCATTAGTATGGGATTCAATTCAGCCTTAACTGAGGCAGTTCTACATTTGCCCATATCACTCTGGTGGCCTGGTGATCTGATAATTGTCTCCTTAAGAATTTTCTGCCTTTTTTTAAGACATGAATGACAAAACCACTCGTCAATTGGTAATTTTTTCAAACGTGGATTGTAGCAAGATGGATGATATGCATCTTCACAACGATCACATAAAAGCATCTTCAATGAACTGTCCAAATTACCACATATTTTGCATGACCTGGAACAGCAGCTATTACCAGTGGTAACAGCATTTTCCACTGAATCCAAATTATCTGCAAGAGAATCTCTTCCAAGAAGTCCATGGCTTCTTAATATATTAATGCAGAAATCCTTTTCAGTTAATTCTTCCCTTGTGGCATCTATAACTATTACACTGGAGGAGGAGCATTCACCAGATTCATCCATTTCAGTTTCTATGGAATCTGAAGCAGGTTCAATATTTGACTTTGAAGAGGAGCAACTATCATTTACACTGTCAATACCTACGGTGTTTTGTCTGTTATCTTTGGCTACTCCATCAAATGAAACAGATGGCACAGTAGGATCTTTAACCATTTCAATTTGATGCTTAACTTGAAAACCAGCTGGCTGATCCTCAGCTGATGATAAACGCGCAGAGGAACTTATAACTGAAGGGCAATTGACACTTGTCTGCATATTAGTTGGCCCTTGCTTAAAAAGAGAGGTAATTGAGTCCTTACGTAGCTTCTTTCTCCTGTATACCATATTACGTGCAGTGTTTTCAGTCATTATACTTGCAGTTGATGGCCGACCAAAGCTACTTAGAAAGTTTGCATTGCGAGGACCATCAGCATTCCTTCCATTCTCTTCCATTGGTTCAGCTTTTCTACACCAGTTAAGGGGGTACTTGTTGCATTTCAGACACACCTGCCAAGTTTCATCACTAGGCATCCGGTCACATAGAACATCTTTCTCATCATCAGATACGTAACATAGACCAGCTTCAACTGAACCAAGAGAACTTTGTATTAACATTATCACCTGAATCAAATTCAGAAAAAATATGTTGTATATTGCTACAGAGTCCCAAACATAAAGAGTTCAGATAACAGCCTTTCCATGTTTCAAATTCAAGATTATTGAACCATTGGAAGTATGTCTACCAATTCCATCCAGTCAACTCACTAATGGCCACCTGATTCGAAAATCACAAACAGAAGTAGGAAAAAAAGATAAGAAACAAGCATACAAAAGGCAAACAGATTTGCAATCATATATAACTAGAGACACCCATATCTTTAGCCATAAAACAAAACATGACTCGAATTTTTTATTTACCGCAAATTTGAAAAATTCAAAATTTTAGGATGGAGGCTTACAACATCCCACCAAACTAAATGAATACCTTCTTCATAGCCCAGACAAATTGTTGGAATATTCAAGTGTGATGAGTATCACATTAGTTGGTAATGGGCTAAGTGAAGTCAATATAAGTGGGAAGACCCATAAACCCAATGCCTTAAGGTTTTGGGTTGAGACATGGTGTTGTACCCACTTGATATGGTGGTGTAGCCTTAGCCCATTGGTAGTGGTCCTCCCACCATAGGCTTCCCCTGGGCCTGACAGTGGTATCAAAGCTTTGTGCTTTGAATTAGGTGAAAAACCAAAGAGTAAAAGATCCAGAATCCAATGGCTTCTTTGAATAATGAATTGCTACTCGAAGGAGGGTCCACAAATAGACCACCTTTCTTCAATGGAATTGATTATCCATATTGGAAGAGTAGGATGCAGATCTTCTTAGAATCTAATGATCTTAGGGTGTGGAACATAGTTGAAGAAGGATATGAAGCCCCAATAATCAAGTTCCTAAGAAGATCAGAGAGTTTAATAAAGATGAGCTAGATAATGCAAATTGGAACACGAGCTAAAAACTTAATCACGGTTGCCTTAGGAAGAGATGAGTATTTTAGAGTTGCAAATTGTAAAACAACTGAGGAGATGTGGAAAGTTTTAGAAGTGACTCATGAGGGTACAAATGAAGTGAAAAGATCTAAGCAAAATGCCCTAACTAGAGAATTTGAAACATTTGAAATACTTGAAGGTGAATCTGTTTATAATATGCAAAAGAGATTTACTCACATTCTCCCGAACTTGAATGCTTTGAATGTTTCTTATTCTGATGAGGTATTGGTGAACAAAATCTTGAGGAGCATAACTAAAAAGTGGGACTCTAAAGTCTCAGCCATTTATGAAGCAAAGGATTTATCAACAATGTCAATTGCAACCCTTTTTGGAAAACTCCAAGAGCATGAAATGGAACAGAAGATCCAGAAGGAAGCAATCAAATTCAAAGAAGAAAAGTCTTGCACTAAAAGCAAAGGAAGAAACCGAAAGTGACAAGAGTTCAAGCGATGATGAAGAACTTGGACTTTTGGTCAACAAATTTAAAAAGTTGGACAAGAGAAGAGGCTATCCAAGCAAGAGGAGCAATGTTGCCAAATTCAAGAAATTTAATGATAGCAAAAATCCTCCTCCAAATTATACATGCTTTGAGTGTGGAAAGCAAGGGCATTTCAAGGCTGATTGCCTGGCTGTGAAAAAGAAGAAGAAGGATAGAAAAGCCAAGAAATTCATCAAAAGGAAGAGCAAAATTAAGAAAACATACATGGCCATGGAAAGTGATGAACAAGCTCCTCAAGTTCTTCAAGTTCACCTTTTGAGGAGGAAGCAAACCTATGCATGATGGCAAGTGCCAAAGAACTCACTGATTCTAAGGTAAAATTTGAAACCTCTTACTGCTCTTTTAATTCCTCTAGTTCAACTAATTGGGAGCCTACATATGATGAACTAGTAAAAATTGCTAAAGTTCTGCTTAACAAGAAAACAAAGCTAGATAAAGATATTAAAAAGGTTAAGCTTGAAAGAGAAGAGCTAGAATCAAAGTTGGCTTATTTGAATGATAAATTGATTGATCTTATAAAGGAAAATGCATGCCTGAAAGATGAAATATTTGCAATGGATGAATCTGATTTGCATGCTCCCCCAAATTCTAACTCTTGTGCTAAATGTATTGAGTTGTCCAAAGAGTTAGAGGAACTAAAACAAACTGTAAATCGCATGACCAAGGGTAGAGATAATTTAAATGCTCTACTAGGTAGTCAAAGAACTTCTAACAAGTTTGGGTTAGGATATGGTGATATCTCTAAGAAAACAGAATATGTACATGCTGGTCCCTCTAAATTCATGTCAAATTAACCTTTTAAAAAATGCACATATTGCTGCCAAAAAGGTCATACTACCTATACATGCGATACAAGAAGATTTGGTTTGAAAGGTACAAATTTGATGTGGGTTTCTAAAGGTTCTATAGGCACATCATCATATTCTCCTTCTCTTACTAACACAAAAGGACCCATAAGAGTATGGGTACCTAGATATATGAAATGATTCTGTGATGTAGGTATGCTTTAGAGCACAGCACAGAGCTCAAATTGGTATTTAGATAGTGGATGCTCAAAGCATATGATTGGAGAACCATCCAAGTTTACAAGCTTCATCAAGAAGAAATATGGATATGTCTCCTACGGAGATAATAATAAAGGAAGGATTCTCGGCTATGGCAACATCAAGACTGCATCAACTATTCTAATTGAAAATATGTTGCTGGTTGAAGGTCTAAAGCACAATCTGTTAAGCATTAGCCAACTCTGTGACAAGAACTACAAAGGTATCTTTTAGCTCTGATACCACTGTTAGACGGGTCAAGGGGAGCCCATGGCAAGGGACAACCACCAGACCCGCCTAACATAAGTGTCAACACAAAAAGAAATCTGAAGAAAAAACACAATATATCAAAAACATCGCAATAAATCATTTGAAGACTAACCCAATGATGGAAGTTCAATTTGCATAACACGATATAACCCCCATTAATTTTCAAGTTTTCTAACATATCAATCATATGGGGTAAACCCGTAACTACTCTTTATTTCCAACTCCTTAGTTAAATGAAGCCATTTCATTTGTTTGCCCATCTGTGAATCGTCAAATTCATATCAAAACCAACCCAGAAAGCTCAAATCCTAATTGACGTCATCAAATATTATTCAATCTGTTTCCAAAAGAAATAATCCTTGCATGTGGTTAAATCCCATTGATCCATACTACATCAGTATAACAACACTTCATCTCTGAAATTCTAAACAATAACACATGTCAATCCTGGACACAGCATACCCTGGCGGATTTCAAAATCTGTGAGTCATCGATTAACTAAGCCATTTAGATTCTATATGAAGCAAGGAAAAGGAGATTCACGGAATCTGCAATTGCCAAGGAATAGGTATAAAATATTTATAATCCACACAAAATACCTCCTACCTAATCCATACGACTGCAGTACTGATTGAAGTAAACTATTATACAAAGTATAAAATACAGCTTATGCGCTACGTTTGGAAGCTTTTGAGTGGAGGCGAAGAGAGGGAAACGGAAACGGGAGGGGTGGAGCCGTGGAGGGAGAGTTAATTTCCCTGTTTGGATATTTAAGGAAAGGAGGAAAACTTTCGTACTCCTGTTTGCGACTTAAAGTAGAGGGCTTATATAATTTATAAAAAATAAACCCTTTACCCCAACTTACCCCCCTCATTCGAGAGGGTAGGTTTTAGGGTCTTCCGAACAAGGGTTTGGGTCACATTTCCCTTTCCCATTCCCCTTCCTTACCTCCAATCTAAGCATGGCAATAAAAGATAAAGCAAATACTACTCCCATTACATGCATGATACCAAAAGTGTATATCAAATATCAAGACCAGTTCCTTCTAAATCCAATTAATTTTAACCCATAATTATGATACAAAACAAAGTCATGCAAATTACCAGCACCATACTTTACATCCTAATTGTTTTTTCTCTATAAATTGTCCCACTTACATGCAGAATGCCCATGCATTTCATTTTACAAGGACTAAACATGATCTCTCTTCCTTAAATAACAGATGTTTAAGCTCAACCACTTTCTCACAACAAAAAAGAAAAACACAATAATGATCCCCTTCTCCACTTTACTTGACAAATAGGAAGGAAAATAGTGTGCGATGGAAAATTACTTGACAAGATAAAAGACCGTATTTAATAAGGCAACCTTTGCCCATTAAAATGTATAAACAACTTGAACATAAAAGGCAGCCTTACCATGCATTTGCAAAAGACTGATTACATAATTCAAATATGTGATCTCTGGGTCATGCTCACATGACGACAAAACCATCAATTATGGCAAGGCTCCACAAACCTTTACCCATTAAAATGTATAACCAACTAGAACATGAAAGGTAGCCTTACCTTGCGCTGCATTAAAGGCTGTTTACATAATTCAAACATGTGACCTCTGGGTAACATGGCAACAACACCATCCGTTATGGGAATGCTAAACAAACCAATGGACCAGATGAAAAAAATTCCCTTTAGAGGACTCATTCATAAATTTTCTAAAACAAAGAACTAAACAAAAAAGTTGTTTTACATAAAACTTTCCCAAATCTTGTTCTTACCAATACACACTTCTTGTTGTTGGCTATGTGTGAAAGTGCGTAGAAGCAATAACATTACCTACGGATTATGTTCAAGTAGTTATCAAATTTCTTGAAAAGAACATTTTCACAAGATTCAGCATACCCAGAGCAATAATCAATGATGAATGCACCCATTTATGTAATCAAACCTATGGCCCAGCAAGATCCACCCAGTCTACTATATCTGAAGGACCAATTAGCTTGGTATCTTATCTTTTCTTCATCATTATTAATCCATGTCAAGTCAATTTCATATAGCTAGTCGAGATATGCACCTTGACCTAGTGTCATCTCCTCACCAGTGAGCTGAAACATTATCCCCTAGAGAGGAACTACAATTCCTTCATGACCTATAAAACCAGGCATAGCCTCCCAGGTAACCAATCTCTTTCGATATCTACTATTCTCCTTTTTTGTAATTCCCAATCCGGTGCAACTTTAAATTTATTTTCCAAATGGTGCAAGTTTTCGGAAGCCATGGGTACCGCGACTAAGTAGGATTTATTTATTTTTTAATATTTTTTTAGTAAAGTCATGGGAACCAAGCATGACTATATAGAGGTTTAATTTTTTAGTATTAGTTCTATAAATAACCAATTTAACCCAAAAGCTTAAACTGTTGGGTGAGGCTATATTAATGGTTTTATATATCTCTAACACGCCCTCTCACAAGAGAGCCCATTGGGCTTGAAAGGTGGATGATATATCAGGCTCAACCTACCTATGCTAAGAAATTCCACAAAGCAAAATGGAGGGCAGCAAAGGTCGAATCCGGGACACCAAGGCTCTGATACCATGCAAAGAACCAATTCAAACCAAAAGCTTAAGCTGGTGGGTGAGGGCCTTTTTGATGGTTTATAATATTCTCTAGCAAGTTCTATGAAGTCATTGATTTGACACAAAACTTATTGCAAATTTAATATTATTTCTAATAAACTAATGAAGTCATGGATGAAAAGCACAAGTTAGGGTAAATCGTGGCCAAGAAATGCACATGCCTTAAACCTTTCAATCCATGAATGGTTAAACTCAAGCATCAAACCAACAAAATTAGAACCAAACACATTCCTAATGAAGATGTGGCTATGGGACATGACTTAGGGTAAGTCTTGCTTCTCATCCTTGACTTCACTAGGTTATTATAAAAATAAAAAAATAAACCAGCATTTTGGGAAATAAATTTGAAGTTGCACCAGATTGGGGATTACAAGACGCAATTGAACCAGATAAATAAAAAAAAGCCAGTTCTCACCCTTGCTATCAATAGGCCGTGTCCAGAGCATATCATATGAACACAAGAACGTTGAATTCACCAAATACTAATTTACAATTTAACAATGCAAAGAGAGAAAGAATCGTATAGCTTTGTAATTACTTTTGGTAATGCATGTGTATTGAGTAATTACTTTTGGTAATGCATGTGTATTGAACACAAGTGCTTGCTGCTCTTCTTGTTTCCATCCAAACAAGTAATTAAAACCCATGCCAATAAAACCTTCCTCCGTGCTTGAAATAAATTTCTAACCCAATCTCCACTCCAGTCTTGGAAACCGATTCATAAAAATCAAATCTTGAATCAGATCATTCCTGATCCATCAAAATCTTCCAAAGCAGAAGAAAAGGGCAGCTTCTTGAAATATTTGAAAGGGAATGGAGTTATGGTTTCACAAGATTCTCGTTCATGGCTTTCCCCTAGATGTAAGACTAAACCTATGAATCTCACCAGCATTACAATTTCAATATCCTTCTTCTTTAGTAAAAAATAATTTACAATGCTCCAAAGTTTCCCAAGTTCCACGACCCACAAAAATCAATTTATTCAATGAAGTCAATAACCAAGTTTAGGGCTTGAACGCAGAGTTAATGCCACCAACATCTCCAATAGGGTAAAAATCACAGGCAATTGAAACCAAAATCAAAGTAAATATTCAAAAGCTTATATGGCTATAAAGTAGACAATGATTTGCACCTCTAATGTTAGGAAAGATATAGCAAACAGTTAAAGAAAATTGAAGAACAACATGAAAGAAGAGGAAGGAAGCATCACCTAATCGGATCAGAAATGGGAAGGGAACAAGCAAAGGGCTTGCATTGAGTTGAGAGTTGAGACCTCAATACCCAAACCCAAAGAGTGTCGTGCCCCGACTCACAAATAGGTTTTAACTTTTAAAGAGAAGCCCTTCCCTTCACAAATATCTATCTATATATGCTAATACCATTCAAACCTTAAATGCCAAAAAGCAAATAACCCTTCTGTTTCTTGATGGATCTTGTCCCAAAACCTGCTTGCAAAACACACACACTTTGCCTCAGAATTACACACAAAATTGTATATTTATATATATCATGCCATGTATGAATGAATACTAAGGACGCACCTTTCTCTCCATTCAATTTTCTATGAATGTCACTTGCCTTATTCTTTATTTACACAATCATGCACAAATATATAGGTGACTTTAGAGTCATGTAGCCCCACCAATTTCCTCTGTCAATTTTAAACGGTGGGGGAACTCCTGCTCCATTTGTGCTATAGTCTATGATGTTTTGTGTCCTAAATTAACGTTAGTATTAAGAATAATTAAATTGTGTAAGGTCAAAAATATCTTGATGTTTTTTGCATTGCTCATGTTATAATATTTATTTTTCATTTTTGACAATTTCAAATTTCACTTGCTAGGAGTGAAGGAGGATAGGAGAATGTGAAGCTTTGTTTAATGTGGGAAGCAAAATAAATAGTTCATACAATTTTAAACGACATTTAGGTTGATTTGGACTAAAAAGAAATATAAAAAACTTAAATGATAAAATAATTTAGAATAAATTAGGAATAAGTGATTTGTGTGTAAATGATAAAAATTCCTTAGGTACAACAGATATACCCACTTGGGTATATCTTTTTTTCTAAAAATGAAAAAATTTCTCCCCTTTAAATTCAGCTTTTAACATATATTTTTATTTACGTCCTAAATTTTTTTTCTTTTTTAGACAGGATATATCTACATCTGCTGCTCCCAAAATTCACTCACAAAGGACATGTTTTGAATTTTTTATGTAAATTCCTTATTCTTACATTTTTTATTATTTTCTATTTATACCATGTTATATTTTTATGTTTAGTTGGAAACGATTTAAAATACTTTTTAAGGCCAGCGTTTAAATAAAATGTGTTTAGTAAGTATAAGTTTCTTAAAAAACTAAGTTTATGAAAAACTAATTTTGAAATACAATTGGTGCTTAAATGTTATATTTTCTAGTCCAAACTTTCCAATTTTTTATTTTTTTATTTTCTCTTACTCTCTCTTAGTTATTATCAAAAAATAATTATTGGATAAGATACAATTTTAGTGACAACCCAATAGCTAAGGAACATATTAAGTTTTTAAATTTAGATATTGATCTCATCAGAAATATAGACAATTGCACGATGATGAACAACCTCTTAGGCTTCTTCCTTCCTTCAATGCTAAGTCCAAGCGCCTATTGAGTGGTTTCCTAAAAATCTTAAATCCTAAATTCCACCACCTCTATATATTCATTAGTTGTGGGTGGAGGCCAAGTTAAAATGAGAGAAGAGATTTGAGAGAAAAATTTGTAAACAAAGCTTTAAGCTTTGTATTTGAGAGATCTCTAGTTTGAGTGAAACATCTCTAGGATAGTTTGATTATCACCATTGTTGGAGATGTTGAGTTAACCACCACATTGATGTATTTTGATTCTTTGTATCCATTATTTTCATAGTGGACGTTTGATATGGACTACGTCCCGTGGGTTTTTATTTCTTCATTATAGAAAGTTTTCCCACGTTAAAACTGCTTGTGTTCTTCTCTCTCTCCTGTTTTTGTTTTTCCGCTGCGCTGCCCGGCCTGGTGAAGTTCAGGCCGGTAGATTGCCGAGATCCGAGATCAAGGATCTTGTTGATTGACTTCCGCCTGCCCGGCCTGGTAGGGTTGGCAAAAACGAGCCAACCCATCGGGTTGACTCGTAACCCGCCAAAAATGAGCCCGGTTGGGTTGGCCAAAACGAGCTGCCAACCCATCTCGTTTCAACCCGTGAAAAACAAGCCAACTCGCGAGTCAAACGAGCCAGCTCGCGGGTTGAGTTTTTTTTTATAAAAAAATACAAAATATAATATACAAAAATGAACAAAACTCACATATGTTGCCATCATTTTCCTTCCTTCTCTAAACCTAAGTCTCTAATCTTCTCACATCCCTGCCATTTTTATATTGTTAGGCTGTGCTGGTTCTGTTTGGTTCAAATATCTTACTCACTTGGTAGCAAGTGGTTCTGATTGTTTCTTGATATTGATCCAAATTTGTTGTGAAGAAAATTCAAAACTAAAATATTTTACTTTTATTTCTCATTCTGTAACCTTTTGCTTAAGCTAATGAAAGCCACATAACTGGTGCATTAATACTACATGGTCATTTAAATAGGCTGAAAACGAGTCAACCCACGAGTAATTTTCGAGCCAACTCGCGAGCCACTTTCCGAGCCAACTCGCAAGCTATTTTTCAAGCCAACCCACGAGCCATGTTTTTGAGCCAACCCTAACCCGACTCGGGTCGGGTTGGGTTGGGTTTTCTGGCTCCTTTTTTTTTTCAAGCCAAACCCTAACCCGGGCTCGTTTTTTCGGGTTGAATGCGGGTTGGGTCGGGCCGGGTTGGCCCGTTTTGTCAACCCTACGGACTGGTGAAGTTCAGGCCGAGGTAGATTGCCAAGATCTGAGATCAAAGATCTTGTTGATTGACTTCCGCGCAAAGACTGCTTAGCCGATTTGAGGGAACCGAGTTCCCAACACAACGCAGTAGAAGAATGACAAATGACAATCCCATCTCGTAGAACGTACAAGATAAAATTGCAACCATCAACCCCTCCATGATGATGAACAAGTTCAATCAAAGAAAAACTTCCCAAGAAAACAAGGAGCATAGAGCTTAAATTTACCTGTAGCCCATAACTATATATCATATCCTGAAGGGAAACCCAACTTACCTCCCAAACCTCTAAGACAAAAAATAATCTCGAGTTATTAACCCATTTATTACCAAAATAATAGTCACGCCCATGCCAAAGAATATTAAACTTGCCATACAGAAGTACATAAGCCTTGAAGATTATAAACGGTCTCGTATTAATGTTGGAATTAGAAAAAATGATTCTGGCGAAAGGAGAGAGATCGGGTCGCGAAGAAAATTCGAGGAATATAGTCCTTTGAATACTTCACGATCATGTATCCTCGTGTAAGTATTTCATACAGAGTTTGTAAATGTCCAGGAAACCAATCCAATCCACACAAAAAAAACCCTAGATAAATCCAACTTCTGTGAATTCCATAAAAGTCACGATCACGCCATATACGAATTTATGACTTATAAGATGCAATTGAAAGATCCAAATCGAGATAGAAATACACCAACAAGATTTTATAATGACATAAGGAGATATAATAAAATGATCGAATTCCATCAAAGTGGCCATGATAGGCACTCATGCAGTTCCTCCAGAAGATAGAAGATATCAGCGGAATAAATAACCCCAACAAGAAAGAATTAACAATAATGATCCAGGTATTCTCAACTCTACTGCAGGTGGTTTTGCAAGAGGAGGAGAATCCTACTCATATAGAAAAAGACATTTGAAGTCAATAATGACCATATCAGAGCACATAACTCATATTCTTCCAAAAAAATCACTCCCCAATAAGCTTCGATGATGAAAATCTGGAAGGTGTACTTCTTGGGCAATGCGATTCGTTGGTCATCATTGCATTCATTGTAAATCTCCAAGTTCGAAGGATATTTTTTGATAATAGAAGCTAAACTGATATTATTTTTGGGAAGCATTCCAAAAGTGAATATCTGAAGCGAAGAAATGAGCCTATGTTAAGGTGATTTCATAGGCTTCTCAGGAGTGCTGCACATGCAAAATAATTCATTAACTTGTGAGTAACTTTTGAAATGATGCCTCATGTCAAGATAATGAAGATACGCTTTCATATAATAGAATACCCTTTAAACTACAACGTGATTATGGGTAAGCCTTCAACTAATAGCCTTAGCGCAATTATTTCCTTGTCGAATTTAGCTATGAAATTTAGATGCCCTCTTGTCGAGGTAATCATGCTAAAGGGCAACCAAAAACTTGCTCAAATTTATTATCGCGTGAGCCTAAAAACCTCAAGACCTCCCCTACATAGGATGCATGCCTATCCCATGACTCTAAAACAAGATCACTCTAATCCACAAAAGGCCTCCATCCACTTGACAGACATTAAAATACGCGAAGAGCTGCAGATATAAGACCATTATAACTTGATTGAGAATTAAAATAATCATAAGTAAAGGCATAACCAGAAAACATCAAAAAGATTGACAGAGACTTTCTTGAAGAAGAAATATAGAAGCCGAATTTTGTCCTCATCATTTATCCATAAATCTAAAAAACGAACTAGTAGCCAAGAAAAAGAAAGAAAGTGGCACTAGAAAGACAATAGATTATTAATGCAATGGTTACATGTTACAAGCATGTGTCATCAAGGAAATAAATTACACCTTGAGGCTCTTAAATGTGGCCATTGTTAAAAAAAAGCAAATGAAAATTGGAAGATGTGCGTGGACTACGTAGATTTAAACAAAGCATGCCTTAAATATCCTTACCTTCTCCCAAATATTGACAAATTGATAGATAACTCGTTGGGATACCAAATTCTATTATTTATGAATGCGTACTGAGGTTACAATATGATCCTATCATTGAGGAAACTAGATCTCGCGGGAAGAATGATAACTTGATCCATTGAACTTTTTGAGTATTATATTTCTTTTGAATAAAGACAGGCAATCAAGATTTAAGTTTTGGTAGATTTTGTAGCTAAAATATCATACCAAGCATCCTATGATAGAGATGATACTTGAACCATATATGTATTGAAAATGTGTTTGATTTGATGAATTTCTGACACTTATACATAATTTCAATTAAGGAATCCACTGTTCAGAATAAAGGTTGATGAGTCCTGAATATATTGAAAAAAGTTCATCTCAATCCGACAGAGGACGAATAAGATATCAAATATGGACAAAAAATGCTCTTTCTCTTTCTTCTCTTGAGTTTTTAGACACTATTACCGCTTTCACTCAATTCCTCATGCAATGTGATTGTTGTCACCTTGTCTACCACTTTAAAAGCTACTCTCACTCTTACTTTTGCAAAATAAAACCTAGAAGTGCCATTAAACTAGACCTTTGGACTATTACGAGAAAAGCCCAACAAAAATGATGAGCTTAGCCTTGTTTCTTATGGAATATGGTACCTTATTTATTAGATACCTTCACATGGAAATTTTCTTGGCTTGAAATATTCCTCCATTTAGCTATGTGAAACTTAATGTTGATGGATCTACATAACCTTCTTCAATGAAGACAACATGTATGTAATAACGAAGTAAAAAAATTGAATAAAAGGGATCGAAGTTGAACATACATTATTTTTTATAAGTTATAACTATTTATACGTGAAAAAAATAAAAAATTCTCACAATTAAAAGTTTGTATGAGTTTGGAGGGTGATTACTATTTATATGACAAAAAAAAATACTTACAACTAAATGCTTATATAAACTTCGAGGAGGGCGATCGTCCACCCTATGTCCCTCGTTTCACCACTATTGAAGTACTATAATATTTCTTACATAGATGATATCTTTAGTATTTATTTACTATAAATTAAAAAAATGATTCATGTGGTGTTAATTATAAAAATGAATAAAATAAATATATTTTTTGTTCTAATAGGTGATGTGTTGAATCTAATACTATGGGAGTATAAAAAAATATTTTGTCGAAATGACACAAAGTGAAATTCAAACTCAAGAACAAATTGAAACAACTCAATATTAACATAACTAAATTAAATTACAACGTGGAATAAATTATTTTACAATCCTCTTCGTCATGAAATAACAATACAAATGTAATTTGCTGGCGTCCTAACGAAAACCAAAGAGAAAACAAGAACAATATAAAAAAAATTAGCTTTTGCTCCACAATCTTGTCTCTAAAATTACAGCGATAAAGAATAATATGACAAGGACAATTCCGTACCCAATCCTCCACTCACTTGCTTCCTTACCTAAATGGAGTCCGTAGAAAATATTGGATATAGCAAGGACTATCAAAATTCTCCCAGTCGTATGATGGTACAAATTCCAAGACTTTCTGACTTTTGATTCCTTGTGTGGTCGAGCAAGAAAAGCCATAATCTGCAAAAAGTAATTAAATACACCAAGTAAATTATACTTTTGTGCATATAATTTATAAACTTATCATCATATAATTTATAAATTTATAAATTTATAAATTATATGAAGAGAGATATACTTATAATCTAAAATTTTTACAATTTTTTATCATTAAATCTTAATCATTGATTTCACCAATCTAACAGTTATTATTTATTGAGAATTAATAATTAATTAATAAATGTGATCCAATAAATTATAATCGTTAGATTGACAGAAATCAATTATTAAGATTTGATGATAAGAGGTTGTAAAACTTTTTTTTTTTTTTGATAGACGAGGTTGTAAAACTTTTAAATTGTAAGTATAAAAAGGGGAATAAACTCATCTTAAAGTAAAAGAATGACAATAGCCGATTGAAACAAACCAAAAAGGGTAGGAAACACGTAGAGGAGGCATCAAACCCTTTTTACCGATTGGTAAGCCGTACTTGTTTCGGATTAAAGACTTAGAGCATTTTTGTAGCTAATTTTTGTTAAGGATAAAACGTTTATAATTTAGTGTTGGCTGATATGGCCTCTGTGAGCTACCTTCGTAGCTTTGTAACTTGATTTTGTTTTGTTTTGTTTTTCTGTTTGGGCTGGGGGCTTCGCATCCTTAGCCACACCAAAAAAAAAAAGTTTATATATTGTTTTTTTTATCCTTTCGTACAAACCACCTTCCACTACATGTTTATGTGTTTTTTTTTGTTTTTTTTTTTTGAATACATGTGTTTATTTCTTTGGTTTGACATTGCCTCACATGTACCGCTATCCACTCGCTTCTCTCTCTATATATATATGGGCCTCATCCTTTTCCCATATTGAATGAACAACACGGGTTGATTGACCCCTTTGCTTTTAGGGTGTGTTTGGTACCATTTTTTTTTTAAGTTTCCTGGAAAAGCAAGTTAGGAAAAATAACAATGCCATATTTGATATGAAAAAATACCATACTTTTCCGAATAATTTTTTTTTTCGGAAATAGCTTTTATGTGTAAATTTGGGTACGGTCCCCATATGTGGAATGCCATGGATTAGGTGAACTTTTTTGTTACCCGGGAAAGTAAAAATTAAGGGAAAATGGTTTGTCATGTTACATGACAACAAATCAAATTTTCTACACACATAATTTAAGCTGGATCCCACATTTTCTCACTCCACTATTTAATGGACTCCACATATATCATGAGTGTGTAGGAAAATGATTTGTTGTTATGTAACATGATAAAAACAAAACCCAAAAATTAACCCGCGAAGAAATAGACCACATTATCCTTTGGTTTGTACGATCTATGAAGAAATGGTGTAACGTTCAGACAACTTTTTGAATCAAAATAAAAGTAGGTTATTTTAGTAAAATAATTTCACTAATATTTCACAATCAACTAAATACAAACTCAATAAACTTAACCACAAAATCCCAGAAAAAAATTGGACCTTCCAAATACTTTTTTAATCACATTCCTGGATAACTTATTTTTTCACCATATTCTAAAGAATCAAGATTCTCGGACAAACAAAAATTTCTCTTCTGTCAAATGTCCCATTAAAGATTTATACCATTTACTTTGTTATTCCCAAAACTCATGAATCAAGCATTTTTTTTTTATCAAATACCATATAGATATTTGCTATCACACAGATCTCAAAAAATTACGTGAAATAAAAAACACCTAATTCGAATAATTGAGCCAAAAGTTATACTCTTTCAAAATTTATATAATTTTAGGGTATAAAAAGCTTAGATGGATATTGTCCTTGATTGTTTTGGACCCGCAAACATTCATCCCAAGTCCATTTATATATGTACAAGACATTATTAGAATTTGGTGTCAATCAAAAAAATTTGTGGATACAAATTTGAGTTGCCCATTTGCATAAGTTACTCGAGTAACTGAGCTAGTTAGTCATTTACTCGAGTAACTTTGCCAATCACTCGAATAACTCGCAGTCAACATAAACAAACAGGGCATATTAATATATAATTTTGATAAAATATTTAAATTAATATATAATTAAAAAAGAAGGATAAAGTGGTGAAGTTTTTTAAATACGGGGCACAATAATCAATCACCCGAACAGTATGAGTCGGTGCACCGCTAAGCTAACAGCTCGTGCAAATGAGTTTCCAATTCCATTATTCCAAGTCAAAAGGAAATGTCTATTCCCCATTTACAGTACAAGCTTTTATTTGGTTCTTTAAAAATAAATGTTATTATATTATTTACTCATATTATAATTTTTTAATATCACCAATAAATTCAAATTAAATTTCTTTCTCTAGTTATAAATAATTTATATATAAGTTTTGATATCAAGGGTGACATCGTAACCAAATAAATAGATAAAGAACAAAAATGCGTTCAAATTAAAAGATAAATAAGAATTTACTAAGAAAAAGATAAACAAAAAATGCAGTCTCCTCCACCATTAAATTAGTTGGGAGAAGGCAAATATAAATGCACCAAATAGATAAAAGGGCAAAGAAGTAAGTACCTGAAGGCAACCTAGAACGAGAATGGTGATTCCAAGAGCCTCGTGAATACTAACGTCAAGATTGAGTTGATAATCCAGAACAAGCCCGGTGATTACACCCATCACTCCCAAAACAAAACCTAATGATTGAACGGAAGCGTGGAAATTAAACCAAAATGGATCCCATTCCTTGAAGTGGCGAGCCACTATTGCTCCAATTATGACCAGGATGCCCCATCCCAAGATATTCAACATTCCGTGGCTTCTTTTCAGGTTCACAGATGGGTTTTCTGATTCAAATGAACCTGTTTCCAATAAAATGACAAATAAACTCTATAAAATTAAGTCATGCCTGAAGACAAACGCAGATTTAAATCCGATAACAAATCCATTAATTAAACTCTGAGAGTAAATAAGAACAAAAGAGTTCCTAGTTTAACATGAATAGCCAATAGAATTGCAATTTGCTACTTTTGTCAGTCCTTACTTTAAAATTTTAACTCACCCAAAAAGAACTAGACGCATCAAGTTTACAATAAAACCGATTTGTTAGAAACGTGTGATTACATCCATTTGAGATTTGTCATGGTTTGAATAGGAAACTCCCTGTTCAATTCCAATTAAAAGGATATATTGTTATTATGATTAGCATTACGATAATAATAACTTAATTACTGAAACTGTATTAAAGTTATTTCTAGTATAAATCGATAATAATTGAAGCCGAATGAAAATGGTGATCATGACTATGTCCAAAATGATGGCAACGTCAGCTGAGGTCAGTTTCTATACCGTATGCAGTTATGCACCACTAAACGACTGACTTCTGCCCCAAGATAAATACTACAGTGTTAGTAACTAATTAAAACCGTGTCAGACATTCCCAAATTAAAGTTCCACAAAATTTAATATTAAATCTTGTAATATAATAAATTGTTATGCATAGTTAATCAATTAAAAAATAGCTTTAATTATGATTGTAACTAACATGGTAGAAAATTTCTTTTATCAAATAATGTCGTGTCCAATTAATGTACTAAATTTCTCTTTATCACATGATATATGATTTGGTTTGGTAGAGGGTCGATTCAGATATTATTACATTTCAACCTATTCTAATTAGCAACAAAACGATAAAAAAAAAAAAAGTATGTCCTCTCAACCACTCCAAACTACCGTTCAAGTCTAATGTAGATCCTTTAAAAGAAGAATATTATAGACAGCTAGCTAGAACTTTTTTAAATAAATCAATTTGGTAACTAACCTGTATCATAATTGAAAGTAGTGGAGACTCTGTCTCGGTGCTGCGCTAAGGCAAAACTTGGTGGGGATGGGAAGAAGGCGTTGGGACCGATAGCGTAAATGAGGCGGGAGGGAGGTTGGTTGGTTTGTAACTGAAAGGCCATGTAGATGCGAGATGACTGTGATGTGATTAAGGTTGAGTTGTTGATGATTTGTATGTTGCCCTTATCAGCCACCACCTCGTTTGCCGTGGTCCCACCTAGATAATATTGCTTTATCATCCCACCTCCGGATCCACTCGATGAGACCCACCCAACAATGGCACTCGAACCCACCATGCCTCCATCCGGAGAAATACCCATTGCTATGTAACTATTTGCATTTGGGGCCGAGAGAACCATGCTCCATATATTTCCGGAACTCACTGAATACTGCAAATTAAATTAAGTACTATATAAATCATACAGTACAAGATTTGGTGTTTGTAGTTATGAAATTAAATGGTAATAATTAAACTTTTGATAAATAATTTTCCGTTATTTTTAGCTAGTGTGTACCTTTTCTTTCTTTATTTCTTTAATTTTTCTTTTTTCCAATGATCATAATGGCACAATCATTAACTATTGCGATAGCAACTTTACTTTAAAATTATTGTTAAAGTTCAACAATAACATACTTACTCTAAGAATGAACCCTTGAGCATTCCATACAGGAAGACAATTGAGCTTGGTTGTGTCAAAAGGGATAGGAGTATTAATGAGGTTTAGCCCGTTGCCACACGAGTCTACCAGTGTACTTCCATTTCCTAACGAGCCTCCATTTTCTTGCGCGCTTCCGGGATTGGCTGAAGCATGGGAAGGAATTATGAATATGAGGAATGCTACATTAGTCAATAGTACTTATGACCAAATATGAGAAGCTTAAAGAAAACAACAAAGTTAGGTGGACTGGGGGTCAAGGCTAACTTAAACAAACAGACAACCTTTCATGAATATAGTACTTATTTAATTATACATGATGCACGATAATTGTTACTGGAAAAAATATATATGAATATATTATTAGATTTTTTTTTTTGTAATATTTTTTAAGATATTTAAATATATTTTTTTAAAAAAAATATAAAAGTCAATAGAAAACAGTTTCATTTTTTATATTTTTATATGTTTTAAAAATAATTTATGAAACAAATATATAATTTTTATTTTTATTTTTTAGAAAACTTATCCCAACACACCCTGTATCTTCTTTCCCGTGGCACTTTGATGTTTTCGCTTTTCCTGTTTTTGATTAAACACCTCACCTACTCGACCGATGCATGATGCCCAACCTAATAATGTCCACTTGCATGACTACTTGACCATCGATCGGCTAATTATCGTGCTCGTGTTTACCTTGCATAAAGGAGAACGGAAACAAGGAAAATAAGAATAAAAATAACGAATATGATTTCTACTTATCCACATGGTTGCTCGAGTTACTTTCCTGTTTTTTGGTTTAGAAAAAACAAAATCACAACTTATTCACAAATTAAATACATACATAAGTACTGTTATTGTTGAACACTAAAGTTTAGATCTTAGTAATTTCATAATTACTTATCTTAACATTGCTCGTACTTCATAATGTAAATATATAATTTACTTTTTATTAAGTATTAAGAGGATTGTTAGAAGAATGATTTTTTTTAAAAGAATATATATATATATAGCATTATTCGTCTTAGAATTAATTAATTGCAATATTTATTTTCCTAAAACAATTAAGAGAGTTACGTAATAAATGCAAAATATCGGTGATAAAGTACTATTAATTTAGTAATAATTTATTTAATTACCCGGAAGGAGTCGGTTCTACATAAAACCACAGCTTAATTAAATACTTATTTAGTTTGTAGTACTAACCTGATGATGTTGAATATTCTATCCGGGTGGATAGCTTGTGTAGGTGTTTGGTTAGTTCATAACTTGGTGCTGAAGGGAATATAGCGGTAGGTCCAATTGCATATATAACCCATGACTGATCAGGTTCAGTGATTTCTAACTGAAACACCATGTATAGACGAGATGACTGTAAAGTAATGAAGGTTGAGTTGGCTATAACCCGAAGGTTGCCTTTATCAGGAACCACCTGGTTTGCTGTAACCCCACCTACAAAATATTGCTTTATCCCTCCAGTACTGCCTCCTCCGGAAGCCACCCACCCCACCATGGCACTTGAACCCACCATTCCACCGCTGGCCGAGAAACCCATAGCTATGTAGGAATTTGTTTCTGGGGTTGAAAGAATGAAGCTCCAAATGTTTGTACTAGTCTCAACATACTGCACAAGTTATGATACATATATAATATAATATTAGTATATCGGGTCGTATATTGAATTAATGAAGTTTTAAAAAATGGTGCACTTACTCTGAGGATGAAACCTTGAGCATCCCATACAGAAAGGCAGTGAAGATTGGTTGTATCAAAAGGGATAGCAACTTTGAGGTTGAGATTTGCAGTACACGAGTCAGCTTGTGGACTTGCTAGGAAGAATGAGCCGCCAAAACCAGTTATGAAGATAAGGAATATTGGTAGATATGCCTTCATGCCTGTCTACCTGTTGGTGGGATTGATCACTGTGCTTCTGCTGGAAAAACGTGATAAGCTTCACCAAGATTTTATTTGAAGATTGTCAGAAATTTTAACATTTGTCTTAAAAAAATAAAATAACAATGTAATGAACTAATGATTGCATGTTCTGTTGCAACTAACACGGTGCAGGGCACTAATGTCTATATATGTTGTTAGCATAAAGGTTGCAGTAAATAGGTAGGATCCACTTTTTTATTTTCTCTTTCTTACTTTTAGTGGGTTTCATCCACTTTTTTGTTTGTTGGATAATTTATCTTACGTAATACGAGAAAAATAATACCTATATATATATATATATATATATATATATATATATATATCCACTCCTTGACAAACTTACCGAATTTCTCTCTCTTTCTCGTGATTGAATATATATATGGGTAACAATCCGTTTATAAATTTTTTTTATAAATTTTTACAAATTACACTATGTACTTCCGGTAGAACATAGTGTAACCTAGTGTTCTCACGGAAGAATATAGTGTAGTTTGTAAACAAAAAATTTGTAAATATAACCCTCTCTAATATGGGGATGGATCTGTTTATAAATTTTTGCAAATTACACTATATACTCCCGGAAATATATATGGGGTGTTTGGTAGGAGGTTTCTTTTAGGATGATTGAGAAAGTTGAGATGGGTTTTCTAATTGACTATGTTTGGTAGAAGATTTTAAAAAATTTGCTCATCATTCGAATTTGCATAGCAATCTCAGTTTGTGTGTAAAATTGAAAAAAATTGTCATTTCAGAATATCACTGATAAGATGGTATTCTCGTTATCCCATCAAACCAAAAAGTAGGGAAAAAACAATGGACACAAATATCCCTTTTAAAAAACGTGCCAAAATAAGACTGGAGAGAAAAAAGTCTTTTTTTTTTATTTAGTCAAGGGTTAGTTTAATAATTTCATCCCATTTTCTCATCAATATTTTACCTTCAATCAAACATAGACTCAGAAAATTTAATCCAATTTTTCTGGCAATATTTTGACCTACTAAATAACTTTTTTTTTTAACTTTCCTACCAAACTCATTTTCTCACCATATTTCTAGTAATTATATTTTCCTGGTAAATTTTTTTGTTTACTCAACCAAACACCCCCATAGTGTAGTCGAGTGTACTTTCGAGAGTACATAGTGTAATTTGTAAGAGTTTATAAATAAAAAATTTGTAAATATAAAATTCGTCTTATATTAAAGGATAAAACAAATATATCCACTCCCAAGTTTATTTTAACCAACGTTAACAAAGTATAACTTGCATTTTATATTACCTAAATTCCGAAGACATTTAGAGGACTTGGCCTGAACCACAAGAATTCGTTTTAGGTTCAATTTTATTTTATTATCTTTTAATTTTTTTCACCCCTTTGTTTATCTGAGTTTAGCAATTTAGCTTTAACTGTTCATTTGGAAAGTTAAGAAATGTGCTATTTGATTAGTTTAATCATACCAATTAAGTTAAAATAATATTATCTGATCGAATTTTATCTTATAAAGGTATAAAAATATTTTAAAATAAATTATGATAGACATACAAGTCTCATGTGATATATAAAGATTGACAGAACGATATCCTTTTAGTTTAATTAAATGGGTTGAATATCTTATGTCATCTTGTAATATTACAATTTTTTTTTCAAGTTAATGACATTTAATTTAAATAGATAAAAATAGATAAGATAAAAAAAAATTTAAAACATAAAATTTTAAAAAATAAATTGATAAAATTTATATATGATGAATTAAATTAGTAAATGATATATTTTTTAAGGACAAAAATACAATTTTATTTTTTTAAAAAAAATTAACTACCTCCTTAAATAGAAAGATGGGGATACCCAAAGATTCGATTCAGCGACTGATTACAAGAATTGTCGTTTACTTGTTGGATTTTCTTATCTTAGCATAATACTTATGGGAAATAATACTCTCATGCCACATGAGATACTCCCATTTTCCTACACAAATTCGTTTTTCGTACCAATTGATTTTATTTTTTTTAATATAAAATATAGGACCCACATTTAATTTCTTTCTACTTTTTTTATCTTCTACAATACTACAACATAAGAAAAGTTAAACCCAATACTTATTTAAAGAAACAAATCATCACCTTCAAATTAGAGTTTTGATGTCTTTACTTAGTTTAGACGTGACATAACCCCACGCCTCACGTTGTGTTTTTAATGAGCCTTCTCTCAATTCAAAAGTCAAAGTTCCCATAGTTGGTATGTCTTAAAGTTCACGCTTTTAAAAAGCTCTAACCTTGGGTCAGTTAGTCAACTTTGAAAATGATTTTTGAGGAATGCATAATCATATTTTCTTGGTCATTTTAAGTGTTTGTTAATTATATTTTTAAATTTTTTGTTTATAAACAATACTATATATTATGAATAATACATTTTAGCACATAATATACTATTCCTAGTTAGAGATGACAATATAGATTAAATCTGAAACGGAATGGAACGAATTATATATCTTAACCCATCAACCCAGCCAGTTAAGTGACAGGATAAAACGGGGTTATAGGTGGAATGGGATGGAGTGAGCTACCCGCGGGTTATTGATTTTTTTTTTTGAATTTAAAGTTATAAAAAATATATTGTTATTATTAATTTTTATTTTGAAACTACAAAACAGCCTTTGCAGAAACGTTGCTCCTTTTCATATTTGTTGTCTTTGTTTATTAGTTGGGTGCGCAGATGATGTGAGAAGGAATATATTTTGCTCTGATACAGTATGCAGTGTAAAAGCTTACAATAAAATGTGTTCTCATGATTATTTGTTAATATTACTACAGTTACATATATCTTGTTAATGTAAATATTGTGAGATCTTTGAAGTACCCAGAGGCGTACTTAGAGCGGGGTTAAGGTGGGCCCTTGCTCCTTAAAATTTGATGGAAAAAAATTATATACATAAATAATATTTTAATAATATTATAAAATGTGTGTGAGTGGATAAATTACTGACATGCGTGAAAGAGAAGAGGAAACACAAAACCTCAACAGCTCAAATCAAACTTCTAAAAATTGTTCAGCCTGTAATTGCAAGAGAAGACAACTGAGGAGGAAGCACAAGCATTTTTATTAAAGGAGGACGTGGGACTCAATCTTGAAACACTCTTCAAGTACCTCTTCACTCTTCAGTTTTCAGTGATAGTTAATAGCCCGCCTCAGCCTCTTTTACTTTCTTTTGGGGTAAAATTTAAGAAAAGAATTCAGCTTTTGCATTTTTATTTTTCATTTAGCTTATCCTAATTGTACTAGTTTTGAAAAGTCAAGGACAATTTTGGTTATGAAAAAGACAAAGAGAAGTTAAATATTTCTAGGATTAAAAAATTAAAAAGTGGGTGGCTTGATTCGTTAGTTCATTTGCCAATATATAGGTTATGTGTTTCAAAAAAGAAGAATAAGAGTGTGCAAGAAGAAAACAAAAAATAGTGAAAACAGAGAAAGAGAGTGTCGTAGCACTTAACTGTGAGATTAAAAAATTGTAGTGTGTTCTTCTAAATTATTCTTAATCTCTTTAAATTTCCAACAATTTTAGCTATAAAAAGAATGAAAGGACATATATAACTTTGTGCGTATCTAATTTATTATTGATAACATGATTTATTTATGAGTTCGTCTCTTCCACAGCAATAGCATATGAATTTTTTTGTAGCAAACATATTTACACATGTGGATTCTGACATTTAAAAGAAAGAAAAAAGTCAGGATTCGCATGCGTAAAATAAAATCAAGAACAAGCTTCGAAATAAAATATAAGACCAATTTCTTGATTATTTTTTAATTACATACATTAAAAAAGAAATTGTTTTGAGTTTTAACACGAATTCAATTATGTATGAGTTTAACAATAAGAAAATACGTAAAATAAGAGTCAAATGAAGTGATCTTAATCTTTATAATATATTTCTTTTATTTTTTTTATATTAGGTCTGTATTATAGTTCAAATATTTTTGTTTATAATATAATATTTTTATTTTCGCCCCCCTCATTAAAATTCCTGCGTCCGCCACTGAAGTAGCTACGTAAATAACATTGAAAATGTTATACTTAAGTTGATTTTTTTAACATTAAAAATCATTAATGGATAGCATTGATAGTTTAATCAAAATAAAAACATAAATAATTATTGAAGGTTCATTTTAGAATTAATATTACTTATTGTTTTTGTTGAAAGAGTTGTTTTGCAATTAATATAGCCATGTGTTATTTTTTATTTATATAATTTTTATGGGAAAAGTATTTCTCCACTCACCGGAGATAAAATTATCTCCAGTGAGCTCAAAACGACGTCGTTTTGGAGTTATAAGATTAAAAAATTATAATGATAAAGACTAATATAACCTTGTAATATATTATAATTACAAAAACACTTTGATTTTCGCCCCAAAACGACGTCGTTTTGAGCTCACTGGAGATAACTTTATTTCCGGTGACTAAAGAAATCATTTACCTAATTTTTATTTTTATTTTGGCCGATCAACCTACCAACCCAATAATTTTTTGGTGATATGTGATCCAACTTGCCAACCCAATTTAAAAAGGAATGATTCAATTTTTCAATCTATCATCCAATGCGACGGGTCGGTCCGTTTTGACACCTCTGCTCCTAATACACAGTACAGTTTATAAGAATTTATAATTTTTTTTTTTATATAAATATAACTCTTTTCATACTTTTATTCTATTTTAATAATTTTGTTTTAAATTTTTTGAATTGGGTTCCTTATGCCTAAACAAAAGACAGAAGATAGTTGTCAATATAGGCTAATTCATTCCACCAAATGGGTTAAGTCCAGAAGTCTATAGGATCGAAGTGCCAACAAAAACATAAGCTCACACGAGATTCAACCCCAACCTCCACGACGCACAAAATTCTATGGGGTTAGGGTTAGCCCATACTTACTAGATTGAAAAAATCAGCTTACTTAAACCATACTTACTAGATTGAAAAAATCAACTCACATTTAAGTAAGCTGATTTGTATGGACATCCTTTGTAGCAAAATCACTAGATAAACTGCAACCATTTATCAGGAATACAAAATTATTAAAAAATTAAAGAAAATAACATTCTTGCTGTACTAGTATCTATTTAGTCTTTTATTTTATGGGAATAATATTTTTCATATCCATAAAAAGCCTTTCTCATGTCATAAAGACAAAATGCATGTGTTATCAAAAAAAAAAAAAAAAGACAAAATGCATGTACAGCTCATATATTAGAAAAAGTCATATGTGAAATCTACGTCAGCAGATAAATTGAAGGTGTTGAGAGATATAGTTTTACATTGGTTGTATGTGCAACTAATGTGAAGTTTATAAGGTCTTGGACATTCTCACCTTTTGAGCTAGCTTTTGGGGTGGTGTATCCCAAGGTTCTTTAGATGGTATCAGAGCCTCGTCGCCGTATGGGGGGCGTGTTGAAATATATAATCCTACATTGATTGTATGTGCAAACTAATGTGAAATTTATAAGGTCTTGGGTACTCCCACCATTTCAATTTAAGCTTTTGGTTGAATTGGTTTATTTTTCTTATTTTTAATGAGAAGTGTAAAACCCTTATTTTATTTAATGAGAATATATTGGCTTAAAATTAAAAGTGCCAAAAAATAGAAATAAGGAACCACGTAAGGCTATGTAAGATGTTGGAAGTAAAGTAAAGGGTAAGGCAGAGAGAGGGAGAGAGTTTTGTGGAGGGAAATGGATGTCACTCTGTCCATCTCTCCGCAGAGACCCAAATGCTCAAACTCAAGCCCATCATCGCTTGTTTCTTCCTCCAACCCTCGCCCTCGCCCTGCTGTTATTCTCCCGGTCAGTTAATCTCTCTCTCTCTCTCTCTCTCTCTCTCTCTCTCCACAACACAACTATTTGCCAAGTTATTTATTAGTGTGCTTGCTCTGCTTCCATTCATTTTCATTTTCATTTTGATTCTCATGTGATGTGATGTGATGTTAGGGTTTAGGGAACAATTCCGGTGATTACCACAAGTTGGAGAAAACGCTTAACGATAAGTACGGGGTTCCCACCGTGGTCGCTAAGGTATCAAGGCTTGATTGGTTCCGGAATGCCGCTGGTTTGCTCGACTCCAATTACTGGCGTGGCACTCTTCAACCAAGCCCTGTCCTCGATTGGTATTTCTCTTTTTCTCTTTCACTTTCACATCCAATCACTTTATATATGTACCCTTTTTCTTTCATTTTATTAACTTATATATATATATATATATATATATGTATATATATATATATATATATATAGTGACAGTGTGCTTCTTTTTTACTAGGTACCTCAAGAGGGTTCATGATGCTGTTCAAGAGGCTAACGAGTTGGCACAAGGTTCGACTACAACATTCCTCTTTTTTGTTGAATGTATTGTTGGAACAACTCCCTCCCACATGCGGTTGGAGTGAGAAGAAAACATGAGTGTGAATAAGGAAATAGTGTGCCGACAACACCCATCAATTAGCGATAAGTGAACCGTGAAATTTGAGCCAATTCACTTGTTCTCACTTCCTCATCACTTATCTGTCACACAACATTTGTTCACCATCCAAGAAAACATTTGTTCACCTTACCATATCTAAGACCCTATAAATAATCTTATTTTAGGTGCAACTTTATCATTGATTGGGCACTCAGCAGGAGGATGGCTTGCACGTGTGTATATGGAAGAATTTGGGCTGTCCCATATATCCTTGTTATTGACTCTTGGAACCCCTCACCTGTAATTTCCTTTCTGATAGTTATTGGATCCCAGTAGGATATCTAGCAAATGGTAGAAACTTCCAGCAGTTTATTCAAGAAATACTCTTATCAGTTTCAATCATTCCATCTTTAAGGGTATATTTTGTATTCTGTTATGAATGTAAACCCGTAATCAACATCTCTTTCACCAATCTTTTCAGCCCACCCCCAAAAGGCGTGCCAGGGGTTATTGATCAAACACGGGGTCTCCTTGATTATGTTGAAAAATATTGCTCAAAAGCTGTTTACACCCCTCAACTGAAGTATGTATGTATAGCAGGAAGGTAAACTTTTACTTTATCTCTTTTTCTGCTTCATGCAATGTTGATTGGATTCCTTGATAGTTGGATAATTACAAATTGTTTTTCCTAGTTCGATTGCTGAATTGTTGAGTGCTCTACTGCTATGCATGGTCGAGAAGATTCTATTGAGTTGTGATATGCCCCTAAAAAGTTGTTCAGTTATGCTGATCCTTGAGTATCCTGCAGAAAGAATTCTAGCCTAAACAAGGAATACTATGTCATGCCTTTTTGAGTTGATGACTAAATCTTGCATGCTTAATATTTGCAAATTTTAATGTTTATTCTGCATTGTTGGGTTAAGCTTATGGTGTGTTTTTCAAGGGGGTGACACCAGCTTTCATTGGTTTGATAAAGTAAAATTAGATACTAGTTTATAACTTGAACAGTGCAGTGAAAAGTTAATAGGAAAGTTATATCCCAGAGAAGTAGACTTAAAGAAATAATGTTTTGATAATAAGTTAATAACTGCTATAATTTGTAAAATGCAGACCATGCGAAAGAAAGATAACTTACTAGAGAATCAGTTATTCATTGCAAGTGTGCTGAAATATGGATTTTAATTGCATACTACAAAATGAAGGTATATTGAAGGGGCTCGGCTTTTTGGCAAGTCAAATCCAAATATTGAGGTTGTAGTTCCTACTAATAGTTCTCAGCCAGTTCCCGAGGCTGCTATCATGAACACTGCAAGCACTTCGCCACCTAATGCAACATTACGTGCTCGCTTTGTTGGGCAGGGATACAAGCAGGTGAATGCAGTTGTTTTAACTGTTCATTTATAGTGACAACTAGTAGAGTGTTTAAACTGCTATCATCTGACATGCTGACCAAAGCTATAAGATTTTGTCAGGTTTGTGGGCAAGCAGATGTGTGGGGTGATGGTGTTGTGCCAGAAGTATCAGCTCATCTTGAGGGTGCACTTAACATTTGCTTGGATGGGGTCTATCACTCACCTGTTGGTTCAGATGATGCAATGAGACCATGGTATGGTTCCCCTGATGTGTTGGAGCAATGGATAGAATACCTCCTTAATTAACTTGAAGACATTAGAGCACTTCATCTAAGTAATGTCATTTTATTAATATGCCACTAAATGATTTTTTTTTTCATTTTTTTCATTTTTATTGTATTTGTGTCATTGAATCCTGTTGTTGTTTAATATTTTAGAAAGTCATCGTTTTATCTTTCTGTAATGTTCGCCCGCCTTTACATTCTATTGCTACCAAAGAAAGAAGTTCCGAGAATAATGGCCCCTTTCCAGCTCGTTGGTACTGTAATTCATTTATCAGTCCGTGCTGTTTTATCTTGGGATGACATAAATTCACTTGAATAGAGCTGATTCAAATGTTTCATTTTCATCACGGTTAGCGATGACAATATGGGTTGGCCCGTCCGGATCTGTCATTAATCCATAAAAAATGGGGCGGGAGGGTTAGCGATGACAATATGGATTGGCCTGTCTGGATCTGTCATTAATCCATCAAAAATTGGGTGGGAGAGTTAGCTAGCGATTGAATATAGGTTGAAAAAATGAATTCATTTCGTTTTATGGTGGGTTGGTGAGTCAATTCACCAGCCCATCAATTAAAAAAAAAATTTAAAAAAAAATTATATTTTACGAATATTATATAATTTTATTTCACACTACTCTTAATTATTTCCGATCTCAATCTTACATATATATTAATATTCACTTAAATATTTTTTAGGAATTCATTTGTCTTCATATATAGATAACATTTGTTATAAATATATATATTTTTTTATAGGGAGTACTAAGATAATTTTTTTTTGGATAATACAAAAACTTAGTGACAAATAAAATAATACTTAATTGTAAAAAAAAAATTTAAAAATTATGATGCGGCGGGTCAACCCGCCACACGGCTGTTTAAACTTTTTTTGACCCATTTTTAGGCGAGGCGAGGCGAGTTGAAATGGGTTGAAAACATCAACCCAATTCATCCTATTTTGATAGGTTGATCCGCCAAGCTCAACCGATATTACCACTTCTACCTCAATTCACGTTAAACAAAGTGGATGCCCTGTGATAGTATATACTGGAAATGATGAAAAAAATCCATCAATGTATTGGAAATTGACAACACACAAATCGAAAACGGAAAAGAAAGAGAGAGAATAGACACAACGATTTACCCTGGTTCACCCAATTTATGCTACGTTCAGCTTGTCTGTACTATATTCACCTCACCACCACTCGTTACAAGTCTCTCGGTTTACAAGGCAAATATAAATAGAATTACAAAACCCTAACATCAGCTATTCATGGGCCCAAGCCCAAACTGCTAAGAAAATTACGATAAAACAGATGCCTACAACAGTACCTAGCCTCTACGGGCCTGAGGGCGCTACCCCCAGACCTCCGCCGGGGTGGCTCCCCCGGACCTCCGCCCGCTCACCTGGGAGCGGGACCCCAATTGTTTTTCTGCTGACCCCAACAACTAAGGCCTTCATCAGCATGCGAAGTATGAGCCATACCCAACACGTATAACCCAGCAAGTGTTAAGGCTTCATTAATTTTCAAAACTCATCTAGTGAACTTATATTATTTTTGAAAACCAGCCAATGTCAAAGCTCAGTTGATCTCAACTCGGCTTCGCCACCGCTTCCGATTCTTGCAATATTTAAACTTTAAAAAAAAAAATTAATATTGGAAAACCTTTAAAACAGTTTTTTAATACAAAAAATTTTAAGTATAAAATAATTTAATCTAACTTATTTATAATCTTAAAAGTGTAACTAAAGTTCTATTCAAAATTCAATAATGATATTAGTTGATTTATTGCCGTTGATTGTTGCAACATTTGAAAGTATTTTCATTTTACAAGAGATTCTGTATTTAATAATTGATAATATACAGTGCTTATTAATGGAAATTTAATTATAATATCAAATAATAGTCATTAATTGTTAATAATAATTCATACTTTTCAAGGGAATTTTAATTTATTTATTTATCTAATAAAATCCATGCCTTGAATATGCTAAAAATATTAAATAAGTTAAGATATATAATTAACGATAATTCTTTATAGATATATTGAGCTTTTAAGAATTTAAATATTTATCAATATAAGAAAATATCAATATTGAATATTAACAAAGAAAAACAACTAAATATCTTTAAACTTTAAAGTGTAATTTAAGATAAAATTAATAGTTATCAAAAAAAAAAAAAAAAAAAAAAATTAATTTAATAAAGGGTAATATTACTCTCATGTAACATGAGAGTAGTTCTCTCATGTTACAGAGAGAATTCAAGTAGGGCCCGCTATTTAAAAACAAAAAAGAAAAAGAAAAAAGAAGGGGCACGATTTTCGAAGTAAGAAAAAAGGAGATAACTAACTCATGCAAAATGAGAGTAGTAATTCCCTTTAATAAAAAGGGGAGTTTTTATTATCAAAAAAAAAAAAAAAAAGGGGGAGTTTTAGGAGAAGGCAGCAAGCGGGGAGGGGTAAAACCGTAAGATGCAAATAAGAAATTGGGGTTTGTGTTTAGTGTTATCATGGGGTGCTCCTCACCTTCTTATCCAGAAGTTCTGTCACAAACACCTATTCAACACAAATCAAGTAATCTGAACTCCTCTTCTTCTTCTTCTTATGAGACTCCTCAATCTCAATCTCAATCTCAATGTTGATAATAACAATACCTTACAATTAACAAAGCAATACGTTCTTCTTCGCTTGACTTAGTTTGTTGTTCGGACAGACAAGAATAAAATGTCGTGTTTGTTGCCACACTTCAAGTGCCACCCTGACACTTTCAGACCTCATCCTCATCCTCTTTGTAACTCTTTCTCTCTTTTCTTTCTCCCATTTCCCAATTGCTATTGCTATTGCTATTCTATCGTCACTTATCTTTTTTGTTTTTTGCAGCAAAATCAAGAGCAAATTTGTATTTCCAGCCACAATGTATTTTGTCTGCAACATCTCCTTCACCTTCATTATCAACAGGATCAGCCGCACTGCTTAGTTTGGAAAAAAAGTTGGCGTTAGATGCTCCTTCTGATCCAAACACACCCTGGCCCTATATTCCTGCTGTTGCTCCACCCATACAGGTTACACAGTCATCTTTTCACCAGTTCAATTTCACCATTATTCCGTTCAGTTTGTATCTTGGGATTCTGAATGATGTAACCTACTCAAGTCATCTTTCGTGCATGGTAATAACAATGTTCAAGTGCTGCAGCTTATGATTAAATGATCTAGTTGTCTTGTTCAGGGTTTCGTTAGGTCCTGCGTTTAACAAAGTTTAGCCGCATTTATCATCATTTCATTGCTAAAATTAAGAGTTCGCAGCCAATGAAGGTTGGCTCAACCGGTAGGATTGAACTGCTGGTGGCCCCTTCATTGGTAGGTCCTCCGTAATTAACCATTGGAAGCCCTTGCTAAAAGCTTGTGCCATGCCCTAATCTTTGAATGGGGCAACTTTCTCCCCTCCTCCCAAACATTCTTCCTACCAAAGTAATAAAATAAGTAAAATTTCTTTTTATTTTTTCTTGATTTCTGGATATTGAAACTTCACTTACATGCTCACATGGTTTTCATTGGCAACCAAGTCACAAGTAAGAACTATTATAGAATTGTATAAGGCGGTTTCAAACTTTCTTCTCTATTTTATTCATATGCAAATTTCAGGAGTGAATACACATTTTATCTGTGGACTGATTTTTTACTTTTGGATCATTTCTACAGTTCTCTAGCCTTGCAGAGAAGTTTATATATATCAAGCTTACCCAGAAGCTAATTATATTTATGCATTTAATCAGGCGAACTTTAAAGCAACCTTATCTACGGAATCACTTCTTACTAGTGAAGAGGCTGTAATAGCTGCTGCTGCTTCTGAAGCTCTTGCTCTTGCTAAAGCAGCTGTGAAGGTTGCAAAGGATGCAACTCTACTAGTAAAAAAGAAGCCCCCAGCAGAAGCAGGGTATAGAATGCACGTTTCTTCCAAACCTGATGATTCACTTCTCAAATGGTTTCAACATGTGGAAGCAGAAGATGTAGCAGGAGGATCCATGGGCACTGGATCAGAAATAACAGAAGATGTTGGCATAAGCCCCGGCGAAGAGGAGTCTGATCATGTGGAGCCTACCAATGAGGAACTTGAGCGTCTGCAGGAACAGCTTTCCAATAGTATAGCTGTAAGATCTAGGCGTCAAACAGAAAGAAAAGATAAAAGAGTCAGAGCAGCAGAGAAGGCTGCCACAAATATTGTGTCTTTTAAGTATGGCTCCACCAGCAGGAAAAAGCGTGTTCCTATGCAAGAAGTTGACTATTCTGATCCACTTCGTCAGTTAAGAACAACAACTAACACTACTAGGCTTCTTACTCCTACTGAAGAAATTGAGTTGTCTGAAGGAATACAGGTGGGATTCACATGTTAGTGATATTGCATTAGTATTTAATCTGGTGGAGAATCAACCATGCTCTTCAGGCCCTTGATATTTGATATGCTCCTAAATCACCTAATAATCAGGATAAAATCTTAATAAAGTGCATGTTGATCTTATGATTTTGTGAATCATATTTATGTCATTCTTAAAGATTAAAATATAAAAATAACAAAACCCCAACTTGTGAGGGTAGGAGTAAGGAAGTCCTTGTACGCAATCTTACCTTTGCATCTTTATAAAGATATTTTTTCTTGAATTTGGATTCATCTCAAAATGCCACAAGCCTCATTCATCAAGCTTTTCATGTCCAACACCAGTTACAATACAACATCACATGGTCAGTTGCTTCAAAAGATGCCAAGTGAACATAACATACCTTCTTTGGCTGCTTAAATTCTGCTTCCTTTTTATCCTACTAGATACACAAAATGGAAACTTTTAAATGAAATTTTCTCCTCATATGATGATCTGTTATATTTTCCTAGAATTGTCTAGGAGAATTAATTTCTCACATTTTCATGCTGTTATCTCGTACCTCTTTCTTAATTGTGGACAGACAAGTGTGTACATTATACCCTGACCTTTATTTTTTAAGAATAGGAAGGCTTTTTTTATTGGGTTGGGATTCTCTTCAAGATACTTCCTACTGATTAGTTGAGAACCATCCAGAAAGGAAAATAATGTTACAAGGAATTTTGCAAATTATTCATTTAATCATAGTGAATAAAGTCATGCAAATATTATTAATCATAAAAGATTGGGGCAGGATATTCTTACACCGATATAAGAATAAGAAGTTTTACACTCAATCTAAACCATTGATTCACTTGTATCCAATGGCTCACATTACTAAAAAATTAGAACCGTTAGATCTAAGTGAGATCAACGACCAAGATTAAGAGTGTAACTTACACTGGTGTAAAATGATCCTGACCTTAAAAGATTTTATATTTCTGGTGATTGTAATACTAGTTATAAATAATTGCCAGCGTTGATTCTTTCTGATTATGTAGTAAAATTTTATTACATTTTTGTTGTTATCTAATTCATTTGCCTCCTCTTCTGTCAACCAATATAATTCAGGACCTCCTAAAGCTTGAAAAACTCCAGGATGATCTTGTAGAAAGATGCGGTGGTCAGCCCACATTTGCTCAATGGGCTGCAGTAGCAGGGGTAGATCAGAAGACACTGAGGACACGTTTAAATTATGGCACGTCTTGCAAAGACAGAATGATTAAAAGCAATATACGACTTGTCATATCAATTGCTAAGAATTATCAGGGATCTGGGATGAATCTGCAAGATCTTGTCCTGGTATATTCTCACCTATACAGTTTTTTTGCTTAAATAGATAACAATAACAGAAAACATGGAAACTTTAATGGTTCCAGTAATCAACCATTTAACTCTTGCTCATTGATTTACAGGAAGGATGCCGAGGCCTTGTAAGAGGTGCAGAAAAGTTTGATGCTTCCAAGGGTTTTAAGTTCTCCACCTATGCTCATTGGTGGATTAAACAGGCAGTTCGGAAATCACTTTCTGATCAGTCAAGGACTGTTCGCTTGCCAGTGAGTATTATCTATATCTTTGATTAGTTTCTTTCTGACAATGAATCTAAGTATTTCCTTTACAAACTGTTCATGGGAAAAACCATAAGCTAATCTTGGTTATATAAATTGCTCTAATGTTTATAAATGACTACATCATTGCAATATTTTTGGCATAACAGTTCCACATGGTGGAGGCAATTTACAGAGTGAAGGAAGCTAGAAAAAAATTGTATAGTGACAATGGAAGACACCCTGATGATGAAGAAATTGCTGAGGCAACTGGACTGTCAATGAAGAGGCTTAGTGCTGTACATTTGGCCCCAAAAGCTCCCAGATCTCTGGAACAGAAGTTTGGGTTCAACCAGAATCTTAAACCTTCAGTCTGTCCTAATCTTAATCTTGTTCAAATTTACGCTTCAGAAAAAACTCTTGTTTCATATGTTCATTTTACTGATTCGTATGCTTTTGACCAACCAGGAAGTAATTGCTGATCCTGATGCTGTAACAACTGAAGAACAGCTCATTAAGCACTTCATGAAGAAGGACCTGGAAAAGGTACTGGACAGTCTCAATCCAAGAGAGAAACAGGTCATAAGATGGAGATTTGGTATGGATGATGGAAGGATGAAGACCCTGCAAGAGATAGGGGAAATGATGGGTGTGAGTAGGGAGAGAATTAGGCAAATTGAGTCATGTGCTTTTAGGAAGCTTAAGAACAAGAAGAGAACCAAGCATTTGCAGCAGTATTTGGTTTCATAACCCTACCAAATATTGATATTACCCCGCTGGATGAGTTAGCTTATTTGATGCCTTTTGTTCTTCCTCCATTTTTTTCTTCATTCTCCAAAATAGAAAAAAAAAACTTTATTTTTAGTATAGTAGGAATTGTATGCACACACAAAGGAATAACTTTTGACTAGGAGTTCATTTTTTTAATGTACGTCATTGAAAAAATGTTTAAGGGAAGTACTATACTAGTTCTTTTGATGTAGATAACCAGACTAATATGATAAATCACTTGAGTACATTAACCAAACTGACTGGCCTGAATTATATTGTCTGGTTAATACTTTAAAATCAACGGTGGCGGTGATAATCTTTTTACCGACGGTTGTAACAAGTTTAATAACAGTTTGCTACAGTTCTATACAGCAGGGCTGTTTGGAGTTTCTCATCCTGGAAATACTCGTTAAGAGAAAGAAACAAAGCCATTGGTTAGCCTCAGTCTCTATAAAATGTACAGAAGCACGTGCAATGTACATAGTTCTTTTCAGATGTTTCAATACTTGAAAATTATTAACTGGTTTGGACATTGTTGGTTGGGTAAAGCTACAACTAATAAACGGGAGGGTTTATTTTTTTTATTTTTTTATTTTGTGTGTGTGTCTGAGTATTTTTTTTAAGAGGGTACTTTACAATTACAAGACAACTTAAAAATAAAAAAATAAAAAAATTCTCATTTAAGTTGAATCCGACAGGAGCTAATTTTTAGTATATTTTACTATTTTTATTTTTTACCTTCTGTTAGGATAGTGCTTAGTGGTGCCTATTTTCATTTTCGGTTAATGCACATTTGGTGCTGATTTGTTAGTGCTAGTTTGTTACACATGCCATTCTGTTAGGCATCTTCTCTTTGTATAAATTCAGCATTGTACACCTGATGATAGTTGAATGAGAATTATGAATATTCAGTTTCACAAAGTTATCTTGTTCTGCTAATATGGTATCAGATGAACATCATTAGCCCTTGCCTTCCACCATGGCTCGTGGCTCCAACGCTACCCGTTCCACCACTGCTGATTCCTCTGGTTCTTCGGCAACCATGGAGGATAGCTCCAGTCCTTATTTTCTGTAGAGCGACGATCATCCCGGACTCATTCTAGTCTCCCACACACTTTCTGGATCCAACTTCAACTCTTGGCGTCGAGCTATGACTCTTGCTCTGACTGCCAAGCATAAACTCTATTTTGTTGATGGCTCCGTTCTTCGACCACCTGCTTCCGATCTTCTTTTTTCATCTTGGCTTCGTTGTAATTCCATGGTCATCTCATGGATCTTGAATTCTGTTTCCAAGGAGATCGCAGATAGTCTTCTCTATTTTTCCACTGCCTACGAAGTTTGGACTGATCTGCAAACTCGCTTTTCTGAGGCTAATGGACCACGAATTTTCCAGCTGAAGCAACAAATCTCGTCTCTCTGTCAGGGCTCTTTGGATGTCAATGGCTACTACACCAAGCTTAAATCTCTGTGGGATGAACTTCAAGACTATGTTCCTCTTCCTTCCTGTACCTGTGGTGCTCTTCGCACGATCCAAACACAACGCGAACAGGATCGTGTTTTGCAATTCTTGATTGGACTCAATGATTCGTTTTCATCGGCCTGTGCTCAACTTTTGTTGGTGGAACCTCTTCCATCTCTTGCTAAGGTTTTTTCCTTGATTCTACAAGAAGAGAGACAACGTCAAATTTCTGTTTCTCTCCCTGCTTCTGCTGTTCCAGAAACACCTCCATTTCATCCCCTTCCTTCTGATTCTTCTTTCCCATCCATGGTTGCCACCACCCAACGTCGTTCACGCCCTGTTTGTACCTATTGTAATATTCCGGGTCATACCCGTGAAAAATGTTTTAAACTCCATGGATACCCGCCCGGTTATAAACCTAAACCCATCAGGCCCAATTTTTCCCCCAACACACCTCAGGCCTACTCTTTCCAATCTGTGTCTCACCCTTCCCCTAATTTCCCTAAACCTACCTTTGCTGCTGCCTCTTCCACCACCGATTCTCCCCTGGCTTTTACACCCACACAATACAATCAATTGTTGACGCTCATTCAACAGAGTTCTGCGGCTGGTTCTTCTTCTTCAGCTCCGTCAGTTACCACAACTACTCCTTCAATTGCTAGCTTCAGTGGTATGTCTCCTCGTTCTCTTCCCCGCTCTTGTTGGGTTCTTGATACCGGTGCTACGCACCATGTTTGCATTTCCTCTGATCTCTTCGTTTCTTCCGTTCCTTCTGATTCTATGGTTGTTTTTCCTAATGACTCTTCTGATTTTGTCTCCACTGTTGGTTCAGTGTGTATTTCTGAATCTTTTCTTTTATTAAATGTTTTATGTGTTCCATCGTTTATGTTCAATCTTCTTTCCATTAGTGCCTTGACCCGTGACTCTCCTTTTTTTGCTAACTTTTCTTCTTCCCATTGTCTTCTTCAGGACCGTGCTTCAGCAACGACGATTGGGATTGCTAGAAGATACGGGGATCTTTATGTGCTTGATAGTCAGAATCTTTTTTCCCATGTCAATGTTCCCCCACCCCGTTGTTTTTCTTTTCATATTCGTTATCCAGTCCTCTAGTATTCACGTTAAAGGCATTTGTCTGTCTCAGTTTTAAATTCAATGAAACATGCTTTGGGATTGACTGATGATTTACAAGTTTCACATCATTGTTCTATCTGTCCCCTTGCTAAACAGAAACGTCTTCCCTTTATATTAAACCCCAAATTATCTGATTCTCCCTTTGATCTTATACATTGTGATATTTGGGGTCCATTTCATACCCCTTCTGGAGAGGGATCTTGTTATTTTTTGACCATTGTGGATGACTCCACTCGGTTCACATGGATTTATTTTTTACGTGCTAAATCTGATTTTTCTACTGTCTTTCCTTCATTTTACACCTTAATTCAGACTCAATACAATGTTTCCATTAAATCCATTCGTTGTGACAATGCCCCTGAGCTCAATTTATCTCAATTTTTTTTGTTTCTAATGGCATTCAAGTTTTTCATTCTTGTGTTGACAGACCCCAGCAGAACTCTGTTGTTGAGCGGAAACATCAGCACTTACTCAATGTGGCGCGAGCATTGCATTTCTAGTCCCATATCCCTTTGGCTTACTGGCAGGATTGTGTCTCCACTGCTGTCTATTTGATAAACATAACCCTTTCCCCTCTTTTATCTTCTGAGTCCCCATTTGAACTTCTTTGCCACAAATCACCTGCATATGCTCATTTGCGCGATTTTGGTTGCCTTTGTTATAGTTCCACCTTTCTTAAAACCCGACATAAATTTTCCCCAATAGCCCTTCCAACTGTGTTTCTTGGTTACCCTTTTGGATATAAAGGGTACAAGCTTCTTGACCTCCACAGTAACTGTACCTTCATCTCACGAGATGTTGTCTTTTTTGAAGACAATTTTCCCTTTTCATTACAAAACTTCTTATCCCCACCACAACCTGACCTTTATTTTTTACCTTCACATACTCCTGCCACTGTTAACCCTCCTTCCCAGCGACCAAAACGTGTTTCTAACCCACCCTCTCACCTTAAAGGCTACATCTGTTCCTCTTCCACTATCCATCCCCTTACCAATTCCTTATCTTACCATCGAGTGTCTTCTTCTCATTTGGCCTTCATTAATTCCATATCCTCTTATTATGAGCCTTCCAGTTTTTCAGAAGCTTCACAATTACCTGAATGGCAGAATGCAATATGGCTGCAGAAATTACTGCTCTTGAGATTAACAGAACTTGGTCAATTGTCTCTCTTCCTCCTGGCAAGAATGCGGTTGGATGTCGTTGGGTTTATAAGGTTAAATATCATTCTGATGGTTCTCTTGAACGTTACAAAGCTCGCTTGGTCGCCAAAGGCTTCAATCAACAGGAGGGTGTTGATTTTTTGGACACTTTCTCACCCGTGGCCAAATTAACCACTGTTAGAACTCTTCTTGCCCTTGCTGCTATCAACCATTGGACTCTTGTACAACTGGATGTTAATAACACATTCCTTCATGGGGATTTACATGAGGAGGTTTATATGCATCTCCCTCCAGGCTACTCGGTTCAGTCAGCCTCTCTTCCTCCCAATGCAGTATGTCGTCTCCACAAGTCCCTTTATGGCCTTCGACAAGCTTCAAGACAGTGGTTTGCAAAGTTTTCTGATGCCTTGTTTCAACTTGGTTTTATACAATCTGCTTCCGATAATTCTCTTTTTATTCGTTCCACTACTGCTTGCATTGTTGCTATATTGGTTTATGTTGATGACATAATAGTTGCTTCTAATAATCCTCATGAAGTGTAGCTTATTTCTGATCAATTGCATAACAAGTTCAAGTTGAAGAATCTTGGTTGTTTGAAGTATTTTCTTGGCCTTGAAGTTGCCAGAAGCTCCAAAGGCATTTCGGTTTGCCAACATCACTATGCTCTTGAGATACTCAAAGATTCTGGTCAACTGGGTTGTAAAACCCGCTCTTCCCCTATGGATGTTGGGCTTCGTTTAACCTCCATTGATGGTGATCTTATTTCTGATCCAACCATGTATCGCCGCCTTATTGGCCGGCTCCTTTATCTCACCATTATACGGCTAGATATTTGTTATGTTGTTACTCATCTCAGTCAATTCATGGCTTCCCCAAGAGTTCCTCATCTTCAGGCTGCCTACAGGCTTCTTGGTTATGTTAGACACACCATTGGTCAAGGTCTTTTCTTTTCCACTACCTCTTCTATTCAATTGAATGCTTTTTGTGATTCTGATTGGGTCACATGCCCTAAAACTCGGTGATCAATTTCTGGATATTGTGTTTTTCTTGGTGACTCACTTATTTCATGGAAGTCCAAAAAGCAACAAACTGTTTCCCGTTCTTCAACTGAGGCAGAATATCGGTCAATGGCCAATGTCACTTGTGAATTAATTTGGTTATTCTCTCTTCTCAAGGATTTTAAAGTTTTGCATCCAGGTCTGTCACACCTCTTCTGTGATAACCAATCTGCCCTCCATTTAGCAGCCAATCCAGTTTTCCATGAACGCACAAAACACATTAAGATAGACTGCCATCTCATTTGCGAGCATATTCTCAAGGGGCATGTGAAGACTTTTCCTGTCCCTTCATCCAAGCAGCTTGCTGATATCTTCACTAAGCCACTACTGCCTTCCAAATTCTCTGTTCTGGTCTCCAAGATGGGTTTTTTGAATATTTACCCTCCATCTTGAGGGGGGCTTTTAGTATATTTTACTATTTTTATTTTTTACCTTATGTTAGGATTCCTTTCTGTTAGGATAGTGCTTAGTGGTGCCTATTTTCATTTTCGGTTATTGCACATTTGGTGCTGATTTGTTAGTGCTAGTTTGTTACACATGCCATTCTGTTAGGCATCTTCTCTTTGTATAAGTTCAGCATTGTACACTTGATGATACTTAGAATTATGAATATTCAGTTTTACAAAGTTATCTTGTTGTGCTAATACTAATTACCTCGCCGTAAATAACTGGCTTCGACAAATGAGGATAATCGGTTGCAGATCAGATCCATTTGGAGGAAACAAAGATGAGCAGACCTGATGAACTTATTTACCTACGAAATTTTGCAAGCCATGTAAAGTTCTCTCTTCTTCCTTCCAAATGAAACCAAACCAACTAGAGTTTCTTTTTATCCAAATGCCACGGTTGCCAGTTGCCACAGTCAAGAATTTCAATACACTGTCCGAATATTTTTCGAAAGATTGGAATCAGCTCCACTAAGCAGTCTGCTGGTTTTCGTGACATACTTAAAATGAAGAGTGTTAGAGCTATTATAATCCATAAAATAAATCTTCTTATGTTTGATCATATTATATATGGGTTTTCGTTTTATCCTTTAACATAACATAACAAACTTTCCTACCCTTACAACATTTTGTGGGGCCCACACTTTTTAAAACAAAAAAATAAATAAAAAATTAAGGCACGCAAAACGAATTTCTATAACATTACACAATCACTTTTCCTACAACATAACTCTTATAAAACCCATTATATATTTATATGAAAAATTTCAATCATTTATCGACACATCAGCTATCACAATCATTAAGTTCTGCATTCAAGATGTTTGACAGCTCTATTCAAGTTGCATTCAAGTGATTTTTTTTTTCAGGGGGACAAAATTTAATAGTGTTAAAAGTTGGACAAGATGAAAAATATCACAAGATAATAAACGATAAAAAAAATAACCCTAGAAGAGAGTGATTCTAAAGAAAACCATAAAATTAGCCACTTCACCTAATTTTATATAATTACTTCACCTTGTAATCTTCACCATTAAATTAATTGATTCTAATATCGCTATTTATTCATTTTTAATGCATTAATTTTAAATAAATTAAGAAAATCTATTATGGTGAATCAGGCTCAAATTGGTTAAAGTCAGTCTCTACATCATTAATACGCCCTACTTTTTCTGGTTCTATTGGTATGTATGTGTGTGTGAAATTTCAAATATTTTCTCTTTAGTGCATGACCAAGATGAAAGGTTTTCGTTTATCATTTATGTTCGTTTTGTTTCCTAAGCTAAGCCTATGCTCACCCAGAGCGGTGCACTATTCCCTTTGAATGAAGAGTTTTTGTAATAAAAGCAGTCTTTGAGTTTTTTTTTAAAGCCTTAAAGCGCTAATGGGTGCCTTTTTTTTTTTTTTTTATCAGATTTTACTTTTTAAGTAGTCAAGCAATGTTTTATCAAGCCCGTGATTTTTTAAATTAAAATTAGGGTTAGTTTTTTCTGCAATAAATATAAATAAATTATCTATATTGAGCTCAAAACGAAGTGATTTTATGATAAAAATCAAGATATTTTTATAATTATAATTTATTTCAGAGTTATAATAATCTTTTTAATTATAATTTTTTAATTTTTCAACGCAAAATAACACTATTTTAGGAGTGAATGTAGATAATTTATCTATTTTATTTTTTTGGTAAACGATAACTTATCTAAAATTAATGCATTAATAACGAATTAATAATGATGTTGGAATTAATTAATTATGAAATATGCAAGGTAAATTTTTTACCAGAAATGAGTGAATTAATTACTTAATTATTAATTAAATAAAATAGGAGTGGCTTGCTAGGTACTACACATGGCAGACAGTAATACCCGCGCATTAGGCCTAACATGCTACGTGTCAAAACTATACCACACCAAATAAATATATTAAAATTACCCTAAATGGTAAAAAAATTCCTCCAAATTTATTCGAAAATGGTCAATCAGTCACTAGATATTAGATAACAAAATTAAAGTTGCATTAATTTTTTTGTGTGTATGTGTATCCTGAAGTTATTTATTAATATTTTGGAGCAATAAAAATATATGATTGGAATGTATTTGTACGGAAATACTTGTTATTTACAATTTATTAAACCTAGAATTTATTGTTTCCGTGGGCTAAAACAGTTGTTTAGAGTTTAGATTTGATTATATACATTTCTTTTTCGGTAAAATAATAAATAATAGAGCCTATGTTTTATTACTTTTTGGTTGTGATCTGGGGTGGGGTTCCATTTAGAGAGAGAGAGAGAGAGAGAGAGAGCATGTAGTAGATTATAAAGAAATAGAGAGGATAGTACTCAAAAAGAGACACAAATTTATGATTTTGACTGCAATGAAGAAGACGAGCACTTCAGTTTCAGAGACAATTAATGGCGTCGCTGAGCCTCAACCACCTTCAGCTGCACCTTGTGTTGAGTTGCTGAGAGAGAAAGGGGTGGAGGAGGAGGAGGAGGAGGAGGAAGAGGAAACCCTTTTGCCTCAAGCTCAAGAGGGTCCGAAGCTTGATGATGGCTTCTATGAAATCGAAACCATACGCCGTAAGAGGGTCCGCAAGGTAATTAATTACCTATAAACGAAACGAACTAGTATTTATTTATTTCCTCTATTGTTTTCTTTTCTTTCTTCTGAGGTGAATGGTGAATGGTGAATGTTGCTATTGCAAATGCAAATGCAGGGTCAGCTCCAATACCTTATCAAATGGTGAGTGCTCTCGTGTTCCTTCGTCTCTTGTTATTCTTTTACTACATTCCATTCTCTCTTGTTGAGGCCTCAACGGCATTTCATTTCAATAGGCGTGGATGGCCCGAGACTGCCAACACTTGGGAGCCTCTTGATAATCTACAATCAGTTCCCGATGTCATTGATGCTTTTGAGGACAGGTTTTCCCTTCTTTTTCTTCTTTGGATTCCAATTTCTTTTCTATCTATCTATCATATCACAACATAACAATAGTCATAAAAATAACAACTAAATAACTAAATAAGCATATGCAAAACCCTCCCTCTTGATTTCTTCATGCTTTTGAAGCCTCAAATCAGGAAAACATCGCAAGCGCAAACGCAAGCATGTGGATCATCACACCCAACCTAACAAGAGGCACCAACGTTCTACCACTTCTTACAGCCTCAGACATTTTCCAACTAGTACAACTGACAACCATCCACAGTCTGCACCTCCCAATGATCTTCCTGCCCATCCTCAAACTGTCATCTTTGCTGATGATGAAGGAGAAACTAATGGTGATCCCAAACAAGCAGCTATTGTAAATGGGTTTGCTAATACTTCAAAACAAGCCGTTGTGAGGAATGAGGAAAATGATTATGATCCAAAGCTTAGTGAACTTAAAGCAACAACAAACAGTGGGGTTGATGCAGATAAGCTTGCAATACATTTCCAACAAGCTAAGGTTTCAACAGGCAACACTCACATAGATGGTCAATCCAAGGGGGATTGTGTGGAACCAGTTCAAGATGGGCGCTGCAGAGGAGCGAAAAGGAGAAAATCTGGTTCTGTGAAGAGGTTCAAGAAAGAGACATTTGCATGTGATCCTGCTGATACTCACAAGGCAATCAGCATGTCTGTTGGTACCGTTGAACCAGGCTGGACAGGAATTGCTGGTTATATGGGGAATAATAGTCATAAGAAGACGGGCGATGCTAAAACTCCCTGCAACATTGTCAAGATTATAAAGCCAATAGGCTATTCAGCTTCTTTATCTAGCAACATACAGGATGTTTTAGTGACCTTTATGGCTATGAGGTTAGTCACTCAACTGACAACTCCAAATGTTATTGTTACGCACACCTTTGACAAAAAAATTTTAATAATTGCTTTTGCTTTCTTTATGAGTATGTTTGCTTAATTAATTTTTTTTTTACCCAGATTCAGCTTTAAGGTTTTTTTTTTTTGGTGGTTTAGTTGGTCAGTTTAGGAGCGGGAATAATATTGTCCTTAGTGGATGCATATTTCCAATCAATAATAAGCATTGGTTCGTGAACTCAAAGTAAAGAAAGACCTTAAACATTTTCAAGCGAATTGAATTAGCAGAATTTTCAAAGTACTGAAGTTCAGTCATGCTCAAAATTTACTGTACATTGTTGAAGGGTTCAATCCCGTATGACCATGGTTATCAAAAGTTCAGAACTTTGTGGGACTTGATCCTCTCTGGGTTATTCCTTTAGTGCTATAAGGATTAGGTTAATGGTTAATCAGTTGGCTATTTATACCTTAAAAATTAATTTAGTAATCTATTTAAACTTAGAGCATAAGTTATAGAGGGGATATTGTTAATCAAGCATGATAGTATTTCCAGTTTAGCTGTTCTTTTTTTTTTAGTAAGATTGTTCACTTTTGGTTGTTAAATGATGATTGATAAATTAGGTGTAACAGAAAAGCATTTTAGAATGTATGCCAAATATTGAAGCATTCAGTGTCAAAAGGTGCAAACTTGTATTAAAAGACATTTTAAGCCACTGTATTATATAAGGAATCTCTTTTGCAGTCACCTCATCCGTCTATTAAGACTGTTTGGTGTAGTAAGAACATATTTGAGTCAATGAGAAGATATCAAAAGCTGTTGTTATTGTCCTTGGAAATTGATTCTTTGACAAAATTGTGCTGGTGTGCACTCATTGGATGATTATTGGACGATTTTCCTGTAAACCAACATATTATGTCAATTGATTTTAACTAATTTCTTGTAATTTCACATTACCCATGTTAGCACTCATCAATGGTATATTGGTATGATTTAATTATTTGTGCTTCAGTATGCAAGATGGTTTAATCATCTTGATTATTAAGCAAATTTTGTTCTGTAAGTTTTTGTTTGAATCGAAGGGGAGTCTTGGCACTACGGTTGGTATTGTCACCATATGACCTTAAAATCGCAGGTTTGAATCGTATGATGAGTTTCTTGCAAATGTAAGGTTAGGCTGCCGACTATAGACCTATAGAACGGGTGTGACCGTTCCCTGGGCTCAGCTCATAGCGGGAGCTTTATAGCATGGGGTTGCCCTTGTTATGTTTCTGTTTGAATGCATGAAAATGTTTAGTTATTAAATCCATTTTAACACATACTTTTTATTTATTGTTATCTTTTGGAGAGCGAAAACTTGATCAATTTTCTGTTAATAAATTAGACCAGTCACTAATATTTGCATGATCATTTAATTCTATTGTAGATTTTAGTTGATAAAACATTTATTTTCATTATAAATGTAGAGTGGAATTTTAAATGTAGCTTGAAATTTATTGAGATTGAAACTTTATTTTATAGTGAGGTGTTTTTTTATTTTTTATTTTTGGTTAATAAAAGGAAATGATGTTGATAAAAAAGAAGGGGAAATAAAATGCAATTAAGAGGATGAGATTTCCTGAACTCCTTGTAAGGAAAAGATAATACAGTAGAAAGAAAAACTCTTAAGACTACTAAAAGTTCCCAAAATTTAAAAACTAGTGCCTTTCAGTTTTGTGATTCATTTGCTAGAGGATAGCCCAATATAAATTAAATTTAGATAAAGATTCATGATTGGTTTTATCTCTCTAATATGCCCCTTCACACCGGAGTCCTATGGGCTTAACAAGTCCACGTACCTTATGTTGAAATTTAACAATTTTTTATTTATTTATTAGAACAATGAAAATTAAAATGATCAAACTCCTACTAGCTTAGGCTTCTAGGTAAAGATTCATTATTGGTTTTCTATCTCTAACGAGTATAAGTCATGCCTCATGTAGGTAAAAACCCTACAAGTATTAGAATTACAATGGTAAGCCTTGTACATTATATTTTGGGACTTGGAATGCACGTTGAAAGTGTGCAACTATCCACTACCAGCCTACACTGAGCAGTTGCAACAATTTTAAATGGAATGCAGTTGTCCACTAAATTAGCAAGTAAAAATGGTTTTGACTTGTGTTACTTAATTTTGTGGGAGCTTATGATTTCATTTTCTTATGTAATTTTGATGCCAAATTTGTATCTTTTCCACCTCTTCTATAAAAATCGGGGTGAACTGGATTACTTTTATTAATCATATAGCATGCTTATGATTAACTTTACAGGTCCGATGGAACAGAGGTGATGGTGGATAATAGATATCTCAAGGCATACAATCCACTTCTGGTACTCCGATATCTCTTAGATATTGATTATTTCTTTGTTAATTTTGCATGGTTTCATAGACTTCTGAAAATGTTTCTATTTCTTTTCACCTGAACCAAATGATTTTCTTAATTTTCCAGCTGATCAATTTCTATGAGCAGCGTCTCTTGTACAGTCCTACACTGTGACTTAACAGATTATTGAAGGAGCTTCCTTTAGGCCTAGACATTCCTGAGTTGCTGTTAGTGAAACACAGTGTAATTTTATAGATACAGCAGATGAAATGCATTGTTGGTTAGTGTATGACTATATAACCATTAAAACAATTGTTTTAATTCCTGCATGACTATGTATTTCAAATATCTGGAGACCTCTTGAATCTAGTGATTCTAGATTCCACTCTACCCCTTCACATATGATGGGGAATTGCCTAGATGACAGCTGACGCATCTTTGGTTATGCATTGAGCACTCTTTAATTTGATTTGTGTTTATTTATATTCACACAATTTTGTGAACGCCTCTCTCATATTTGGATCTTCTCGAGTTCTTACTTACTAACATGTCAATATCATGTTTAGGATTCACTATTATAGAATCCATTAGATTTACATTTGTAATATTTTTTTGGATATTGTCATATTATTAAGTTAGGTAAGAAATGAACCTGAGAGGGTGGAAGTCCCTTGTCTTTTCTATCTGGATAACAACCTCAAAGGTCTAACTGTAGTTCGCAGCCCTACTTATGCAAAAACATAGTGGCAAGATTAGTCATGTACCCTTCCCTAGTGAAGCGTAGACAATAGAAATAAATATATTTCTATTTAAAAGCATTAAATAGGTGGGGTTTGCTTAATATTGGTGATTATCTACAAAGAGATAGATGTAAAATTTATACTAGAAAAAGTCATACAATCCACTTCTGGTACTCCGATGGAACACATGTAAATATTAACACATAAATATACAGATTTCCATAATTCGTGTTTTTCTTCCTATCTTTCTTTTCTCTCGTATCAAATTCTTTAGATTCATCTCAATCTATTCGGAACCCTAATTCGGCTCAAGAGAGAAGATGAAGTGTTCTGGAGGCGACGGTGCTAGGGATATGAAACGGAGAAAGATGCAACAGAGTTATGACGATTACTATGAGAAAGGACTACTCGAGCTGCTGAAGCACCTAGATGCCAGGTCTCTGGCTATGGCATTTTGCGTGAGCAAGCGGTGGGGCAAGACGGCATGGGATGAAAGGCTCTGGAAGTTGATCTGCACTGAGCAGTGGTCAAGTACAGGGTCCGCGGCGCAAGAGCTACAATCCCTTGTCGCTCAGGGTAGTGGGTACCGTAGTCTTTACTCACGATTAATTTGGCCTTGCTCTTCTCAGTCTGATATTTACGAGTACCTTTGCAAGTTGGAGGTAGTGGGTACCCTTTCATTTGTTCTGCAAGTTGAAGTTGATCTGCACTGAGCAGTGGTCAAGTACAGTGAATTGATAGGAAAGAATACAGAACAGAACAAATGAAAGGGTACCCACTACCTCCAACTTGCAAAGGTACTCGTAAATATCAGACTGAGAAGAGCAAGGCCAAATTAATCGTGAGTAAAGACTACGGTACCCACTACCCTGAGCGACAAGGGATTGTAGCTCTTGCGCCGCGGACCCGTACTTCACCACTGCTCAATGCAGATCAACTTCCAGAGCCTTTCATCCCATGCCGTCTTGCCCCACCGCTTGCTCACGCAAGACGCCATAGCCAGAGACCTGGCATCTAGGTGCTTCAGCAGCTCGAATAGCCCTTTCTCATAGTAATCGTCATAACTCTGTTGCATCTTTCTCCGTTTCATATCCCTAGCACCTTCGCCTCCAGAACGCTTCATCTTCTCTCTTGAGCCGAATTAGGGTTCCGAATAGATTGAGATGAATCTAAAGAATTTGATACGAGTGAAAAGAAAGATAGGAAGAAAAACACGAATTATGGAAATCTGTATATTGATGTGTTAATATTTACATGGGTTAAGAAACCCTTTTATAATACAGCTCTAGACATTCCTGAGTTGCTGGTAGTGAAATACAGTGTAATTTTATAGATACAGCAGATGAAATGCATTGTTGGGTAGTGTATGACTATATAACAATTAAACCAATTGTTTTAATTCCTGCATGACTATGTATTTCAAATATCTGGAGACCTCTTGAATCTAGTGATTCTAGATTCCACTCTACCCCTTCACATATGATGGGGAATTGCCTAGATGACAGCTGAGGCATCTTTGGTTATGCATTGAGCACTCTTTAATTTGATTTGTGTTTATTTATATTCAAACAATTTTGTGAACGCCTCTCTCTCATATTTGGATCTTCTCGTGTTCTTACTTACTAACATGTCAATATCATGTTTAGGATTCACTATTATAGAATCCATTAGATTTACATTTGCAATTTGTTTTTGGATATTGTCATATTATTAAGTTAGGTAAGAAATGAACCTGAGAGGGTGGAAGTCCCTTGTCTTTCTCTCTGGATAACAACCCTCAAAGGTCTAATTGTAGTTCGCAGCCCTACTTATGCAAAAACATAGTGGCAAGATTAGTCATGTCCCCTGCCCTAGTAAAGCTTAGACAATAGAAATAAATATATTTCTATTTAGAAGCATTAAATATGTGGGGTTTGCTTAATATTGGTGATTATCTACAAAGAGATAGATGTAAAATTTATACTAGAAAAAGTCACGTGAAAATAATTTGCACATAATGACTTTTTTCCATAAATGGATAATCTTTTGTTAAAATTTTGCTCATGTAAATTGAGCCGCTCTCTTTAAAAGCATTCAATAATTGAGGCTCTATTAATATTTATGAAGAAAGAGATAAACACAAAATTTACATGAGGATTCATTGTCATAGGTGAGATCCTATCAATATTTGTAAATATCTATAAAGAAATATAAATGCCATCAACACATGAAATGTGTGAAATTTGTACATGAGAGGATTCATTTTTGTTTCTTAGTAAAGTGATACTCATGAAATTTCACATGACATTGTTTTGTGTAAATTGAATCTCTCCTTACAAACATTAAATAGATGAAATTCTATTAGTATTTGTGAACATTTATGAAAAGAGAGATAAATATAAATTTCACGTGACAAGGTTCATGTGTAAATTGTGTTTATTTCTCTCATAATTTGTGAATATATAAGAGAGAGAGAAAAAAATACAATATTCATACATGACAATGTCATGTAAAATTTACACGAGAGAATTTACATGATATTGTTACGTGTGAGTTTTGTGTCTATATCCTGCTTATAAGCATTAAGTAGCTGGAATTCTATTGATATTTATTATCTAGAGCAAAATTTGGTATGTTATCAAAGTTTTGTATTTTTTGGTTCAGTTTGAAAAGCCGTCAATTTCTGGAGAGATGCAATGGTCATGAATCTAGTTTCGCTTGTACCCAATTCAAGTTGATTTTTTATTTTTTTTAAGAGTTGGACTTAATCTAATGATGATTAAGTTAGGAATGAGCCAGTATGATATTCAGATATTATATATTGCAAAGAGCATGTTTGACACTTTATTTTAAGGTTAAAAAAAAATTAAAAAATAAAGATACAAATTATTTGATATTATATAAAAAATTTAGTTTAAAAATTACTTAAAAACTATTGATTTAAAAAAAAACACATTTTAAAAAAAATATTTATATAACTTAAAAAAATTCTCCTGAAAAAGCTTTTGGCTTTTGATTTTTTTTTATTATAAAAAAAAAAACTTTATTATAAGAATTTTTGTAAAAACTTGTTTGACCTAACTTCTACTTGTAAGGAAAAGAGAAATTAAAAAAAATAAATATACCAAACAAGTACTAAATCTTAAAAATATAAAAAAAGTATAAAGTAAAACTAAGTAATGATTTACAATATTTATTTCAAAGCAAAATCATTATCATATAATGTAAAATGTATATAAAGTTAAAAAACCGTAAGATTTATTTATAAAAATGCTTTGAAATGACATGACATTACGTTGGGTCATAATGTGACTAAGACAGTCAAACTTAAACCAAGAAGTTGATAGATATAACTGTGAAGACTTCAGTTCGGGCAAGTTCTTGAACACCTTTATCAGACAAACCAAACAAAACTAACTCCAGATAAAAAAGTATGGTAATGAAGATGGAATGCAGTGTCAGGTTATTCATATATTCCTCTAAAAAAGTTAGTGCTAGAAAAGAATATTACAATATCAAAACTCCCGCTGCATCTGTAAAGGACTTCTAAGTTCATTGATAAATTTAATAAAACTGCATGACAAAATATTGACCACAAAAAGTAAGCTAGGGGCACACAATTAAAGGACAAGTAACAAAGTCTGCAAATAATGCAACTATTCTAGGTTATATTTTCTTTTCACGATGACGTGAAACCCTGAATTTCAGGAGCAGAAAACCTCAAATTCTTTTAGATCCCGCTTCTTCTTTTGTTTAGTGTCTTGATAGGCTAGGTCCCTCTGCAAAGTCTGTTATTCTTATAGTTTTGTCACCAAATATATTGACATTCCACTATCAATAACCACCACGGGATTCACTAGGTAGTTACTGCAACCACGTTCGATTAATCAGTAGTACATAGAACCTATGGATTCATATGAAGCCTATATGGCGAATTAGAAGTCTAAAGTTCCAAATTGTTTGCTCTCGATGCTCTTTCCTCCCTGACTTTCAATTCCGTCCTTACAACCAATACTGCCCCGATTCCGCCCAATCCCCAGCTTAGGCAAACCTCGATTCAATCCGTCAAGCAGAACACAAGCTTTACACCATTTCTGCACATAAAATAGATACTGTATCTGAGCTGCTCTAGTTCAGACGAACCAAGAATGAAATCAAAGCGAGACAAAGACCAAACAAGACCTTCAGAAAGGCTACGAATGGCCCTATTAGAAAACTAATCATGGCAGGCCAAAGAAAAAAAATGGAAAAAAAGGAAAAACTAATCTTTTAAGGTAAATTGTGCACGATTATTGATAGGAGTCAGAATACAAAAGTCAAAACTGAATTTAGCAATATTAACTTCATGTCCATAAGGCACAAAAGGAGGCCAATGCAGAAAAATAAGTACAATTTGGTTATGATGTAAAAAGAGGCCGTCAGATAACCCCACAGACCTGCAAACTGCAATAATAAACTTTTATTTTGGGAAGGAATTTTAGAAAGAAAAAAAAAAAAATCATTTTGGAAACAACACAGGTAGAAAACAATGTTCAACTAATGGTTAATTTATTGACCATATATTAACTGAATCAATCACTTACATTGCCACCCAAGTCAGTTAGGGCTTAATTACAGTGGCACTTAAATAACATAAACTTACACGGACAAAACCACTAATGCTGATTGAAATGTACCATTGTATATGTAAGACCAAGTTTACGTGAAGTTTTCATACCCATGGTTCATATTCATACCTGACTAGAAATATAACCACACCGTTCACATGTTCCCTGCTCTGGCATTTTCGTAGCAGTGGAAATCCTGAAATTCTCCCCTGATTTGATGATGTCAAGAATGGCTCTGGGTCTGCATTTCACGATAAGGGCCATCGATATTTCAGTTCAGGAATTTGAGGCATATTGTGAATAACTAAAAGATTGAAGCAAAGCTACTCGGATGCTCACCTGATTCTTTCCAAATCCTTGATGAACTCACGAGCAAAACCGCGATAAGCATTTGGAGAATAAATGCCTGCAATTCTCAAGGGAATATTATAATTGGAAGTTGGATGGACCAAAAAATAAAAATAAAAATAATATATATATAAGTAAATTATAAAAAGATAAAGATTACATTCAGTGGAAAAGTAGTCGAGCCTCTTGAAATATGCATACGTAATCAAGATGTCAAGGATTTGCAAGTAAGAAGATCCAATAGCAACAAAACAAAGAATAAGGAAAAAATGATTTAATGAATAAGGATATATGACAATCTCCTTCTCGTATGTATACTTAAAAGGTTTGCATCTGGGGATGGGCCCATCTTCACCGGTGGTTATTGAAGTGCATCGACTCAATCTTATATATAAAAAGTAGAATTGTTCAATTAGTTGAGAAAGTGAATGGAAAATCAAAGTTGTAAGTTAGTCGTGAATGAATAGAACAGAATACCTAGCAATATCTCCTCTTAATATGTTGAGGAGAACGGTCTCAGCAATATCATCAGCATTGTGACCAGTAACGAGTTTATCTACTTTCAAGAAAGCAGCACCTCGATCAAGGGCCTATCCTACATACATGGATCACAAATTATTAAATGAATGAATGAATGAATGAATGAATGATTGAATATGTTAGGTTGCAACAATCTCAGTTCACCTGGCGACGGAAGACACCACAGAAGGTGCAATTGTTTTTGGTACCAATGAGGTTGACAATTTGATCCATAGTCCAACCGTACAAGTCCTTATAAGAGACGACTTTGAGAGGCAAATCATACTGAATTTGGTTTCTATGAACAGTTTGAAGGGAATCGTCACGGTAGCCTGTGATGCCCTCATCAACGGACAAGAGGAATAGATGGAGACCGTAATTGTGGACGCGGTTCAGTTTGGATAACACATAAGCAAGAACAGTCGAATCTTTACCACCAGAAGCACCGATTGCGATACGTTCACCGCTCCTAAAAAGTTGTTCGCCAACAATGAGTTGATGAATCTCATCCTCGAATACATCGTAGAAGCAATCCTTGCATATCTGTTCAAGAGTTTTAGGTCTTTTAAGAGAAGCTCTTCGTTCATTGCATAAACAGCACAATCGCCCCTTGCTTCTTTTCCTCTCCTCCCCTTCCATACTTCTATACTTCTAGTTCTGTTCTAGGGCACCACCGATTCAATCCAACTCTTTTTCATTTTTATTATACAAGTTACAGTATCTCCTACTTTTAACTCATCTTCTTAATTTAAATAAAATATTTTAAAATTATAATCGAAATATGAATAATTAATTTTGTAAAAAAAAAAAAGAATTTACAGAATCAAGTGATTATTATTAAAAAAAAAAACCCTAATTTAATATGTAGTGATGAATATTAATTATTAAAAAATTGTTATAAAATCAAGTGGGTAAAACTAGCTAATGTACGAGTGAAGCCAGAATAGGAAACAACATAAACACGTGTGAAATCTAATTTCACTCAAACCTTTTTATTTATTTATAATAGAGCGGCAAGGCCCAGCAACAAAAACAGCAGAAAAAAGCACAACAGCACCCAATCAATCAGGATTTCTCACGGAAGTTCTGGGAGGCTGCACATTCAGATCAGCAAGCAGTAGGTTCTTTAAGTCTGCAAGAGGGGAGGACAAGAAATAAGTAGGCTAAGGCATTTTTGGCAAGCCAATCAACACAAATATTCCTTTCCCTATCAGCAAAGATGAGTTTTATCTTCTAATTCTTGTCAAGCCACGCTCCTATCCTAATTAGTAATTACCAAGTGCAGTTTTCGAGCGGAGCTAAGCAAGTTAATATAGAAAAGTCACTCTCAACTATCACTTTAGTTATGCCAAAATATCAAGCATACTCTAAATCATGAATAATAACCCAGAGTTCAGCTTGAAGGGAGGGGGGAGGGGGTAGCAAAATTGAAGAAAAGATTGAAAACCACCAATCCAATTACCATTATGATTAGGAATGAGGCTACCACAAGCAGCTTTATTTTTAGAAACAACACCATCAACATTCAACTTCATCCAGTAATGAGTAGGCCAAACCCAGCAGGAGGGAGAGTACTTTCTGTTTGGATCACAAGTACTTTCATCCACTCAAACCTTTTAATTTTACTAATGGATCACAAGTTTAAAACAACTTGAAATTTTTTTAAAAAATGAGAGAACAGAAACAGGTAATTACTTTTAAGTATCATAATCACTTTTACTTGCACAATTATGAAATGTTGGGTTTGGATGAAATTTTTTTCTTCATAAAAAAAAATTTATTAAAAAAAAACACTTGTTTTATTTACTTTTTAGAAGATTTCTTTTAAAAAAATAAAAATAAAAAGTTCATTCCAATCATCCCAGTAACATGATACAAGATATATCAATTATATTTACAATTTTACACAAATCTTTAGCAAATAAATGTCATTTTTTTTTGCCAGGGAAGATGCCTCAATTTATATAAAACGTATTCCCAAGAAAATACAGATTTTCGCTGACCGGGTAAGATACTGAATTCATAATCGAAGGGAACAGTATAACTCGGTCAATCCAATGGGTTGAGAAGGGCAAGAGTAGTATACAGAAACTAGGAACTGAGGGGCTAACAGGAGGGGGGCACAACAGTTACAGATAAATTAATCAAAGCCAATACGAAGTTAAAAGAAAAAAGAGAGATGCTAATTCTTTGGAATGTTCTTGCCGACAATCTTGGCTGGAGTTATCCGCAGAAGATTTCCAGGCTTACCAGGGACAGCACCTTTGATCATTACCACATTAAGATCATTATCAATTTTCACAATCTTAAGCTTTCTTATCTTCCTCTTCTTTCCTCCCATCCTACCAGGCATCTTCTTTCCTTTGTATACATGGCCAGGTGTAGTTCCAGCACCAATTGATCCTAGTTGTCTATGACTCTTAGAACCATGGCTCATTGGACCCCTTTTGAACCCATGACGCTTGATTCCACCTGTGAATATGTGTACAAATAATAAATCAACGGCCACACATAGTTAACTGTTGAAGGCTATTGTCACGTCAACTCATTCACATTAGCTGCATGTCATCAAAATCTAAAATCTTACTAGCAGGAAATTAGAGTTTAATCTAGAAAAATCACGGCATATTTGAATTCTGTTTTCAAAAACAATTTTTAATTTTTAGATAAAAAATATCTGTTTGATAATATCTATTTTGTAAAAATAATTATAAAAATTATATCTTTTTTTAGTTTTTAAAATCAAATTTAAAGAACATATTTCAATTGTTTCTGTTTTGACTTTAATTAAAAAAAAAAAAAAAAAACACATAAAACAATTATTTTATTGATTACTCTAAGAAACAGTTTTTTTTTTTTTTTTAATAAAAAAAGAAGAAGCAAAACACAATCACGCAGCCCCAAATTTTAGACATTTGAGGCCCCCAATAACTAAGGTTATGATATGATTCAAGTCTTCTATGCTTAAGGTTGATATAAAAAATCATCAGGGAAGTGACCATCTACAGCTAAGACGAGTGCGGAAGATAGATATATTTAATTTGGGGATTCAATAGAAAGAAAGTAATGCTTTGAGAAATAGTGAGTTCTTCTCTTACACCAAATTTTCAGAATTAAATAAAGCACGACAGACATTATTCATACTTGTGACTAGCAAATGACATAATTGTGAGCAAATGGTAAGATATCAAATTATATTATTAAATACAATAAAAGAAGATAGGTTTTTCAATCACAATGTGAGTGTAATAAAATAGACAACACAATTTGCACCATTTTAAGATAAGAGCTAAGGAAAATTTATGATTTTATTCACAGGCAGCAGCAAAAGTAGAAGAACAAGAATAATATTTTAATGAAGTAAAAAAAATATAAAAAGAATTAAACAATGCGAAAAGCAAATACCAGTACAGTACTATTAGAAGAAGTTGAAAAGAGAGAGAACCTTGGAAACCCTTGCCAATGGTGGTGCCGGAGACATCAACGAGATCACCCTCCTTGAAGATTTCATCAAAAATAAGACGTTGGTTAGGGTCGAAGCCATCGACGGATTGAAGACGAAACTCCTGAAGATGGCGCATGGGAATGGCCCCAACCTTTTGGAGATGACCCATTTCGGGTTTGGTTAATTTGCGGTCTCTGAGCCTTCGGTAACCAACCTGCACAGCATTGTACCCATCCGTAGCTTCAGACTTTATCTGAGTGACAATGTTGCCTTCTTTGAAACCAACCACTGTGACCGGAACAACCACTCCATCTTCTTCAAAATAGCTCATCATTCCCAACTTGGTCCCCATCACTCCAATACCTGCTTCCATGCTCATAACCACCACCAAACCTTTCCCTTTCCCTTTCCCTTTTCTTCCTCCTCCTCCTTGCAATTTCACAAATGGGTTCGGGTTCGGGTTCTTCATTTGCCATGGCACAACCGTTGTTGAAATAGAACATGGCACGCGAGAAATTGAAAATGAAACTGATGGCGAATAATAAGAACGGGAGATTGGTGAAGAAATGGATAAGATTGACATGACTGACGACTATCTGTATCTGTATCTGTATCTGTATCTCACAGAAGGAAAATCGAAGCCATAGACAGACACAGCAAAGCAATAAATTATGAACTCTTATCCTATATGCCTCTGCGAGTGCTCTACCCAATGGATAGAACTTGCTTTACCATCTACTCGGCCCGACCCGATTCTATTTGTGGGCCTTTCATGTGGATCACCATTTCCCACTGCCTAAATTTGGTTAATAACCATAATTGTGATTTTTCTTAAATAATAATAATAAAAAAAACACGAAACTTCATCCTCTGTATTTCTATCATTTTAGAACATTAGGTTTGAAATGAAAAATTAATTTGATTTCGAATTTCTTTTTATTTTAGTTGTGTCATAAAAATTTACTCAAATTTGATTGGATTTAAGGTGCATTTTATTTTATTTTATTTTATTTTTTGTATTAATATTCTTACGCTTACTGTTTATGCCACTTAACATATTCTAAGTAAGAAAAATAAAATAAAATTATTAACCTAAAAATTTAATTAATCTTTAATGCGTGCAAACAAGAGAGCTTATTGTTGAATTAAATCAAAATAATATGAATCAATTAAACCATTTCGAATTTTTATTGTTCCAAATACAACCAAACTGATATAAATTTGAACTTTTTATTGCTAGAAATTTAATTCGTTCGTTTTGTTTCCAAGGACAACCTTTACTGGTGCCTAAATTTAACTGTAAAGTTGTCATAAGGCATCAATCACACATAGCTCCATAAGTTTTTTTTTTTCAGGTTGCTTTGACTACAGCCGGACTGATCAAGACAGTGTCACCCTTTTACATTGACTATTCTCTCAGACTTTCGAAAGCTACACTCTGGGTCTAATGGTGAATCCCGAGCTGGTGAGTGGAGACAAGTTTTAAACATATTCGTTCACATCACATTACATTACATAAAGTTGCTTGATAGCAAAACGTCCAATATGAGTTAACGACAAAAATGGGTGCGCAGCAAGATAGAAGAAACAGAACAAAACAGTAAATTTTTGTGGTAGCTGATATAAGCCAATGACAAATATATGCCCTAAATTAACTGGGAGGAAAACAAATACCCGCTTCGTATTCTCCAACTCATTGGTACTGTAAACAATTGGTGTGATTCTAAAGTATCAAGGAAAAAAGACCAGCCCAAATAAATGAGATCAACCCTTGCCAAAGTTACAAAATCAAATAAATGACTAGACACAATTATTTCTCACTATTATGACGCTTGAAAGAAAATGTGTGAGAAATTATTTGCTTCTGCAACCTTCTAGTTCCCAGCAAATTGAAAAGTTAGAAGATGGCTGGTTGCTAATGTAACAACTAAATTGTATTGCTCTACAAATCAAAGCTTCGGCAATCATGTATTCGCTGGAAACAAATCCCAGATACTTCCATGAACCATTCATCCTCAGATATCTACAGGGTCGTTGATCTCCTGTAAAACAGCAAAAAGTGAGACTATCAGAACATTTTAGATCTTAAAAAGCTTAGTAGTTATTGTTAACAAAGACATTGAATAACTTGTGCTAATGTTCCTGTAATGTAATTGAACTTAAGTTCTCTGATATATTCCATCCACAAAAGTATATGATGGATCCCCCAACACGGTCTAAGGAGTATATTAGGAAGGGATTTAGGAGAATCAGGGGTAAAAAGGGAATAGAATTTGAGAAAGGGAAGGAATGCTGGAACGGATAGGACAACGGCATTAAAGAGGAAGGAAATGCGCTGGAGATAAATATCCAGAAATTAAGGTGCGGGGAGTAGGGCGTAGGCGCCTTGAATGGCCTACAGCACTATTTTCATTCCAGGTTTTCCTTTTCCAGTTTGAGAGATCTATATACTACATAACTTCTTTCTGATATCTCTTATTTTCAGTAAGAGCAAATTTTAGTAAATAATACAGTGATATTTTAGTTCTCATTATCAGTTTCTATCAGTCTAAGACAACTTTTGACCAATGGAGAGAAACAATTTCTAATTGGGACAAGAATATATTTGAAGATAGTTGCAGAATCAGTATCTTCGTGGTATTCAATAATTAGACGATTTGAAAAGCTAGATAGATGTGAGCACGAATTTAATCACAATGAGCTAATTCCATGGCTGTTCGTTCCAAATCTATTTTTGTTTTAAAGAATATGAATTAATGGAGGTTTTCAATGCCGCCTGTACATGAAGTGATCTCCTCTACTGCCAGGAAGTTCTAATGTGAATGTTGAGGGTGCTGTAGTTGCCTATTCAAAGAAAGCTAATTCAAGATTCATATGCCAAGGCAGTTTGTGCTCTTGAACAACTGAGATCTAGAGCTGTAGCTCATGAAAAAGGGTCCCGGCTATTTCTGTTGAATCAAAGATTCTCAAAAGAGAGGTTCTGAGGTAAATATATCAAGATTCTGGTTCCTGATTGGAGGATCATTCGAGTTCTACATGAGATACCAGGCAACCAAGGATTATGCAACCAAAAAAAAAAAAGAGAAGTGGATATATTTTGAATGCCGTCATCCTCCTCCATCCAGCTTTTAACCTTGCACAGTCTGATTATATAACTGAAAGGAGCTCCATCCTGTTATTTCTACTGACATACATACCCATTTTTTGACCAGCAACTAGACAAGAAACCAAAGATACCCGTTACACCACTTCAAACAAAACACAAACTCTTCTTCCAACACACACCCCACCTAGGAAACACCACCCCTTTTGGGCCCATTTGTTTGTGCCTTTTCTAAGAAAAAAACACTTTAGGATAATTAGATAAATTTTTGAAAAAAAAGAAAACATAAAAGCAACAAAAAAAGTTGTTTTAGTGCTTTTTCATATGCTAAAAAGAGTAGCTTATGGGGAAAAAAAAAAAAAGCTATATCATAAAAGCACATTTTTTAAAAGCTTATCCAAACACATGCGAAAAGGTGAAGTGCCGTGAGAAAGAAACTCAAAAGCCCATAAAGAAAATATTATTGTACCTTATTCTCAATTACCACCCCATCCGGAATTTCCAACTTCAAGCCAGGTTTTGCAACAATAGTCACTTGCCCCTGATAAAGTGCGTGTAAAAGATCAAACAGGTAAATGCAAGGAAATACAAGTCTCTGAAATAGTAGTTCATACAGACTCACCCAAGACAATCATGCATATTTTTTGGTCGATGATGTAAATTTAGTATCATGAACAACTTAAATTACTGGAAGTATATTGAATTTGAATGCTTACAATAAATTCTCTACTCCCAGATGAGCTAATCTCAACCTTCAATTCCATATGAAAAGCTAAAACTTGCCAAGTTTAAATTAACAGAAAACTTAAAGAAAATTTGTGAGAAGAATTCAAGAACATTTTTTTCACGGAGTCTTTGTAAGGTACTGATTGTAGATATCCACTTTAGAATAAATATATGAGTTATCTTTTTTCTGTATTATCCAGATATTTTCCTTTCTCTGATGATCTAGAATAATGAGTTTTAGAAAAATAAAAACCAATCTTGGCCTTCACCTAACAACTTATGGTCCTTGACATGATATCAAAGTCTCTATATCCTAACAGCTTATGATGATCTAGAATATAGCCAGTGCATTGTCTATGCTTTGCTTCTCCCAGCCCAAAGGACTCTTGCAAGAGAGGATGTATTAGAGATACAAAACTAATATGAGGAGAGAAATAGAGAGAGATGAAGCATGCCAATTTGTTACCATTGTATCTTTCCAAAAGTAAGAAAAAAAAATTAAAAAAAAGTAGTAAAAATCAAACTTGTAAGAAAAAGTTTTCCCAGATATTCTATGACCACCATTAGAAAAGGACAAACACAGAATACTGCATGCAGTTCTCAGTAATTTCAATTACGAGTGTAGTCTGTACTCTGCATATAATTAAAGGGAATGTAAAGCGACTATTCAATATGCTGCATGACTAACATAAAAAGGAACATCTATTATACCTTTAAAGTAATATTAGTTCCAAACCACACATCACCTCTCACCATCAAACTATCCAACTCAATGATGCTTGGAATGGATCTGAAGCGACTTTGGAAGTCATCAACCTGAGAATGAAACAGGATATACAATTCATAAGAAAGGGAATAACTAGGGAAGGGTAAGACAACAAATAAGTAAATCTTCACCTTTTCAAATTCAGCTCCCAAGTCTATAACAGGATTTAAAGGATTAGTTCTAGCTGGATTACGAGTTAAAACGCCTTCTTTACAAGTGTATAGATCTGACTGCAAGAATACATGATTGGTGAAAAGGAAAGTCAGTCACGTACACCAAAGTATGTTTTTCAGTAACAGAATTTACAAGTACATGAGGTAATTGTCACCTGTAGAATTAGCAAATCTGATGTTGCATCCAAGGGAAGAAAACGGGACTCTGGTACGGAGACACCGATCACATTATCAAAGAACTAGCATACAAACAAAGGAGATAATATATTAAAAACAGCAATCAGTAACTTCAAATCTAGATGAAATGAGCTTATGTAAGGTGAACCTTTCAGGAAGATATATACAAGGAAAAAGAAGAGGAATGATCTTAAAGGGACAGATCCAGAGAATAAAGAGGAGGTGGACCCAAATGAACAAATACACAAAGGCCCAAGGACAGAATGGGGAGAAGCAACAAATGGCATAGCAAGCAACAATCAGCATAACAGAATGTGGGTGGAATGAACGTGGGGTATGGCATGGTTTGGGTTGTTATAAGAGAGAGAAGGTAGGAAACTAGTATATAAGGGAAATTAGTATAGTGAGAAGGCAGGCAAAATTTGGATAATTAGGTGTAAGGTGAAAAAGAGGGACTGGGAAGTCCTCTTGAGTGGGAGTCAGGCTATGTTAGCCATATCAGTAGTGTCCATTTATTTCTGTTATTTTTCTCTTGTAATGTGTCTCCATTTGTTGGACAATTTTTAATATAATCAGTGTTAGTTTTTCTCCAAATCAGTATCACTGTTTTATCTGTTTAATTAGCTGTGCGTAAATTGGTTTCACCAAGTAACCCTTCAATTCATTCCCACATAAGCTAACAGTAGGGTAAAGATAGTTAGGGAACGGTACCTTTGAAACTGAAGGCTTCTTGTGCTCTAGAATATCAGCGTCAACAAGCCTCTTAACAGCTCTTAAACTTACCCACCTATACAGAGTACAACATATAAAATTTAGCACATTTGGTAAATTTCAGCAAGAGATTGAACAAAACTAGCATTTCACTCACATGTTTGTTGTATCGATGAGTTTGAAATTATCCTTCAACTTCAATAAATCAATCAGGAAAAATAAACCAAAATAGAAAAGATAAATTAGATTATGTTATAATATTCTTGTAAGTCTTGTCAGAAAGCCATTATAAAACTTCTAGAACTAGAGCATAAAATGAAACAGATAATAAAAATATATACAAGTTGTAAAAATAAAATTAAAAATTACAACTTACATGTTTATTGTGATTTTGAGCAATCTCGTGAAGCTGCAAGGATCACAAAATATATAATGTTTAAACCGAAGCTGTTCAAGTTATATATGTCACAGTACCATTACAACAGGATACTAGCAACCGAATTAGCCTATTACCTTATCAGAATTTGACAAGAATTAGTAGGTCCTAAGTACTGAACCTCAGGACTAGACCACTCGAGATAAGTGAAAAAGAGCTCACATCAAACAATCTAAAATGTGTTTCACAATAGTATCCCCAGTGATAAATGAAAATTTTAATTTCAATAAACTTCATTTAGTAGCGCAATGCTTTTCTGGTTTATATTTCTAAATTTCTGAATTCGAAAATTTACAATATATACTCGTATGTAGTGCCACAGGGTAAAACTAGCACAAATATTAATGACCTATTGATCTAGAATCAGACGGTTACAAGTCCTGACACAAATATTGAAGAGACTGAAGGGGGAAGGTAAGAGTGAAGTTAAAGAAAATATACCCTAAAATTTATTGGAGTTAAGATTAAACTAGGTGTAAGTGAATGGCTTGGTGTCACCTGGAAAAAAAGAGAGAAAATGAAACATGAAACTTGGAAACCTAAAAAGGGAACTGGCAGTATTACGCGTCATAGATGAAAATATTTATGTTACCTCCATGCAATATCCAATGTCATTAGTCATCAAATGATTTAGTATGTCTAAAAGATGCAGTCAAGGTTGACAAAAATCTAAATATTTGAATCTCAATGCTAGGTTATGAAGCAATGACTTCAAACAATATTATCACTAATGATCAAAACTATAAGGATACTTGGATCAATGACAGTAGCCACATTGTCTGAGTTCAACACAAGGATATACTCCTTACCCTGGAAAACAAAATGAAAAAATTAGTCAAAAATGCACAAACAAATAGGAGCACTTCCCACACATAAACATATACAAAAGTGTTAGATTATAGCTTTGTGTTGTTACTGTTGTATAATTCAATTCAAGTGTTCTACAGCTCTTGCTTAGGGGTTTTGAAAGACAAAGGAAAAGAGCGGTCAACTGTATAAAAAGTTCATACCTGTGACAATAATAAATCAAGGGTTCCACCAGTTATTAGTGAACAGATCACATCAGCATTGTCAAATGGATACCTTCACATGTATAGAATTAGCAGGTTAATTTAAATGATAAAGTACATACCATGTAAGCCAATTTGAAAGTCATGGAGAACAAGATTAAAAATTGAAATATAAAAGCTTTCAATTGTTTTATTCATTGATAATGATAATTTGACGGCTTGATATTGTCAATTTTATAGTTCAACTGCTAACTACTTAATATTTCAACAATCTTAAATTTACAGCTATTAAACTTATATTTTAATTTTTTTTTATTTAAATTAAAGCATAAATCTCTTTTATTTGGGTTCATTGACTGCCTACTCCAAATAGTTTGGGATGTTGGTGTTGATATAAAGTATAAATCTCTAGGTACTTCAAGGTGCTATGATAATAAGACTTTCTCAGCTCTTTATAAATACCAATACTTTTTGGCAATCCAATAAACAATAGTTACCTGTCATCTATAATGCCATATAGTCATATACTAGGAAGACCATGTTAAAGGGATTAAAAATTTTAAAGAGGTGAATGTGAATATATCATATCATGGTTTCAAAATAAAGAAAATTTGAAGAGATATTTTTACATGCATTAATTTTTGCATGCCAAACCAAATTCAAATGTCAGTTAAAACATAATATGTAACTAGACCTCTTTCATAGGTTATAAGTACTTATAGATCAACTACATCTATTTTGCTCAGTATAAAATAAAATTCTGGAAACAACCTAGTCTGTCCCACAATAATTCAAAAAAGATTAAGTAAACAGAGAATAGCTTCTTGACTATCTCTAAGCTTTGCCTCTGCATCTAAATTACTCAGTATAAAAAAATTCTGGAAACAACCTAGTCTGTCCCACAATAATTCAAAAAAGATTAAGTAAACAGAGAATAGCTTCTTGACTATCTCTAAGCTTTGCCTACAACAAAGGTAATACTAATCTCAATATTTTGAAAATGTCCAAAACAATAGCGAACAATAACTGAACTTTAGATCTCTTATTCTACAAGCATGCATATAAACATCTAGAATTCTATTTAAGAGACAGATATTTGAAGTATGGCATACACTTCATCCATGCTGTAATGTCCACCCAATAACTTCAACTCTGGACCTTCACCCTATATAGATTATGATGAACTAATCATGAGAAATCACAAATCAACATCAATTCATTGAAAATATGAAACAAATGCAAACCTGCTTAAAAGTGTGCACATCAATGCCTGATTTCGAATACTTTTCCAAAACCTATGCAACATGAAGCTGAAGATTTCAATAATAGTTGAGATCAAACAATCCAATATGGAAATTGAAATGTCAAATCACCTTTTGAGTATTATCATGAGTGTCATCTTTGTTAAAAAGAAGCAATGGAACCTTGCACCCATACTTGGAGTTGAGGATCTACAAACAGTCAATGGCAATTATATATTAAGGTAAAATAAGAGTTGCAGATACTATATGAGGTATGTGCACAATCTGGATCATTCATAAAAAAACTGTAGTGGGACCCAAGGAATAAACCAAAGGCTTGCAGAGGAGTCTGTAAGCAGTATGGTAATATAAGTATGTATGAGTACCATAACTCGTATGTTAATTATAAATGTCTCACCTCAATCTGGTTTATGATCAAGTCCAGAAATGTCAGCCCATCGCAAATATCAATGGCAGATCTACATGAGATCCAAAAAGTCTCATCAGTCTAAATCCATTGTGAATTTTGAATAATCCGTGGAGGGAGGGAGCATGAGTAAACAAGTGCATGAAAATGACTTCAAACACTTGATGCATATATGTATAAAGTGCTATAATGTTTTACAAGCCTTTCTAATATATTGATCCTTGATAAAAGAGAAAGAAGAAGGCTAGAAAACAGCAGCAGCACAAACAGAAAGAAAAATACATATGAAACAAATAGGCACAAAAAGAGGGAGAGAAGGAGAGGGGGGGACCCTCCAAAACAGAAGGTCCAGTTTAGACTTGGCATAGATGTGCTTTCAACTAGGAAATTATATATAAAAATATATTGCTCAAATGAAGCCAACATTTTATGCAAAAATAACTGAAGCATGAATATTGCAATTTGAGGAGTTGGATGAATGCTTACTTGGGACCTTCGAAACCCATATTTCTTCCTGGGGTACCATTGAACTTCAAAACAACAAGCTTATCCAAATGCTTCTTAGTTTCTTCTATATCTGCTTTCGATGTGAAAGTTGCTCAGCTATACTTTGTAAAAAGCAATGATCACAATGGCAGAGAAAACAGAAGGCAAATAAGTTATCCAATGATTGTTTTACCTTTAGGTAAGGGCGCTAAATTAGCATAGGGGAGAACAGTTACGTTCAACTTGGCCAAATCATTTTTGCTCATGCTTTCTTCAGTTTGTGGAGCTTCTTCTCTTTAAAGGTTAATGGCATACCAAATAATCAATTTAACAGAAAATCAAATCAAATCAAAAAGAGGTAAATAAAAAAAGGGGGTATAATACCGAGCAGCATGAATATCGGGAGTGGCAGTAGCAGAGAGCTGCAACTTGTTCTGCTCAAGCAGCAAGGTTTTGGTAATCAAATTACAGAACAAATAAACAAATTGGACAGAATCATTGGCGGGAATAGGATAAGCAATACGCTTGTAAATATCGAGGGGCGTGCTAGAGTCAACCAAAGCGACAATGGGAATTTGAAGTTTAAAAGCTTCATTGATGACGGAAGACTTGCGCTCAGTATCAACAATAACAATACAATCGGGTGGCTGTGTGGGACCAAAGTAGAGCTTCTTGTGGCGAGACCTGAACTTCTTTGGGCTGTTGCTGTTCGTCAAGAACCCACCGGTGCGCCACAGAACATTCGCAGAGCGGCTATAGCACCCAACCTTCTTTGTCATCAGCTCGAAGATATCGTCCAACAGAGGGTTCGTGTTGATGAACATGAACCTGCCTTTTTGCCGTGCCAGCGAAGCCATGAAGTTGCACGCGCTGCGCATGCATATCAATGTCTTGTCCGAATCGATTATGGCCATTTTGTTGCGGAAGCCATACGTGTACACCTTGAAATGATGAGCTGCAACTCGCCGACCCAACTGGGCATTCGTGCTCAGCAGCTTCTGAATCACGATCGAATGGATCGTCATGCTTTTCTCGATTGATTCTCTCACTCACACTCTCTCTCGCATTAGGGTTTTTCAATTTTCGCAGAGCAAGGTTTCTCTCTCAAGAGATCTCAATGCTTTGATCTCTTCACTTGAGTGACTAATAAATATTTAAAAAATTATTGAACATAATCAACAATCAATTAATGTTTATTATAAATATATAAATATATATATATTCTATGGAGTTATTTGTGAAAAAAAGAAATAATCTATTCTTAAATGGATTTAATCACGTAAAATATGATTACGAATAATGTGTGTGTATATATATACGAGACTGGCAACCTATTTTATTTTTAAGGTTACATCTTGTAGGATCTTAAATTCTGCAGTTCATATCCATGGATTGTTGCTAGAGCCTTGATCTATTTTTATTTTTATTTTTATTTTTTATTTTCTTTCTGGAAGAAGTGCAAAGTTTCTCAATTTATTTAGATCTCCTTTGTTTTTATCTTTGGGGTATTACTCCATTTAACTTCACCCAAGTTACTTCTTAAGAAAGCTGTTATGCAAAATCGGGAAAGTGCAGTCAATTGTAGAGAGGAACCACCAAGTTTGTCACTCTTCTTTCCATTGATTCATAAAGCGACTCGGAGAGAGGACACAACATATTAGCATCAGGCGAAATTCGTTTCCTAGAAATTTTTTGAATACTAGAGAGACGTAATTATTAGAGAAATGATCAGAGAGTGAGTTTAATAGGAAAATGTAAAAAAATTGTTTGGTTGACTGAAATATTATCAGGAAAATTTATTTAAATTTGCAAAATTTATGTTTGGAAAAAACTTCGCACCTGTTTTTTCACTCCTCCAGTTATCTCAAAATACCACATCTCAAGTGGTATTCTGTAACAGTGAATTTCATCCAAAAATTAACACAAAAGTCATTTATCTATCTATCCTATTTCCCTAGTATTTTTTTCAAAATCATAAACAAAAATAATATTTTTCAATATCCAGTTGCCTCCCCCAAAATAAATTTTCTAACAAAAAGTACATAGAGTGTCCGGTGAAGAATTAAGCGAGAACCAGCGGACATGTGCAGTAAGGGTGATGTTGACAAATTTTAAGGCCTGTTTGCCGCAGTTTTTTACCTTTTTTTTTTATAATTCAAAAGTTATTTTTAAGTTAAAATTAAAAACAACAGTTTAATAATAAAATTAAAAGCAAATTATTTATGAAAAAAGTGTTACGGGAGATGAAATTATCTTCTCCAAACGAAACGCAACCCAAATTGTATTATTTTGAGGGTTAGAAAAAGAGAAAAAGAAGTATAATGTTGTAGGAAAATATTTAGGTAATATTATAGAGATAGAGATGGTGGGACCCACCCTTGTTTTCAAAAACCAAAAAAATAAACAAGTGTGGGTCCCACCATCTCTATCTCTATAACATTACCTAAACATTTTCCTACAACATTATACTTCTATTTCCCTTAGAAAAATTAATGAAAGATATTTTAAGAATTTTATTTGTTTATTTGTTATATGAATTTTACTAAAATACCCTTTATTAATTTCTCTAATCCTTAAAATGATATAATTTTTTGGGTTGACGGAAATAAATTTATCATGTGCCAAGAGAAATGATAAATCCATTGTTTATTATATAAAACTTTTAGCTTTAAAATTATGTTAAAACTCAATTTAAAAATAGGTTGTTAGAGAAAATAAATTTCAAAAATTCTGTTTTAATTACATAAACAATTCTGTTTCTAATTAAATTCGGTACATAAATAATATATAATTAAAAAATTCTACATTATTTACATAAATATAAATAAATTTATATAAATAAAACTATATACTAATGTATTAATTTATAAAAAATTATTTAAAATATTTGTTATTTATCAAATATTTATTTGTATCAATAAATAAATTTAAATTTTTTAAATATATTAGTAATTTTCAAATAATTTTTTAATATAGTAATATTTCATTATTTCAAGTGACTATATCAAGTGAATAAAGTTTCAATTATATACCTTAATAATTTTTTATGGATAACAAAAAATTTTACCCTTTCTACTTGTCAAATTTCCCATGCTTGAACTTATAATATTTCCCTATTGTATTTTTTTTTCTATAACTCTATTTAAGAAGGAAGATAACAAAAAAAAAAATAATAATAATAATAGATGATGGAGAAGTCGATTTTGAAGCCTCCACTCAATTTTTTTTGTTTAATATAAATTATAACTTAAAATACATGCTCAAATGGAAAGGAAAAAAAAAAGAACCAACAGCAACCTAACATGGAAATCTCGTTCAGAAACGAACACTCTTATTAACATTTTGGAAGATTATAGGATACAGGGTGAAATTTTTAAATACAAATTAAAAATATGGACATAGTTGAAAAATAAATGTAAAAATTCCGAAAACTTAATTATATCTAACAAAAACCTTCTCCTAAGAACTTCTTAACTTTTTTATTCATTTTAATTAAAAGCCTTTTTTATTCATTTTAATTTAAAATTTTTATAATAATAACTTTATAAAAGTATATTTGGCTTGGGGGGGGGGGGGGGGGGGGGGGGGGGGGGGGGGGGGGAATGGTACACATCTTAATATCTTAATATTTTAGAAATAGATATAGCAATGCTAACTTAAGCCATACACATCTTTTACCTTATATCTATACCTAGCCAAACACGTGCTAAAATGGTACAATATGTGTTGGCAAGGAAAATATGATAAAGAAAACTGCAATATGTTATGTAAATTTACAAACTAAGATATAAACTATAAAGCACAACTCCTCCTGCTGGCGTTTTTCTTCACCTCTCAGTTGGACCCGTCAGCTCTGGGCACCATTGGCCCAAGCTGAATTCCTGCATTAGCACCCTCATGAGGATTTCCTTGGCCAGTTTGGTTATCAGCTTTTAGTCCTTTCCTCTTCTTTGCCTTTTCCGCCCAACCAAGAACGCCCACTTGTACATGCTCATTAAATATTGCCCTCTTGAAGTGAGTTCCCATCTACAATTGAAAATAATTGAAGTCAACGCAATGACGACACGATTTAAATTCACAAAATTAATCTGCATTTTAGTTTGAATAGCTATGCAAACGTACCTGTGTAACAATTGCATAGAGAGGAAGGGTGCTGTAGCTACAAAGTACCTGAATAAATACCCTATAACCCCAATACAAAGTGGCAAGAAAAAGGAGAAAGAGAACAAAGATTGTACTTTCAGAGTTCATAATGCACAAGCAAAGAAAGAGGTCGTTAAGAATCAAGAACGGAAAAGTGTTAGACAGTTACCCAATAATGAGCCTTGGAACAATGTAACGAACTTGTCCCATTATACAGGAGTCAAATCCATATTGAACCTGAGAACACAAGCTGATATGTTATATTCAATACAACTATACGTAAATCTACCCACAACCCTACACCATCCATGACCTCTCTAAACCAAAAAGCAAGATGAAAAATGAAACGAACAATAAAAAAAAAAGGTCGGCAAAGAGTATTCCAAGTTATGCTTCGAAAGAATTTGCTTACCCATATCCAGAAAAAAAATGCTATCTCAAAAGCATTTTGGAAAAGGATGAAGTGAATCAAGAAGAGGACAACGTGGGGCCGATGAAACCAAAAGTGATTATCTGATGGTTGAACAACTAAATCACCTTCTATAGCTGCATGCTTTTCAGCTACTTCATGAGCAAGTTGGGTTATTACATGCTCCAGCTTAGTGCCCACAGCAAGTAAAAGCTGAAAGAATGCAAACCAGAAACTATGAAATTAACAAAGGTCAAAGGGGGAGGTAACAAGAAAGAAATATTGAAAATTCCAAACATAAGGTCTGTGTTAACACATCAACTTGCATGGTAAATTATACGCATCATAGACATGCATGCCTATGCACACCTATCCATACAAGGTTAACAAGAAACCAACATTGATAGAAAGGGAAAGACTTGCATAAATACACGAGTCTTCTATAACTGTTAAGAACCTTGAGGTCACCACCCCAAAAGCTAGCTCAAGGGGTGGGAGTGCCCAAAGCCTTATAAAGGCCATATTAGTTGCTCATCCAATCAATGTGGGACTATATATCTCAACACGCCCCCTCACGCAAGAGCCCTTTAGGCTAGAAGCGTGGAAATTGCACAGGCCCATTTTTTGTTTACCTTTTTGTGCTTTTTTTTTTTTTTTTAATTCCACTTTTTAAAGCGAGGGACAGTGAGGCTCTGATACCATGTTAAGAACCTTGAGGTCACCACCCTAAAAGCTAGCTCAAGGGTGGGAGTGCCCAAAGCCTTATAAAGGCCATATTAGTTGCCTATCCAATCAATGTGGGACTATATATCTCAACAATAACCAAAAATTAAAGGGCAACCTGGTACTATAAAGCTCCAACTATGGGGGCAGGGTCCAGTTAGGGTCATTCTTAGTTAAATGCTACAAAGTAATGATGTGGACATAACTTAAGAATGGGGGTGGGGGGGGGGGGGAATTGGCATAGGAACTTTTCTTCCTTAACTTTACTTAGGAAAAGATAAGATATTAACAGAAAACCAAGGTACCATATCAGGTTAATAGAATATACAATTTAGTTCTACTTCGGAACTATGAGTTAATTAAGAAATTTCATGCAACATTTTCCAATTTTTTCCTATGCCTTGAACAAAATTAAGAAATGAGGAATTTGCAAGCTGAGTATAATAAATGCATGGCCATGGAAATGCCCACACAAAAAAAGGCAAGAATTTTATCAAGATACTTACAATTAAAGGAAAGAAAGCAATCCAGAAATACGTATGCCAACCTGGAAGAGTTAAGCAGACATCTTAATCATAAGATTCGAAGTAATGTTCTTTAATAACTAGCAAAACCAAAAGAAGCAATTAGATCAACTACTACTCATAGGCAAAAGTATATTGGACATTATTGCTAATGCCATTCATTCTAGAAATTCATCACCAAATCACAAAATATTCTTAAGCTCCTTTTCTTTTTAAATAGCAGAAAATGTTACTTCAATCAACAAATATACAAACATAGAGATGGATAGAAGATTGCTGCATTTGTAAACAAGACCACATCATACACGAATACCAACAACATTGGCCATTTTAGCTCAGAGAATGGCACATGGAAAAACATAAAACAGGTTCCAGATGCCAGTCCTGGAACTACAGAGAAGCATCAGCCATGGCAGAGCCAATTAAATGATGACACACTATATATTAGCATACAGCATAGCTGTTAAGTCTTATAGCATACCGTTGACATTAAGCAACAAGAACATGACTACAAATAGCCAAAGATACCAACTGCAACCATGAAAATATAATTGTTAGTACAAAGAATAGTAGCTTTACAGAATGAGACGAACAGCAAGAAATTTATTTTATTTTATTTTGGGAAATTTACTGATATATATATATGTGTGTGTGTGTGTGTGATATTATACATAGAAACAATAAATACGTTTGACAAAGTTATTCTACAGAAGCATTTACCTTATACCAACAACTTGCTTGAAATCATCTTCAAGGGCCCGAATCATGTACTTGTGAAAATTAAACTTCAGATTTGACTTGCAGTGGGTCTACAACAATGAAATATACCAAAGGATAATATTATGATTCAAGTATGGAAGCCACTGGCTAACAGCCAGCTGAGAGGTTATTTAATGACAAATATGGCACGCTAGGACTTTACCATAATGAAACCAAGTCGTAATGTCACATAATCTGATTTTGTCACAGATCCATAAAATTGCTTTGAAAAGCATTTCTGAAAGAAACAAAAATGATTAGGAGAAATTACTAAAAAGTAAACAAAAACATGGACAAGGCACTAGTATTTATAGCACTGGTAGCGCTAAATGTTTAACAACAAATATAATACAAATGAAAAACTTGTAAATTAACTTACCAACCAACCCATCACAGCAGAGTCTTTGCCGAAACCAGAAAAACGACTCTTGATAAAATCATGCTGGTGAACGTGAGTCACGCTCACCTTTTTCAAAACTGCAGTAAACCAATATGCATTTAAGTGGCAGCGGGGATGAAATAAATTTAGATAGCTTTTCAGGGGTTAAATAAAAAATATAATCTGCAAAATTCTATTAAAATGTTTAATTGTTGACACGTGCATAAAATTAGCCGGTGCAAACATAAAGTAGCATTGTATTGGTTTGAAAAGCATCTTAACTTTAATAGCCGTCAAAGAATTCACACATGAATAAAATAATTGAACATAGAGAAAATAGACCACAATTGATCAAATTTACTTACCTCGCTCTGTTTCGTAGTTCTCTTTCGCAATTGAGTCTTCCCAGTGCTTCCACTGACGTATCTATAAAATGAGAGTCATATGAATAATAGAGAAGATTTTTTAAAAGAAAGACATTTTATGACAAAATTAAGCATATTATTATTAGGTACTCACTCTTGCAGATCCAAAAACAACAGTGAGAACGGAAAAGGTCACATGGACGACAGCGAGGACAAAAATAAAGATGTGGAGGTGATGCAGTGCTTCGACGGATAATAAAGGCACCTTGTTCTGAAAAGGAAACAAAAATTGAAAGCATCTGAAAGGGGAATAATCATAATGATTTTTATTTTTGAGGAAAAGTCGTAAATTAATTCAATCTAACAATCTCAAGAAAGATCAGATCGTGCACTGTAATATCTAATTCCATAGAATAAAAGCGAATCTCGTTGCTGCAGTTCTGTAATGAAGTGCAGGCAGCAAAGGGTGAGTTTTATAACAAATAAAGTGCGAAACAAACATAAAGAATTAGAATGGGTGTAGTGTAGTGTAGTCTAGTCTAGTCTAGGGTTACCTTGCGAGCGCAGTATTCGGGTTTAAGCTCCTCAGCGACAGCGTCAGCATTAGCCTTAGCGTGAGCGAGAAGGCGCCTAGCAGTTCCAGGGAAAGAGAAAAAGGTTTGAAAATGGGATTCATGCTTTTCTTCAACCTTGTCTTCCAGACTACAAGGAAGCATATGACGCGTCAAACCGGGTGGAACGCAGATTTTGGTTATGCCGTTTTGTGAGACCGTTAAAAGCAGGGAAATAAAACCCAACAGCATCAACTCTGCCAAAAAAAGAAAAGAAAAAAGAAAAGAAACCCACACAGATCATAAAATTGAATTGAATGGAATGAAGAAATGTATATGTAAGGAAATAAGCTTACCCTCTTTGATCTTCTGGAGAGCTTCGTAGAGCGGCTTTTGATCTTTCTTTTTGAGAAACTTTCCGCCATAATGAAGACAACGTTCAGCTGCGAGTGAAATGGCGACGATAACAGTGCAAACGGCAGCCACTACCCATGTCGGAGTGAACTCAAGAGTCGTCTCCTCTTCTCCGCCTCCACCACTCATGTCTCCTTCCTTCTCAGTATAACCTTTTTCTTCTTACAATATTATCTTTCTAAATATTCATGACTTCCCCTTTTCTTTTCTTTTTCTTTTTCTTTTTCTGAAAATATGACTTCCCTTTTCATCTTTTTCATTTTTCAAACTTAATTTCCACGTGTCTTTCGACCATCACGCGAACAAACCCATTACAGAAGTTGTTGCGCTGGGTTCCAATCTCTCTTTAGGAGTAACTACTATTTAATGTTTGTAAAATGAATTTAAATAAGTTATTTATATTTGTTCTTAAAATAAAATTATTTGGGATTAAAAAATAAATTATAATTATGAAAATATCTTAATTTTCACACTGTAAAAAAAGCTAACCCTAACTTTATTATTATTGTAAATACAGTTTTGTTTGGTGGATTTTTTTTGAACTCTTGGATGTGAGACTAAAGTTTATTTTACGTTACCAAAACATTAAAAAAGTTCATATTTTAAAGTAGAATTTAATTATAATAATAAATTAAAATTTAATACTATTTTTAGCAAGTTATTAAATAACAAACTACTTGAATAATTATTATATAAACTACGCTACGTATTATGAATAATATATACTATTTGAGCATCTACTGTTTATAGTACGCAATGTTGTTTGTAAATTTAATCTATCTTTTTAAAAATACTGCAATAAAAAAAATTGTAAAGATAATAAAAAATTTAATTATAGTATAATTTGCAAAAAAACATGAAACATAGATTGATGTAATAACAGTCTAATGTCAAATTATTTACAGAGTAGATAAACGTTAAACTTATTTTGCGTTACAGCAAAGAACAATAATCATTGAAATGCAGTAAGCAACTTTTTTGGGGCGTTTGGTACAAGGTATTCTTCAGGATTTGTAGGAAATTAAATTTTTCTAAAATTTTAATTTTTGGATATTATAGTAAACTGAATATTTTCATCATATTTCTGAAAATTAAGATTTCCAGATAAAAAAAATTTCTCTTCTACCAAACACTCCCTAAGTAATTATTGAAATGGAATCCGCTTTTAAGTTGTATTCGGTATAGCATAATTGTAATTTTTATTTTGAAGAGATATTTAAATTATATAATTTTTTATTTTAAAAAGTTAAACTCTTTTCCATATTAAAGTAAAGGAAAATTGTTTGTCCTTTTAAATGATATAACTTATATCTTTTCACTCTCACAAAGAGATAGGATCCACACTTTTATATTTTTTTGTCCACTCTCTCCTCTTTTATCTATCTCTTTCTCTCACTTAAAATGACACAACTTTACATTTTTAAAATGATACACACTTTTCTCATAAAGTAATGTGGGTGTGTCTGTTTACCAACAAAAAAAAAAGGTAATGTGTGCTACACTTCAACTAGTTTTAATATTAATAAGTTGAGTAAATACTCTTTTTTGTACTTAGCAAATCACGATGTTTGCTTTAATCTCTAACAAATAAAAAGGCGCTTTAGTCCCTAATAAATAAAAAGGCTCATCGTGGTCCCTAAGAAATTCAAAATGGACCCATTTTAGTCCTTTTAGGGACTAATACAAGTCTTTTTTGAATTTGTGTGGATCACAATTTCAATTAAATAGGTCCATTTTAAATTTTTTAGGGACCACGATGGGTCTTTTTATTTTTTAAGAACTAAAACGGGTATCGTAAAATTTACTGAGGATCAAAAAGAATATTTACTCTAGTAAGTTTTTAGGAATATTTTTTGTTCTCTTTATAACTCTAAACTTTATTGACGGTTACTTTTGGCCTTAATATATTTTAAAACTTAAAAAGATATAATAAAAATTTTAAATAAAGTTCAAAAGCTAATAGTTAATAATAAAGTATTTCAAAATTCATATAATCTTTTGAAATTCCAACATTTATAATAGAGTATTTTAAATTAGTTGTAAGTGACAATGACAGTTATAAAAAGAAGAAAATGATTTTGAGAAACTGGTTTATTGGCGTTAATTACTGTTGAGAAGTATTTGTATTAAAATAAACTAAAAAATAACTTATTATCCCGACGAAGGTTATATTTATAATTTTTTTTTTTACAATCTCTTACAATTATATCTTAACAGCATTGATTTTCGTCAATTAACAGTTATCATTTATTGTGAATTAATAATTAATTAATAATTTTAATTTGCGAAAATAATAACCGTTGATTAACGAAAATCAACAGTGTTAAAATATGATTATAAGATATTATAAAAAAAAAAGATTATAAGTATAACTTTCCTGTATTATCTCATTTAAAAAGAATAATAATAATGAGACAAATATATATTCTTTTAAAAGATATAAAATTATATTTTTGTAAAGAGAGAGAGAAATTATGAAAATGAGAAGGTCAGATTTTTTTTTTCTTCCTATAATTTATCTTTATCTCTTCTTTTGAAAGGACCATATTTAAAAAGAAATATAATTTTTTTAATAATAATTTGAAGAAAAATGAAAATGTAATTTAAGTACAGTTGACAAGTTATTTATACTTCACCAAGAAGTAAGAACTCACAACAAGTGAAAAGTTTCGCTCAAAAGTGGAAGATAAGTGTACGTCAATCAGCGCGATTTGCTGCTTCAAGTGAGGAGTGGGGACAAGACATGTTTTTAAATTAAATATTAAATTTTCAAAAACGGGCGCTGACCCATGCATCGTGTTGGGTGGCCGTTCCCTAATGATTAGGTTAGGTACAAAATAGTAGTTTTGATAATCTCACACGGCTTATTTTAAAAGAGTATCTCATCTTATATAAACTCAAATTATCTTAGTCATTAATGATAAATTAAAAGTAACATCAAGTAAAAATTATATGTAATTTTATTCCTAAATTTATAATTATTCATTACTCTGCTAATAGAAAATAGAAGAATCATTTTAATTATTAATTTAATAATAATATTTAATTTATTATTAAAAATATGAATATTCACAAGTGATATAATCATATTGATAAGTTTAATGTTATAAATTTATTTTTTTATAATATTTTTTAGGGAAAAATTCATCAATGCTTCTGTGGTTTGCTTCAGAATCACCTATGCTCCTGTGATTTTTTTCTATCACATATGCCCCTGTGGTTTGCAAAAGGGTATGTTTTTTATCACATATGTCCCTGTGATTTTTTATTTTTTACAAAACACAGGGGAATATGTGATAGAAAAAACCACAAGGACATAGGTGATTCTGAAGCAAACCACAGGGGCATTGGTGAACTTTTCTCTATTATAAAATATTGAGTAAATACTCTTTTGGAGTTTGTTCTTTTGGGGGGGGGGGTTTTCTCCTTTAATTTGGGTGATTCGCAATTTGATTGGAGTTTTTCATCTGTTTATTTTTCTTCTTTTTCATCTGTTAATTATCTTTCGTAGTCTTCAACAATAGACCCCAAAAAGAATAAACCCCAAAAGAAGAAGAAAAAATCAAAGGAGAAAAAAAAATGGCGAATCACCCAAATTAACAGATGAAAAAATCCAATCAAATTGCCTCACCATAGAAACACATAATCAAATAGCACCAGCAGCAGAATAAAAAGGAGAAAAAAGAAAAAAGAAACTGTAGATGGGTACCTTTCAAAGATTGCAAGAGGCACACAGAGAGAGAAAAGGGTTAAGGAAGTAAGGAATGGGAAAGTGGTAAGTGAAAGAGATGCGTAACAGGTGCATAAAAGAAAGAAGAAGAATGTGTTCCTCTTTCTGTACTTTCTTCCAAAATATTAAACACTCACAGGTCTGTAATGGCGGCAACAAGGTCGACCGGAGACAAAAATCGCGCACAGGTGTGAAACGCCGACAACAAGATCGACCAGCGGCAGTAAAAGAGCACAATGGCTAGCGCAACGATGGTGGGTGACAGACATGACTGAGACGGCGCGCGAACAAGATGTATGGCAGATGGTCGCGATGGAGCGACGTGGACGCAGACGGCAGTCTACTGCGGTGGAGAGGTGAGGCTTGATCGGAGGAGCGGAGAGAGTAAGAGAGCGTAAAAGTGTGGTAGACGTTAAGAGACGTGAAATGGAAATTATTTCTGAAATCGAAGAATTAGATCAACACCGTCCATGAAACAATTAATCTAACGGTAATTAATTGTTTGTAAACATTTGTAAACTATTTACTTTGTCAATATAACTATGCCCATATATATATAGTAAATATGTGTGTACAACGACTCGATATAAAATTTGGTCCAGTGCACTAAGTTCTCCCGCAAGAACACACAGTTATAGTAAATATTATAACTATGTTCTATCGAGAGAATACCATTATAATATTTAGTGCACTATGTTCTCGTGGGAGAACTTAGTGCACTGGACGGTCCAGTGACTTAATTTCCATTTTGCCCCTATATATATATATATATATATATATATATATATATATATTGAATTCTTCCATCTCTAGGGTTCTTAAACCCCAAAAAAACGGAGGAAACTACGTTGTTTCCCATTGACATGTCTAGAGCAAACGTCACTGTGCCCAAAACCATCCGCTGGATTGACGTAGTCTTTCCAGAAAAATGGAAACTCGAGAAGGCAACACCTGCTCAACCTAGGGCCATTCCAAACTTTAGAGAAATTGAGCAGTTCCCAAATGATGCTGTTGAAATCACCTTCGACAGAAGAAACTCTTTCAGCTCTGCGAGTTCATTTAGATCTGTTCAAGCTCAAGATTTTCGTTCTGAAAATTTTCAATCAGCTCTTTCAAAAAGATCTTTTTCTACAATCTCTGAGCCTAGTAGGTTCAATCTCCATCTTCAAGTATTAGACATTTCTTCCTCTATTCCTATATATATATATATATATCGCTTTAATGTTTCTAGAGTGGATGTAGATAAGTTATCTACATTTGCTCCCAAAACGACGTCGTTTTGGGTTGAAAAATTAAAAAATTATAACGAAAAAGACTATTATAACCCTAAAATAAATTATAATTACAAAATTATCTTGATTTCCGCCTTAAAACAACGTCGTTTTAGGCTCAATGTAGATAAATTATCTAATCTGTAGAAAAAGCGAACACTATATATATATATATATATATATATATATATATATATATATATATATATATGCGCTATCCAATTACACTTGCTTGCATCAGATACAGAGGTACTCAAGGCAATATGTATGAATGTTGAAATCCTTCGTACATTTCCATGTTTGTGGTTGTATAGTGGCAATCTAAACACATACTTTCAAATTATTGAATATCTTGCTTAATACGAAAATGGCGGCATATTAAACACATACACCCGTACATCTTATTTGACTGTTGCTTCTAAACACAAAATATCTTATTTTTATTCACAAAGTTACTTGAAGACATTTATTTAATAAAAAATAATTCGTTTACAATTTTTTTTATAAATTTTTAAAAATTATATTATATACTTCTAAAAATATATAATATAACCTAATGTATTTTCGAAATATATAATATAATTCATAAGAGTTTGTAAATAAGAAATTTATAATATAACCTCTTATTTAATAGACCGGCGTGGTTGGTCTCCGCTACAAGAACAAGCATTTATAATGTTCCACCAAATAGTTGCACATGCTTGCCACTTTTTACAGACGAATTCTTGTACCAGCTCATGAATTTCGCTATAAACTCTGTAATTAAAAAAATCCACTAAATGAGTAGATATTTACTTTGAAAAAGTTATGAGAGAATTAGAACTAGTTCAAAATGATGAATAAGAATTTAAATCAAGGCATATATATATATATATATATATTTCAATGGAGAAAACAAGTGAATTAAAAGAAGAAAATTCTGAGAAAAATATATCATTATTTATTACTCTTATTTAATTATTATATTAAATTCATTACTACACAAAAGTATCGTTATTTTCAAAAAAAAGGATGGTTAAATTATTAACTTTTATGTTACAAATATTATTTTAAAATTAATTTTAGATATAAATTATAATCTGTCATATTCAGAAATTTTTTTAATAAATAAATCATTTATCGGATACAGTTAGTTATATCTATATATATAGATTAAACCTTATATGTTTCATTAGTTTAAGAAATTAACAAAAATATTTTCTTTATAATTTTGACATGAAAAGTTATACATTAATTCTTTTAAATAGAAATAGAAATTATATTTTCAAATGAACATAACATGCATGACTTTTTTTAACATGGGAAATATAAATTATTTTGTTTTTTATTTGACTCCTGAAAACTTTTATCTCTTATATATAGTATTCTTTTTTTTTTTAGATATTGTAGAGACACTGAAATGTGAATCTAAAACTCATGCAAATTACTCAAATCGCTTATCACTGCACCAGTTTTAGTGGCTTATATATAGTATTCTTTCTTTTCTTTTTTCTTTTTTGGTAAAATTATATAGTATTCTTTCTTAATCATACGATTCCTCGATAACAAATGTGATTTAATACAGCTGGGCATAGTTATTTAATGAAATAAGAAAAATAATTTTAATAACATGAAGGCTATGAAAGCACCTCGCCGATCAATTTATTTAAAAATGAGTACTAGAATATAAACAACTAATTTTACGCAAATTAATTATACGTCTGTTTATATCATTGGACTTTTACGTTTCTATGAAGGTTACACCAACAATTACATATATATATATATATATATATATATATATATATATATATATATATATATATATATATATATATATATAATTAAATAACTTGAATGTTAATTTAATTAAATGAATTTTAGCATAAAAGTACTTTTTACGTTATCACATAATTTTATATTGAAACTTCGTCTAATGAATTTTATTGTATTAAATGCATGTAAATAATTATATAAAATAATAAATTCATATCTTTATGCATAGTAAATAATTTTTGTGCAACTGACAGTCTTATCTGCCAAATGTAATACTCATTCTTAGTTTTGAACTAAATTATGCATGATTACTAAGAATTAAACATAGAAATGGCAAAGGGGGAATTGTTAGAAAGTATTTTACCTTCAACTTTCAAGTAACTTAACGTATTCTTTTTTGTTGGCTCCTTGTTCCTTTCATCAGATTCCACTTGTTTGTTTTGAACATGACCGAATTGCTTCATAGTCTCAAATTTGATTTCACTAGCTTTCTGAAATATAATAAAACAAAATTATTTGTGTATATATTCTCGATATCGCCTTCAACACATTATAAAAAATGAGAGGAGGAAAAACTAAATATATAGTCCCACATTAATGGTAGGTTTTTTATACTATAAAACACGAAATAAACCCAAAATATGCTAAAGTAAACAAAACAGTTTAATGTTTTTACGTTGTATTCCTTGTCGAGTTTGGCAACCCCTGAGCGTAGTGAGTCATCAACTAGACTCGTTAACCCTGCTACCAAAGACTGCATGAACCAAGACAACGTCTTAAATTGGAATACATCTAAAAATTAGAAAATCAAAATATATCGTTAGAATTATGAAAATACACAACTAAATTCTTACCTTGTAAATAAACCCAGGAGCAACATCATGAATCATGAGGCTTTGAAGCTTTCTACGAATGACGTACAACCTATTAATAATGGTTGTCAAGTAAGTTGATCGCAGAATAATAAAATTTAATTTCAATTTATTTTCACTGTATTCTTTTTAGATGTTTGTTTAATAATACATTACTATATATTAAAAGAATTTGATTTTTCAAATAATTATAATAATTATTAAACTCCTTTACTGGTTTATAAATACGTGATTAGATATTCAGTTTCTAATTGTTAAACATAGATAATGCACTTTTAACTTCAGGTCCTATAGAAAAGAAAAGAAAAAAACTTCAGGTTTTTAAAGGCTTATAGTATGAGAGTGTTTAAAGGTGTATTAGCACAAATTACTGAAATTAATTAAAAGTGTTATTGATCATAAAAAAAATACCTTCGTAATCTATAAAAAGAACATAATATTTTATGTACGTGTGTAAATAGGTATGATGATTTTATTTTTTGAAGGTTGGGTATGATGATTTATATATCAGGAACTTACGACTTGATCTATCATAGGTTGGGTTTGCTTTCAAAGACTTGGTTTATAAATATATAGGCTGAAATATATTTTATTATTTATTTTAAATCAAAAAATTATTAGTTAAACAAATTTAAATGATAAAAAAATGCTATTTTCATTTTTTCTTACTAATTTTTGACCGGCTTAGAAAGTTTGTTAGGTAAAGTTGGATATTTCATTTTTAAAAATAAATTAAACCAGATTATAATTTAACTCATTAATCAATTAAACAAGACTCAAAATATTTTTATATAATTTTATCTATTTAAGTCAAAGTCTACCTAACATAGTATATTTTTACCCTTAATCCTAAGCATTCAATAAATATAAGACTGAAAATTTACTTACTGTCTTGGACTTTGCTCTTCAATTATATTCTTAGCAATATTCAAAATATCATCTTCCCATCCAGTTAAAACTAAATCGTCGTCTTTTAGGGAATCCCTGCATGCAAAATAAACAAACATTTGAATAAATAATGACATTTGTAAGTGCGCGAGCTCAATAATATTCCTCTAGATATTCCTAAAGAGTGCTATTTAATTCTTATACATTTTACTACAACATTCATTACAAAAATGAAGTTGATTAACAAAAAGTCATTTAAAATTTCATCCCTCACTTTTTTTTATATATGACAATAGATATAGTGTGCATATTGAAAGCTGTATAAACTAGTTACATAATTGTACTAATTAATTAACATAGTGAATATTTGGTAAATGACTTACTTGTTTCGGCAAGTGGCCTCCAATGAACGAATGGCTTGGCGGAGATTGTTTCTGGACCTCAAAATAATCTTCTTTACTAAGTCCGGTGATAGTTTTATTCCTTCTTCTTTTCCAATATATTCCAATATCTTAACAATCTGTTTATTAAAAAACATAGAAAAATTGAAACTTCATCAAATACTTTTCGTTATATGGTTAATGGGTAATACTCTTTTTTTTTTATATTATATAAGAAAAATATTATCTACTATCCAAACAATAAATATAAGAGAGAAAAGAGTTGCACGTTAGAGAAAAAAGTTATTGTGAGACCCATTTGAAAAATGTGAATATAGGAAGTAGCAGAGCCAGAAGACAAACCCAGTCAGTGCCAAAAGACCCACAAGGTAGAATTCAGTCAGTGCCAAAAGACCCACAAGGTAGAATTCAACCACTGTTAAGGTTATATTATTTTTTAAAACTCAACCGATACTAAGACTGTACCATAATTTATGAAGAAAATATGTACCATTTTTAAAAATTAGCTAGTGCCAAGACACTAACTGACCTGTAAGTGGCTCAGTCAATAAGTGTAGGAAATAATACTTTTCTTATGTAATGGTTAATTTGGTGTCTTCTTAGAACATTGATGAAAAATTAAGAATAAAACTTTATATCTAATTAGTTGTATTAAAATTCATTTCTAAAGTTCTTATCCTAAATTTTTTAAGGCAAACTGGTTGTAAAAGACAAAAGACCCACTGATGTCGATCTCTAAGCATTATCTAAAAACTAATTATAGATCTGTAAAAAAGAAGAAACGCATACTTTCTCACATTAGTCTTATTGCATTTCTATCTGTCATATTTCCCGAAATTTTACAAATTTATTAATCTAATGCTACTCAATTTCGGATTATAATTATATCGTTATGGGATTGCATTCCAAAAATAACATACATATAAAAGGTAATGTGCTCAGATCCACATGTCAGCAAGATGAGACTCTGTCCATTAGCACATTACATTTTTTACATATAAATGATTGGAGTAAATGGAAAAATAGATTAGATTCTGAAATTGAAATTGCACAATTAGGTCTTCAAGTTGAAAAGAAAAGTTATTGGAAATTCTAACCTCTTGGCTTGATGGTGATGAAAGGCGGACAATGGTGCAAAGTGGTTTGACAAGTTGGAGCTTTGATCCATCAGAGCAACAAAAGAACACCTTATTACACCCTTTGTACTTTTCTAGTAGCCATTTTATATACAACAAGGATTCCCTCGATAGCTTCTCCGCCTCATACAAAATGATCGCTTTCAGATAATTAAATAGTACGTAAACATGTTACTAACTCGATGGATTGGTCCATAAGAATTATAAGAAACAACACCTTTTGCTTTAGTGCTAAAATTAGAGCGTACCTTGGCAATTTTCAGGGGTACAAGGCATTGAGTTATTTATGATCTTCCCATATGTTTCTTTGAATAAATCAACAATTACATGCTTTTCATATCCCTTTGTCTCTGAGAGATTGACCTCAACATGATGTAGTGATTTATTTATGCGCACTTGGAGATTATCAATCATTTCTCCCTATGGATGTTAGGGGAGGAAAGAAATTCAAACACGCAATAAATTCATTTTTTTCTCTCCATTAATTATACTCTATGAAAATAAATAAATAAAATTCATTTGTTGGTTTCATACAAATAACTAACGAGACATGATAAAAGGTTAATATATATATATCATGAAGTAATGACTCCATTATTATAAGCCTAGGGTCTGAACGTGAAAGCATAAACTTCCTAAATGAATTAGGCTTTGTTGATGAAAATGACAGCTGAGAATATTTAAGTCATGAGGCATGGCGAATTAGTTGTATTGATCTTAAGGCCCCCACTCAGATATTTGGAGCCATTTGCTTGTAAATTGATTTAAAGGAACATTTCATTTATCATTCTGTTGAAGAAATTGATGAGAAGAGAACATAAGGGATGGAATGATGATAAAAATACACATTACCTTCCAGTTGAAGTCTTTACATTCTTCTATGACCTGTCACTCAGTAGCAAAGTAGAGTTATCTTAATTTGTAGTTTCTTTTTTTGGTAGTAAATGCACATACACACATATAGTATATAGTATGTACTCCTTTTACTCTTTTTTTTTTTTTTTATAAATACTCCTTTTACTTAAAATAAAAGGAGTATTTATAAAAAAAAAAAAGAAGAGTAAAAGGAGTACATACTATATACTATATGATGAGAGTTCTGAAGTGAAGAAATTTTCTACTACAAATATATCTAAAATCATTACCTGTACTCTGTCAGCGCCAAATACCTCTCGAAGCATAGCCCGTATCATGGATCTCTTTCCTGCACTTGGTGGTCCTTCAAATATAAAATGATTACAGCCACACCCCTCTTTTACCTGCGATTATAAAAACCAATTTTATTTTCATCTTTTAGCTTAAACAATGTTATGAAGTTGATATTTTCTTAATTGGAAAAAAATCTTTACAAGTGTGATGGCTATATTTTAGTTCCATTAACACTTGTGTCGAATAATTTTCACAAGAAGTTTTTACATCTACTTGGTGTATTAAAGAATTTAAAAATGCAGTTGTCTAATTTTACGTCCACTCCCCATAGCATTAAAATGTAGAGTGAGATGTTTGAAAAGGATTAGTTCATGTATCCCCTCATAGCAATAGCGATAATCTAACGAAAGATGATAATAATAATAATAATAAAGGTTTACATATGAAAATGTCTAACATCTTTTCATCATATTAATGGAAGTAAGTTTGGAATTCTTTAAATTTATTGATTGATCATGAAATAAATGAGAACTGCAAAAGAAAAAAAAAACTTTTTTTAAGTAATCTGAATCTTAAATCAAAATCATATTTTATTACTTTGTCATATAAATCTTACGTACTTTCTCCTATAATATGTAGCAATAATTATAAGATATTTTTCAAAAAAAATTCGAATGTTTATGTAGACTACTGGCCTTGTAAATGATTAAATTCACCGCGCTTCTGCTTCAAATAGTAGTATTATATTTGTACAAGGCGTGCTTCTGCTTCAGTTGGCTGCAGTCAGCAGGAACTTCTAGTCAAGAATCCATGATAAAACTCTTGCTTCATGATACAATAATATTATTGTTACATTTTATAATTTTCATTTTTATTTTACACATTGTTTATAAAAGGAAAAAATTCGCTTTTTCCTTTTCTCTTTTTCTCTTTTATCCATAGAAGTTACTTAGATGTAAAATAAGAGTGAGGAAAATAAAAAGTAGAAGGAACATGAATAATACAAGTATTATATATAAACGGTTTCTATATGCTTTGCTTTTCTCTTGTAGGAAAGAAAAAAATAAAAATAAAACACACACACACACAGAGAAAAAAGAGAGTAAAAAAGAGAGAGAGCAAAATAAAAGTAAAAATATTAAGAGTAAATATTTAAATTGGTCTTTCAAATATTAGTGTGTCAGTATATTAATCTTTGAAGATTATGTTAATAATTAATCCCTAAAGATATAAAACAGTTAACAAATTTGTTGTTGAGTCACTGATTTAGTTTTGTATAAGAATAAATGTTGTGACATTTATAATTTCTGAGATATTAATTTGGTGACAATATTTTTTAGAGAACTAGTAATTTTTGGGGTTTACTGAAGTATCAAGTGGAGTCATTCTCACCAATTCTTTCAGCTGAAGTGCTGTATCTCTGTTGCATATGAAGTCTGCCAAGGTCATGGGCTGGTATTTGGTTGCCCACAAATACTCGTACAATTTTCCTTCTTCTGCTTTGTCTTTCTCTGCATTTTCTTGTAATACTTTCTCAACATTGCTTGCTTCTGATACTCTCTCTCTCAAGGGCTTCTTTTCAATCACCAACCCAACATCACCAATACCATCGCCAGCCTCCTTTGTCATCAACTCCAAAATTGTTTTCTCTGCATTTCCTTCTAATACACTCTCAACCTTACTAGCCTCTGATACTCTCCTGTCCCTCGATGGCTTCTCTTTAATCTCCAACCCAACATCACAATCATCGACCCCTTTTGTCATCAGCTCCATCTCCTCCAAAATTATTTTATCTGTTTTTTCTTCCAATACATTATTCTCAATTATACTTGCCTCTGATACTCTCTCCCTCAATGACTTCTCTTCAATCACCTCTTTTGTCATCAATTCGATCTCCTCCACAATTGTTTTCTTTGCATTTTCTTCTAATACACTCCCAACCTTAATTGCTTCTGATTCTTTCTCCCTCAGTGGCTTCTCTTCAGTCAGAAAGGCAACATCATCATCGACCATCTTAGTCATCAACTCCTCCAAAGTAGAGTGATTCTTAATCTTAGGGGGTGATAGCTGTGGTCGATGAAGTGCAAGGGAGTAATCTATGAGACCCCTATAGTATGGACTACACTCGTGTGGAAGGGAGTTGTTGGCAGGATTGTTCTGAAGCACAGGGCTCCAAGAATCAATAACAAGGGAATAATCTGTAAGACCTTTGTAGTATGGACTATGTCCAGATGGAAGGAGGTTAGAGGTAGAAGAGTGAGGTGCAGGGCAGGAACTAACAGCAAGGGATTGATCTGTGAGACCCTTATAGTATGGACTATTAGAAGACTCGCCATAGATGTCATATGGTTGGAGGTTCACTGATGACAAGGAACGACCATTGCTTTGTTTAGGCCTTCTCACAGTTTTTGAAGATGAAGATTTCGACCGGAAGTTGTGGCGGCGGGACAGGTTTGTATCTGATGCAGATTGCTTGATCGTTGGGCTACGCATTTTCATTGTTGCCACATTTTGCTCACCACTCACCATTACTCACAACTAGTATCTCAACTTCTGACAAATATCTATCTCGGAGCTTCCTAGGATGCGATGATATCCATGGAACAAAACTCCTACATCGTTAAAAACTACGTTATCGTTGTTCTTCTCAGCAAGTCAACTCTGCTGCCCCGGTCCTCATGCCTTCTTATTATTAGCTTAATTGTCTGTGAGTGTCTCTCTCTCTCTCTATATATATATACATGAGAAAAATACTTGAGATAAATTTAACTCCGACCACCCCAAAACTACGTCATTTTGTTTATTTATTTCTTTATATTAATTGATTCACCTTTGAATGGTTATGATTTCTTTTTTCTCTCTTCCTTTATCACCATTGATCCATCTTTGTACGGTTATAATGTAGCCGAAAATAACATTGTCTCAAGCAACTTGAGAAATAATAAGCCATATATATATATATATATATATATATATATATATATATATATATATATAGGGTTTAATATTTCTCATTTAACATGAGAATTGAATTCTCATGTTGTAGAGACAAAAAGCATGTGGGACCCGTATGTTAGAAAAATTATGTGTAGGACCCACGTTGGCACGGAAATCGAAGAGTGTGTAGAAAAATTCAAATTCTCATGTTAAATGAGAATTATAAATCCCATATATATATATATATATATATATACAAAAGCTTAATGAGTTGGGCTTGAATTCTATTTCAATAAAATAAATTTAAATATATTTAATTAATAAAAATGATTTAGGAAGACACAATAAAATCAAATGCAAAAATATATTAAGCAAGTGAGCTAAAGATGTAAAATCTCTCATCTTTAGGAGGGATATAAGACCTTAATCTCAAACTTGCGGGATATAAGACCTTAATCTCAAACTTGCTCTGCACTCAGAATTAGTCTCATTATCAATTCAAAAAACCGAAGCTTGTGAAGGTATCCGAAAAAACCTACTCACCTCAAAGACGTAATTAGAGTTGGTATAAAAAAAAAGAAAGATGTAAAATCTCATGTTTAGCATATTCAATAAACTAGCCAAAATTTTCAATTCATTGAATTGTCGCATTCAAGCAACAAGCTTACTCAACTTATTGTCAAACCTAGTCTTAATTTATATCATTGAGCAAAAATTCAACGAAAACCAAAATGAAAAAAAAAGCTAAAAATAACGGGGGCTATCTTTGCTATTACAAATCATAAATATTGATTTGCGAAACAGTGAGACAAAGTTTCATGGATAGAAACTGGTTTTCACATTATACAAACATTTTGAACCAAGTGTTTCAAAGGCCCCTACTTCCAAAAGAATTCATAAATCTCATTCACATCATCCATAATAGATTCACAAAAATGGCATCTTAATCCCTACAGTGAATGTAAAGTTGGAGATTTAGGAATTGAAAGGTCCGTATACCTACAAAATGTTAGGAATCCTTCTCATCTGGGGGATCACGATCAACTAAAGCAAGCTGATCTTCTCCAGTTTCAGATGGGTGCTCTGATGGAGGGGGTTGCTCTTCATTTTCATTGTTCTCAGGATGGAAATTGATGGGGAACTTTGTGACCCTTGGTTTATCAGATAAAATATTCCTTTGAACCCTATCAATTAAAACCTTTGGTGGAGGTTCCTCTCTCAGCTGCTCATCATCATAATCATTGTTCACATAATAGCCAACACGAATAAATTCCTGACCAAGATAAGAGCAGGTCAACAGAAGCACTGTGACACCAATTATATCTTCTTCACGAATCTTTGATGGGTCTGGTGGATCTGCCTGCTATCAAAACAGTATTTAAAAGTTTGATTCTAAAAGCAATTGCAAGTCGCAACACAGATTTCAAAGGATTAGTTTTCATAAAGCTTGCCTGTAAAACAAATCGATAGTTTCCAACATTGACAGGACCAACAAGGACACTCTCTAGTAATTGGTCATAGGTCTCATCCTCAGCGGATCCAACATAAATGAGCTTCCATTCCAAATCTGTACCCGCACGACAGCAAGCATTGTCACAACCAAACAAGGAAAAGTAGACTATAGAAGCGAGATTAATCAAGGAGTAAAATTATAATGAAGCTGATAGAAAAATAGGCTTCATTATGACTTTAGGACCCAAACTTGACATGATAATTCAGATCAAGTTGTTTCATGAAATCACTTGATAAAAATTATTTTCCATGTGTTTTCATATATCAACGTATGGAACATTTCAGGAGAAGAAAAATGATGTCCTCTTCTCAAAATTTAGAAAAACCGTTTCCAGAACAAAATGAAGCACTAGAAAGTTAAATGAGAACACATCATTTTACAGAATCATATTTTATGAAACAAATGGAGCCTCCATGAAACTTGCAAAATTGCAATTTTAAGTTTGCACTATTCCAAAAACAAGAATAAACCCCTGCAAATTCAGCACATAGTTATCAATCCTAGGTATTGATGCGTAGCAGCCGATCCCAAAAAAACACTATAGCTATATTGTGGTAGGGGTATAGTCGCTACTGTGAAGTCCACATGACTTGAGTGGGCTTGCTGGAAATACTGGAGCAAGAAAACACTGGAGCCTTGCTGGAAATCTGAACTGAAGAGAGGAGAAAATACTATCAATAGCTGCAACCGAGTCGAATACAGTTGAGCAAACTTTTGGTAGTTAGATTACATGGGGAATGTTCAGGATAACATGGGAAACGCACAGCCTATAATAACAGAGAAAGCCCTCGGTTTAACTTGTTTAAGAGAAAGACAGAGATCCTCCCTTATTGTATTAAACAAAAGATTCATATTTAACTTGTACTAACAAACATGGGGCAAGGATGAAAGGGCGAGATAGAGGGTGGGGTTTGACAGTGCATGCCATGTTTGGTCTGATTGGTTTGGCTAATCACACACAGCTACCAAGTTATTGCAGCAACAAGATCTGTAGACATGGATTGAAAAGAAAAAGCTATCCAATCTACAACAAATTCTTAAGAGAGAGGATGAGGATGGATTTGAACATTAAAGGCAGATGAACAGTTCCCAAAATCAATATCTGGTGTATAAAACTATAAAAATGTTGTAAGGTAGCAAGAGATGACAAAATTTCATTCAGCATCAGCACGTGAAGTGAGTAAAACCTAGGATACAAAACAATGGCGTCCTTGTTATAAATGATAAAAAAAAAAAAACACCAATACTGGCAGAAGCAAATGAAATCAAAGAATTGAAGTTGAAGAAACCCTAAAAGAGGGGAAGAAATACCATCTTTGAGAGCGGTCAAACACTCGTAGGAAATCTCGAACTGAAAAGGGGTAAGAAAGGAAGCAGGGTTGTCGAGGACGGTGACGTTGGTGATGTTCACAGCACTCATCGTTACTCTTCTCGAATCTTCCGAGTTTTCAAAAAGGCAACACAAAGCACAGACAGGTGTTGGCGGGAGTGAGTTTGAAGGGAAGAAATAAAAAAACAACCAAAGTTTAAGAAAGAAAGAAAGAAGGGGCAAAGCTACTTATTACAATTGCTTGCCTTGCACTTGCACAACCTACACTACACGAGAAAACTTCAAAACTGCTAGGGTAAAGCTTCGCTTTAAAACTCTGACTTAAACTTTTTATTTTTATCTTTTATATTGTTTTTCATACATAAAAATTAAAAATTATTACTCTAAACTAAGTTTAATATAAATAATAGAGTTTGATTAAAAACATATTTATTTACTTATGTACAAATAAACAACCAATTCGCTATTCGAAATCTCCTTCACATTTTATACTTCTTACCCTTTATAATGGAAATTTCCTACCCCCTCCCCTAAATTTTACCACAAACAAAACAATAAGAAAGTGAGTTAAGATCTATAAATTAAAAAAACCCTTAAATCCTTCATCAAAAAAAAAAAACCCTTAAATCAATAAATTTTTTCATGCTTATAACTATAAATGAGAAAACAATTAACGTATTTATTTTAATTGCGTATTACTTTCTCCGCATTTATATTTAAAAGGATTATTTTCCTGATATTTAAAATTTAACTTTTTTACCAGTTACACATTTAAATTTAATGAATAAAGAAAACTGAGTTAATAATTTTGTTAAAGAGTTATTTGATAGTATAAGGATGACCCTGTAATAAAATAATATTACCAGCCATATAAAAAAATATTATAAGCATTAAGCAATATATTATAATACTCCTACATTAACATAACCCTAATATGATAATGATTGAATTTAGTTCTTTTAAAATGTGTGATTCATTTTAAAGGAAAATGCGAGACGTAATAACTGTGATAAGAAAATCAATTATTAAGATTATAATAAAATTTATACACGCGTACCGAAATAAGAGGTTGGAGTTTAAATATCATCAACAATTATAATTCATTACTTATGAAAAATCAAATTTGAAATTGTAAATTCAATCCAAATATTAAACTTGAAGTTTATTTTATTTTATTTTTTTGGTAACATCGGTGTTTATTTTCAAAACATTCTATTGTTGAAGCCACTATTTTCAATGTCCCGCCCCCCGGCCACTTATTTGTTATCAACTCCCCGTTGTTCTTTTGGGCTTAATACGTTGAGATATAATTACAAGATTCACCGCCTCTAGTATGGGCAATGATTGTCTCCTTTTATAGGAGAGAAGGAATACTTCCTACACTCACATTAAATTTTGTGTCAAATATTTTTTTATTTTTTATTTTTTAAAAGGAATGGTGGCCCCACATCTTTGTTTGAGTAGGAGATAACTTATTTTTTCCTACAAAATGAGAAAAGTTTTTCTCCTCTAGTATTTGATGTTGTCTTTAATAAATTTTCGGTTTAAATTATCTTATGTTACTTGCGAGAATTCTCTCATGCAAGTGACACATGAAAAGTCGTGTCATTCTTTTTTCTTTTTTTTTGATTTTTTTAAAAATAGTGGGACCCACATAATTTGTTTCTATAACATGAGGTAAGTTATCTCCTACAGTAGGAGATTAATAAATCCCATTTTCTAATTATCAATAAATTATGTTATGGGGAAAGAAAAAGTTAAACACAGATATTATAAAAGCCCGGAAGAAATAATGAACCTCTCATAATTTGTTGGCTCACAGACCCACAAGCCCACACCACAAGAATCTTGCCACCGACGAATATGCAGTCGTCCTCCGGTGACGGACTACGCCAGCACTGATTTAGGTTTGACAAGGGCGTTTAGTGGAAGCTTTTTGGCATTAACCCTCCTCCCCAAGCAAATGAGCTTCTTAAATTGTTTAATATATATTAACTATATACATATTACGTTATATTCTGACACGGAAAGAAACGGTACCCTTCCAGCTATCAGGAAAGTGATTTATCAACATCTAGTTGCTTTGATGTAATGCCATGGAACTGCGAGGCCCTAATAGGTTGTTCCTGAAGCAAAATCATATATCATGAATCTACTTTGCAGCGCAAATTAAAGTGCTAATCAGAACTCACTCACATAAGTGCATACCATATCTTGTACACTATCTTGAAGCTCAAAACACTCATGCACTGTTGGCGTTCTGAAAGTAAGCTGTCCCCCAAACTGCAAAAATAAACCAGAATAAGCTGATTACTACGGATCTAAAATATTAAGCCATACTGCTTCAAAATGTAACATAACCCACTACCAGTCCTTGCATGCTGTGCTGCATCCCATAATATGGACCGCGGTTTGGCACGGAATGCATTTGCCCCTGAAGATTAGGACAAACTATGAGATCCATAAACATCTCTTAAAACAAGAGCTTAGGAAAAAGTACATGCGCTCTACCATCCCCAGATTGGCCTGTTGACTGCTATAATAGCCATCATGCATGATAGATACTGAGTTCAGCTGTGCCTTTAAAAAGTACATAGAACAATTAATTTATACATTACAGTCAATCCTACTATAAGAAAAGTACAGAGAAGACTAGAGAATACGTCTCCAAGCACATTCTGTTGAGCCCCATAATAGCCATCAAGAGTTGAAGCTCTAGAATCCAAGTTCTGTAAGACCAAAGGCAGAAATATCTTATATGCCAAAAGAATATAACAGAAATTAAATAATAATAAGAATAAACATTTAAGAAGCATGGAACTATTAAAAGTACTGTAACTGGATACTTTTATGGACAATGTTGGGCTCAGAAATACCCCATACCACTGTTTGCGTGTCCAGTTGAGAAATATAACAATTATCAAAGTTGTGTGCTCTCGAATTTCTCTGTTCCTGCACATAAAAGACCACCGAAGATGCTATAAATTATAACCAATATAGGAGCTCAGAACTTTGTTCATGAAGGACAAAGGGCAAAAAAAGCAACATGTGACAGACCCCCTTTTGGAAGCCGTCCAGCATCTTGATGTTGATTTTTTCTGGATCAAAGCATTCCTGTAATATACAAAATCTGTTTAAGAATGCCCACCACTTACTACAAGTCAAAACAAGTATTAGCATCGCCACATTATTCGATCATTAACTAACCCTTCTATTACATGACTTCTTTTTCTTTGTAGACTTTGTCCGATGGCAGCCAGAATTCTTCTCTTCAACATCAACAGCCAACTTGTTGGACTCTAAAGTGCTTCTAGTCACACACTGTTTATAGACTTCTTCCAAAGCCTGAGATGCAATACGGTAAGTATCTTCAGATAAAGACCCAATTTCACTTAATCTAATAGCCCGCCTACAAAGATCATTAAAACGTTGCACTCTACTAGCAGTTCTGCTAATTAGGTCACCAGAAAATTGATTGGCCTTTGCATCTTTTGTCCATCGTTTTAAAATATAATTTGATGGAATGTTGGTTATACCAGACATCTGAATGACAAGAATTGCATGTCTACACAGAAAACCTTTGTATTGAAATAAATGACATGAACAAAAGACATCCAAATCTGCTCCATTCCAAGAAACAGTAAATTTCTTCCGCTCCTCAAAATCATCAACAAGAAATGTTACATTTGACCTGTTTTCTGTTTTCTTCTGCAGATGACAAGACACCATTCCCAATATCTCCAACTGAATTTTTCTAAATATGGCATCTGTATAAATTGTTGATAGCTGCTTCTCAAAAGGTGATAGAGATCTTAATGCAGGTTGCTTTTGTCTTGTTTCAAAGTCAGCTTTGGCTTCCAGGTCAAAACTGTTTGTAGAGAAAACTTTATACCGTTCAATAAACTCTTTAAAGGTAGAATCGGCACAAATATAGCTGTCAAAGGAAGATGCTGCACTTTCAGACCTTACAGTTGTTGACAGTCCAGCCAGACAAACATCCCGCATGTATGTGAGCACCCACTTTTTACGATCTTCATACAATGATTTAACCCATTCATTGTCCTTTAGTTCAAATCTATTGATCAGTTTCCACCATCTCTTTTCAAACTGCTCATCCGAACAGGAATGATGAATGCATTTGTCAAATTTTTCCATAAAATTATTATTTTGATTTATGATATAACCCAAATTCTTGGTGATTTTATGTACAATATGCCATAGACAGAAACAATGATGTGTATCCGGAAACACTTCTACAACTGCTTCTTTCAAGAATTTCTCATGGTCGGTGATAATCACCTTTGGAGATAGGCTACTCATTGCTTTTAGCCATGTTCGCATTAACCATATAAAAGCTGAAACAGTCTCCTCCCCAACCAGTGCACATCCAAGTAAAGTGTACTGGAAGTGATGGTTGACTCCCACAATAGGAACAAAAGGAATTTTATACTTGTTTTTCATGTAAAAAGTGTCAATCAAAACAACATCATGGAAGTTTTGATAATCAAGTCTTCCCTTTGAGTCAACCCAAAATACATTTCTCAAATGTCTATTCTGATCCAGGTCTATTGCATAAAAGAAGTTTGGATTCTCACCCTGCATAGACACAAAGTATTCAATCATCACCTGAATATCTCCCTCATCTAGAGCCAATTGCATACCCTTCTTCTGACAAGCTACATTACTTGTAAGTTTGTTCCGCCCCCTGAAAAAATCATCTGGGCAGATCTCATGATTATGCTCTTTTACAAAATTGTATATGACCCAGTTACCGTCTAGCTTCTTCTTCATATGCATGCCAGCCTTACAGTCTGTCTTTATACACGGTCGTGGACTAACAGTTGTACTGGACTCCCGCTTACTTCCAAATCTGGAACAAGCAATTTTAATATCAATAAATTTACCACACTTTTTTGAGCGTCTACTGGCTTTTATTGTTATGCCAAATCCCACTGAGCGAGCATATTCTCTGTAGAAAGAATACGCAGCCTCCTTTGATTCAAATTCCAAGCCATTCTGTGGCTCTTCAAAGGGATTTTTATCAATAGCATCCACCTGATTGGAATTCAAATCCACCTGTTCCTGGCAACAGAAAGCATTTTCACTTAAAACTTCCTCATAGTGTTCAGTCATTGGAGAAGGATTAATTCTTTGCTCCTCAACATGTATATTACATGCAGTATCGGCAACATCATTTCCATTAGATCCAATATCAAGCTTCTCATGCTCATATATAGGCAGCTCAAGATCAATCTCCATGGTTGACATGGACCATTATCTAATGGAGAAACCATTTCTATCACAATATCTGAAAAGAAGAGTATAAGAAAAAGCAACTACAACATTATTAACACAAGATGCAAGTATAATCCAATGTTTAATAACAGCATAAAACATATGCAATGATCATATATACGGCACAATAATGAAGAACATTGGATGAAGAAGATAGAAGCATAGAACGCTTGAATATCATAGATACAAGAGGAAATGATAGTAATCCTTGTTATATTAAACTACACAACATTGGTGCTATTATATAGCAAACCAATTGAAGAATACAAAGAGACACACTCAATGTGGGACTTCTACACTATCAACACTAACACTCTTAACAGCTTCAGGATTTGAACAATTTCTCAAGGTAATAGATTAAAGATTCTATAGTGAACAAATATATTATAAAGTAGATAATAGCTATAAATTCCGTGTTGGATTATTATTGGTTTTCACTATTCATTCTATAATAGTCATAAATTGAATTTGACAAAATAAAACATATATCTTACTTTTTTATTCTAAAAAAATGATAGCCTGGTGGCTGGTGCTATAAAGCTCCTGTTACGCATAGGGTCCAGGAAAGGGTCTATATTAAGCAGTTTTACCTTGCATTTTAACGAGGCTGACAACATGAATCGAAACTGTGACCTTCAAGTGTAGTTGAAATTATATATATGAAAATATATATTTCAAAGTTCATTTGAGCTTTTGTTTAGAGTTTCATTTAAGCTCAGTTTCATTTATATAGGCTGAGGATAGCAATTGAGCAAAACCAAGTATCTTATATTAAATGAACTGAGCACAAGAACGAGCACAAGTTTAGTCTCGGTTAATAAACAAGCCAAGCCTGAGGCTGCTAGTGTTCCCCTGCGCTATACAACTTGGACCCAGCAGTGAATAACTACCACGTAGTGTGATTTGAGTGAACGGGGCATCTTCTATGCATATTTGCTCATTTCTCTCACTTCTTCTTCCAACATGCGACGCACAACCCTCTCACACCTCATCAATCTCACTATGCTTAAAAAGCATTTTCTTGATTCTATTCATATATGCTTCCATACTCACTTTTCAAAAGCAAAAATGTTTCTAATATGGTTATGGAAAATACTGTACATGATATGATCTAAGGCCATAAATATACAGAGTAACTAATTTGGCTTGGCCTCCAACTCTCTGGCATTCTTTCTTGAATAACTTGAAAACCTAATAAAGAATCGCTGAATCATTCCATGAGCTTAAGCTCTTCCGATTATTACATGAAATTCCATGAGGCTGGAATTGTTAACACTGGCACCATGCCATTGTCAAGTGGATCAGCTAAAATTTAATAAACTCTCATCTCAACATCAAGGAAACCATTACTCAAAATTCAAGTTCAACTATAATAATAAAGCACATGAATAGGAAAACAGGAACCGCGAAATTATGAATTTTCCTCCGGAAATGAAGTAAACTAATCGTAATAAAAAGAAGAGAACAGCGATAAATCGAAAGGAAAAGTGAAGTAACTACCGAAATGGAATGGTTGACGAAACCACCATTGTTGAAAGATAGCATAGAAAGGGGAAGCGCGCAAAACCCAAGATGCTCCTCCGCGGATGAAGTTTTGATCTTCCACCAAACGACGAAGTTTGATATAAAAATTTTCGAAAAATTCTTTTTTTTTTAATAGGTGAAAAATTTACTTCAAAGTAAGTTTTGTAACCAAAGTGTAGAAATAAAAATTTATTTATTGCTAATTTAATTTATAATACGTATATAATTTTTTATTTATTAAAATTTAAAGATGAATAAATTCTTATTTATTTTATCCATAATCTTTTTCTTAATATGAGAACCGATTTCCCTAAAACCACACGAGATTGCGTTTAAGAGCGGTGGCCCTAAGAAAAACAAAATGTTTTTAACAACAGGTTATAGGATGAATGTTTTTTGAAAGTCTTTTTTTTTTATTTTTTTATTCATAATCCCATCCAAAAGGCTCAAGAAGTGAATGGATGAAATTTATTTTTACTTGAGTAATAATGGGTTAATAGTTGTTTTCCAGTTTCCACCTAAAGAGAACTTGGTGGGTGAAAATTTTGCACTTACAATATTTGTATCGTCTTCTTGGTTCGACCACGTTACCAGAGTTTCATACAAGGAGGAGAGAATAATGGCATAAGGAGTTTAGACTTTTATGCATTTTCTTTTCATTTTCTCCGTAGATCTATGACAATTTATTAGGAGCCCATATTACCACCACGTAAAACATATGAAGTGAATTATAATTATATAATAATAAGTTAAAAAATATTTGAAGACAATTTTTTTTCATTTATGTAATAAATAAAGAGTTTGGTGTTTGTCATTTTAAATGACATAAATTATATCATTTTAAGAGAAAGATAAACACAAGGAATGAAAATCATAGGAGAAAAATTGAATAGTTTTTTTTTTAATTTAAATTTTAAATTAAAAAAATATTTTTTCATGTCCATCTCTCTCTACTTTTCCCATAAATAAAATGACAGATCCAAGCACATAATTACTTTTTACTTAATGATTTCTGAGTTCTAATTATTAATTTGCTTTCAATTATCTTCTAGACTTGCACTCTTACTAGTTTCATCAACGAATACAAGAGAATTAATTGTGCATTTGGAAACTACGATAGTTCAAAATATATTAAAAAAAACTATCATAGGTAAAATCAATATTTCATTTCATACTTAAGAGATACAGGTAGTTAATGTAGTTGTTGCTTTTGCTATAAGGAAGTGTTGCAAACCACATTGTGTGTATGCAACTATAAGCCGAGTGAGAATGAATGTGCAATTTGGTGGTTCTTAAGCATAAGCAGCTTGTAGTGCTCCTTGCCATTGTTTGTTTGAGAATGAGAGCACACAAAACTCAAAATCAAACTCACCATAATAGTTCATCTCATGAGCTCATAAGCCGAAGGTACATCATGTAGTGGATGACCCTTCTGATTTCTTTCCATTATTTTGCGTGCAAGTGATACTTGCTTCCCAACTACAAATATATATGCCTTCCCCTTTCCGCTAGCTCCTCTCGCTGTTCTTCCAACACGACGTACATATTCACTTGGATCACGTGGAAAGTCAAATAGTATCACATGATCCACTCTCGCGAAGTCAATTCCCCGTGATGCTCTGCCATCATTTCATTACTTATCAAACAAGTCAAAAGTAAATAAAAACAACTGAAAGACAAGATTTTGAACCTGAGTTATAGAGATAAATACCTGTCGGTGCAAACCATAAACTGGGAGACTTCTTTTGACGGAGAATGTGTGAACTCTCCCATACTAGCAAGCCGTGATTCTTGTGTCATTGCAGCATGGAAAGGTAGAACTTGAATGCGAGTTCCTTTCTTATCAATACGCTTTAATGAATTTTCAACTTTTCTGCATGTTTCAATCTGCAATTTATTTTTGGAGGGTTATGCCAAAATAAAAAAGAATAAATACTGCAACAGAAAATCAAAATTATAAAAGATAAGTCCCGGAAGAAAGAATTCAAAATACTTTGTTACAGAACACAATAGTTCTCGGGACAGGGCTTTCCTCCATAAGCTGCAGAAGAGCATCTTTTTTGTTCAAAAATGCGGTATCAGGAGTTTTTTCTTGTCCATCTTCTCCACTGCAATCTACTATAATCTGAAAAAAAATGAGAAATAAATCATCGCACCAATGTACGCTGAAACAGACTACTCAAAACAACGGTGCAGAGTTCAGTTATATTGCAAATATTAATTTGGATTATAGCGCGGTCTATACATGATTTTATATTATAACTCTCAAATATTTGGAAGCGTGGATATTGCACAAGTCTATTTTTTAGTTCTATCTTGTGCTTACTTAATTCCATTAGAAAGTGGGGGCAGAGAGGATCGAACTCGTAACCCTGTAGTCATAGACAATATGAAACAACCATCTCACCCAACAGTTTAAGCTTGTAATTAAAAACCCGTAAATGGTTTTACATTATAACTCTAACAATACATGTCATTATATCCAGCATGGCTGGCACACACCAAAAGATCCCAGCACTCTAAGAATATTATAATACTCGTGTGCCATACCAGTTTTATAATTGTTACGAACTTGAGTGCCATACGCAATGGTACAGAACAAAGTATATAAAGCTTGAGAATAAAATACAAAAGGAGTTTTGTTTCTCATATTTAGTCAGCAAATGCAAGGATTGTGTTTTCTCATATTTAGTCAGCAAATTCAGGGAATACGTTTTCTTCTGTCCAAGAAAAATAAAATACAAGGAAAAGGATTTTGCAACTGAAACCTAACCTCTTCAAGGCGAGAGCTTATTCGGTGCATACTAGGTCCCATGATCATTTCACAATCGGGAAAAAGTTCAACAAGTTTGCTGTAAACATTTTTTGGTAAAGTCGCAGTCACAAATAAATATTGTGTGTCGACCGGTGAAGAATTAATCAAGCATTGAAGAGCCCCTTCGAAGTCCTCATCACCAAAGAGTATATCTACCTCATCCAACACGGCACTGCAGCAAATTACTGTTAAGATAAATTCCACAATTGACGTGGATGGATAAACATGGAATGGACAGATATCCATAGTGGTGAAGGAAGGGGCGAAGAAGTCTAGTACTTTTCTATTCATTTAATAGGAAAATGTTATAATATCAAAATAGGAATAAAAAGTCAGACATCCCAATAGGCATATATCCATAGTGGCCAGCATTTATTCCTGATATTATCACAGCGCAGTTTCAACATCAATTTCCACATGTTGGATAATTTCTGCCATAATGACAGCAGATCAATCAGCAAAAGAAATCAATTTTGCTGTGGCCTAATCCTGATCACCAATTTTGTACCACGTGCTAAATGACAAGTTAAAATTTATGTCCTTGACTCCGTGTCATAATATGTGAGTCAAAGATTAACGATATGTTGACTCCAGCTACAAGACCATGCAATTCCAAGGACCAATTTCGCACTAGCTACACTAGCTTTTATTTAACTGTTGTACATTGTGTCAACAAAATCATAACATACTAAAGGAAATTAATTGCATTACTGCTCGTTTAATGATAAAGCTGACGCAACAGAAAATTTATGTGGAAATTTATAAGGGTAATAACTAATAAGTAGTTCAATCTAAAAGAGACCAAGGCTTACCATCTTAGATTTGTTAACTGCAAGAAGCCTTCCTTTATCAGTAACAAAAAACGGCCAGGTGTAGCTATTAAGACATCAACACCCTGCTGTAAATTTTCCAGTTGAGTTTTTTGCTTAAATCCACCTGTGACAACCATAGATTTGAATGGAACCCCAGATTTTGACAATGATCGACAATTATTTAAGACCTGCAAGCAATACATTAACAAACAACAGTTATACCACTCTCCAGGGGATGAAACTGCATTTTCTTAACTTGTACTTGTGCATTCAGATGGTTGACCTACCCCTCTGCATATTCTTAGGTCATCAATTACCATCATTTTTGGGCTTCTGTTTTTAAATAATAAATGCTACAATGGCAAATGATCAAACATACTTTCTTAAAGAAAACTTCTATTTCTTATGTTTGGACAGTAAGGTTACAAAATGTACAATAGTTCTATTTAATATTTATTTTAAAACACACAAAAATTCCAAATCAAAATGGAAATTTCGATTCTTGCAACTGGTTACAATTGGTCCTTTAAGGTAATAAAAATCAGCTGGATACAAGTTATACACTCAGATACAATAAAAGACAACTATATTCATAACGGTAACTAAATAAACAAACAAGAAATATGACGAGGGGTTATTACCCATAAGCCATCACCCTTGCCTCAAACATTTATTCTACATCACCCTTGTCAGGGACCAACTCTTGTAAAAGTTTAAGTTGTTAGGTAAAGGCTCATAAGTCATAACACGCCCCTTCATGCAATAGCTCTTTAACCTTTTAAAGCATAAATAATACATAGACCCCGCTCAACTTTAATTAGAAGAATGAGGACAATAATGATTAAACTCTAAACCTCTTGGTCATAAAGGCTTTGATACTAAGTCAAGGGCAAACTTTTCTAAAAGCTTAAGTTGCTACGTGAAGGTCATAAATGATTTTACACCTCCAGAAACTTAATCAATCATAATCAATCAGGCCTATTAAAGGCAAATTAGCTTCCCACGATTGTTACAGCAATAGTTTTAACTTCCCATCTCAAATTATTTCTCGCTAGTCAAACTCAGTACTTGACGAATTCCCCCTGGGAAACTACTTTTATTAAGTTAAATTTACACTCAAATGCTTTAAGGAACAGCAAGGTATAAGCAAGAGAATATAAAACAGGAACATTTAATGTGAGCCAAAATGCCAGCATCAGTTTCAAAACATAATAATAGCCTATGATGTTATTTATTTATTACATTAAAAAAGTACACGAAACAATCTTTTTGAATTCTCCAGACACATCAAAATATTGGTGACAATATAATCTGATTGTTTCCCATCTCATATTTGAAAAGTATCAAACCCACACCCCACAAAATAAAAAAAAATAAAAAGAAGAAAAGCTCAAGTGATCCCTGCATAAATAGTAAGAGGTAACATCAAAAAACGATCAAGGAGCAAAGCTCTTTCCCTTTTTGTTTTATTTTATGGTTTATTTTCTTGTTTTCCTTTCTATTCTGTTTTTAACGTGATTCTTAATGTATTAAGTAGCCACATTACTAGGATCTGACCTTTTAATGTCTAAAATGGGCTGAGTTTAGATGGGACTAGTATTTTGACTTGGAGCTTCCCTACACTTAAACCATAATTCTGTTAAGAAGTTACTGTTTATGTACTTTCTCTGCATCAGACAAGAAAAAAAATAAAGAAAAGGAAAATGAGATAGATTCCTATTGAGAATACGAGCAGCATTTAACCTGAGAAGCTAACTCAGCTGTCGGTGCCATTATAACCACTCTAGGGGCTTGCGGAGAGGATTTACTAAGTCCTTCTAGTTCTTCTTGTCTAAGACGCTGAACTATTGGTGCAAGATAAGCTAATGTCTTTCCAGAACCGCTTTGATCAGCTACGACACAAGTCTTTCCGCCAACAACAGGTTTAAATGCCATGGCCTACACATAATCAAATTATTCACCATAAAGCACACTTGGAGTATAAAAACTAAAAAAATGGTAACTAATTTTTTTTGACAGGTATACAGTTTACAAACTTATAAATGTATATAATGCATAAAAAATGACCAGAAGCAAACCCAAAAAAGTAAACGTGTTCCAAGCCTATAAACAAGGGGAATTTTGGTCTTGGTAACTTGATCTTGCAAAATAGCACTTACATGCTGCAGGTTCATAAGCCACATAAGTCTGATGTGTGTTGTGTGCAACAGTAGCTCAGAAGCAGTTCCCCATTTATTCTTACATTGTTTTGAAGCTAATTAGTTAAGAATTATTTGTTTGGCAAGAGTGTTGGGTGTGCCCTAGGTCTTTGGAAAAGTTTTTGTTGACTAGCTTTACTGGCTTTGGTAGAATAAAGAAGCCAATTTTTTTGTGGCTATGTGCAATCTATGCTACACTTTGGTACATTTGGTTGGAGCATAATTCACGCATCTTTAAAGATATTTCTATGGATCAACAACTTGTTTGGAATAAGATTAGGGGTTTGTTTGGCTTCCATTTGATGAAAAGCACATGGTCTTTTTAAAGGGGTTTCCCCTACAGGTATGTTGAGGGATTGCAAAACTTTGCTTCACTTATGTTTTTGTTTTTCTCTCCTGGTTGTTTATTCATATATATATTGAGGGTCCGTTATCCTGGTAACTATTTGAATTATCTTCTATTTGTTTTAATGAAAAATTTTCTTGAGTAAACTCCTAGATTGGTCCTCCAAAGTTTACGGTGTCACCATGTTAGTTCTCCAAAGATTTTTTTCACCAGATAAGTCCCTCAAATATCTAAAACATCACCACATTCCTCCTTATGGAGGGCTAAAGTGGTGATACTCAGACAAATTTTGTATCTTTAAGGGACTGATTTAGTGACAAACTTTTGGAAGACTAATGTGGTTATATGCTAATCTTTGGAGGACCAATTTATGGGTTTACTCTATTTTCTTTTATTAAAAATAAAAATAAAAATGATATCTAAGAACATTGCCCTAGCTAGCCAATGGCTATAACAGTTTCCTCTGGCATCAGAAAATTCGGAACAAGTGTGGGATTCAACAGAATGGCCGGGATGCAAGAACTGCAAACAATGCAGCTTACTAAAGTTATTGGCATTTATCTCACTTGGGTATTCATTTTTCCTTCCATCGGTTTCTTTCAGATTAACAGATTTTGAGAGGTTTTATGAATTGGGGTTCATCCTTTATCTATGTCCTACTCTTATCACTGTCTATAAAGGGAATATGACAATAATATGAATGTCCCCGAACAAATATCGAACCAACTTCCAATACAGGAAGAACTACTGTTAGAGAAATCAATGGTTAGCTGAAATGAAAATGGGGTAGCAGAGATAGTTTAGTTGAGCTGTCATGGTATTCCCATCCATTCAGGGGAAAAACATAGTTAAGAAATAGAGTTGATTACCTGTACATGGGAAGGGCGCGTAAGAGATTGTTTTTTAAGGGATTGGATGATATAGTCACTGTAGCCTATATCTTTGAATGACTTGAGACTGAAAAAGTTGTTGTCAGGCAATTGTTTTCTCTGTTCCTTCTTCTGCGTTTGAGGCTTAGGAGGACTATACCCCCATCCACTTGAATGAGAGGGAGAACGTCTTGCACCTGAACCTGAACCTGAACTCGCTTTATTGGTAACATCAGGGTTTTCATCTTCAATATCAATACGTTTGGAAAATGGTGCACGTTTTACAACTAGGTTATCATCAACACTGCGTTTTTGCTCCTTGGCTCGGTGGATAAGAGCTTTCACTCGCTGAGCTTTTAATCTTCCAAAATTCGATGATAGTTTTGAGGGAGAGTTTGATGAAGAATCATTATCAAGAGTAGAGTGAAGATTGCCACCGTTATTGGACGTTGTTGTGTGTTCATTGGCGGAGGCGCTTAAAGAGAAAGAGGAAGAGGAAGAGGAAGAGAGTATGTGTGTGGGACTGGGTGTGAGTGTGAGAGAATAGCCATGCCCATAGCCACCTCTGAGACCATTGGATTTGAGTTTAAGGACCAACTTTGAAGAAGGAAGAGGAACTTGCCCAACCACCATTGCCCTTTGTTACTTGTTGTTTCTCTTCTCTTTCTTTCTTCTATCTCTGTGTCTCTCTGTGTGTTTGTTACAACTCCCAATTCATGAAGAAGATAAGGAGAGAAGGACTATTCTACACTTTTGAACCAGATTCGGCCCAAATCCACCTCCCAAGCCCAACATTGTTTATTAAATATAACAAAAAATAATATTTTTATATTATTTTCATTTTTACAGATATTTCTACTCATATTCTATATTTTCCCTCTTTTGGCAATGGAAGATGTATTTCCGTTGTACCGGAAATGATCTCTCATAAAATAGAATTATTTAATTTAAAGAGAAAAATAATTAATTAGAAAGAAAATTATTTAATTTCAGCTAATGATCAAATTTGTCCTTCTCAAATCTCAACCATCCATCTCTCTCCTTAATTTTGTTACATCAATTGCACTTTTGTCTCGTTAATGCTTTAATTTACTTCTTCTTTCGTTTGCTCGAAACAAAAACAATTCAAAATCTATTTAGGACAACGGGTAAGTTTTTAAAACTTTACCTCTTCTTTTCATATTTTTTAATTTTTGTTATCAATAGTTACTGAATAGTCATACGTTAATGCTCATTAATCATCTTTAAATGGTCAACAGTTTGATATTTATCATAAACGACTGCAATTCATTTTTGATTGATCAATAACAGTCTTTGGATGGTCATCGCATGGATATCGTCGATGCTCAAATAATAAACAATAGTCATTAAGTCCCTTTAACGATAAGCATCAACCACGATATGAAAAAGAACATATATTGAAACGAAAAAAATAAATAAATGGAAACATGAATCTTTTTACTACCGAAATTGGCCTCGCGACCTCTATGGAAAAGCAACTTATCAACTATTGCAATGAAGATAGCACTCAACTTTGGTAAGAGCATCTAGTTTAGCAATTAGCGTTAATGAGGGTATCTGGTTTGACAACTGGCATTAGTGAAGGTGTCATCCAGGGAAGAAAGAGCTTGAAGAAAGCAAAGAAGATATAAGGGAAGAGATTGACGTTAAAGATTTCATTAAGATTACCCTCTTCAATTAAAATTTGAATAGTCATTCTTAATAACATTATTTCTTAACAATCCTTACGGTTAATAACATTATTTCTTAACATTCTTTTTGTTTGAGAAGATTATAATTACTATCTCTTTTTCATATTATCTCTTACTATTAAATCTTAATCGTTGATTTCCGTCAATCTAACGATTGTAATTTATTGCATCATACTTAATAATTAATTATTAATAAATTATAACTGTTAGATTGGTGAAAATTAACGGTTAAAATTTGATAGTAAGAAAAAATAATAAAAAGAGGTAGCAAATATAACCTCGCTTCTTTTTTATCCCTTCAAAATAAATATTATTTCTTAACATTCCTTACAGTTAATTTTCCCTTTAATCAATTCAAACAAAACTAAGGACATACCATGCATGAAAAATAAAATGGACACAACGATGAACCAAAATTATCACCTTTAATTTGGCGTACGAATCTCAAATTCAATGTCTGTTGCTTTCCCGATGACCAAACAACAATCCCAAAAAAAAGGCATACATACCTGTCCAAAGGAAGCTAAGATTGCTTAGATAATTGTTGTGGAAAAAGTAGAAAACGGGATGGAAGTGAAACACAGATTTCAAAAGCCAACACATCAAGGACCAGGTCTACTGGTGAGAACAACAGCGCTTATAACACACCGCTTGCAGAAAAGGCCCATGGCGGTAAACAAAAGCAACACAACCGGATGTATACTAGGGCATCGAAGAGAAGCCAGACTGAGAAAAAGCACAAACTTCATCTATAAAAGATAATTAATCTCGAAGAGGTTATAATAGTGCATGTCAGTTATATCATGAATTTTAGCTTCTAGTTTCTTCATTTTTTACAACAACCAAAAAATGGTCATACCAAACCTCTGTAAACTATGAAAACTATTTTTCGCAAGCATACAGAGTAAATATTTAAATATGAATCCTGAATGGACGACATCCCAACTTACACATACACAGGCGCGGCAGAAACTCTGATTTTCAGTTACAAACACTATGCAATCAGTTTGACATATCAATGTCACAAAGTCACAAAAAAACAGGTAGCTGAGCATCTAAGTCTCCTTAAAGCATTCAGCAAATCCAGATTCAGTCAAAAACTTTATTAAATAATCATATGCTGAAACTAGGATTAGCACTTTGCATTTGGCGTTGAAGTTCTCCCAGGAAGTCCAGCTGTGACACAGAAGATGAAGCACTTGCAGCTGGGGACATAATCTGAAAGAAAATATAGTATCAAAATATCACATGAGAAGGTAAGAGGGAGGGGAATGAGTTTAATACCAAGCTTACCTGATGAGGGAGTCTAAACTGAGTCCATACTGATGTTCCACCGGAATACATAACTGGCTTTTCTGAAATGTGACAGCAGTAAAAAAAGAAAATTAAAATGCATGCTCTATGCCAGCAGTACAGAACACAACATGCCCATACTACACAGTTCACATGCAGCACATAATATATTATCGCTTGCATTTACTTAGGCCAGCCATGATATGAATTCTCCATATGATAGATGCTCACAGAAGTGGGAAAATGGTTATATAATATATCCCAACATCAATTATAAACTAAAAGAGCCAAAACCAAAAGGCTGATTAAAGAATGATGCTTCAATGAAAGAATAATGATATCCATCACTTAATGAGTCCTCAGCTTGAACAACAACAAAACACTTGGACTCAGTGTAATTATAAATCATTAATAAAAGGCAAAATTACTTATACTGCATGTGGTTGAGATGCAGACCCATTGAAAAAAACCATTAAACATTAGTTACTAGTGTATAACGTAAGAACATCTTCTAGTTACTTAATTAAAGTAACCGAAAATCTCATAAGCATCTCAATTGTAAATCAGACCACTCCTGAATACATCTAATAACCAAATTTCCAGTAGGTGATGGTCTTAATCATGGAAGGCCCAAGATTTATCCAATTAGTACCTAAGAACAACTTTAATTAGATGCTTTAAAATCACCATATTAAGCATATTTATTACATGAGCAAGATCTGGGTTTTTTTTAGGTTATTGGATAGAAGAAATTATTAGAAAGGAAGAAAAGTCATCAGGTCAAATAGACTTGGCCAGATCCCAGCTTACATTGGAGCTAAAAGTACTTGTTTCTTTATTCCCATTACAGTTGCAAATTCTCTATAAATACAATTACACCCACAAGAAACTGTCAGCCAAATATGCAAAATAAAAATTTGGTCTATTACAGTAGTTATTCTGAATCATTAGTTTCACTGATGACCTGAATTCAATTCACCAAAAACTTCCAAGGCATACAAAACAAGTTTGAGTTCCATCATCATCAAATACTAGGAACAGAGTAGCAAATATTCATAAAACGGAAAAGCTTGTCATCTTTGATGGTTGCCCACTCACCAGATGAATCTTTGAGATTATTGTAGGAATGTATTGCAGCTGTCCAACCTGGAAACAGAAATACATTGCCAGAGATAACAGGTAATATTAACCAAGGATATGGACATAGCAGATTCATAACAGAAATTGAACAACTCCTGCCCCACCCACCCCTCCACCTTCCTGTCCTTTCTTTTCTTCCTCCCTTTCTCTCTGTAATCCAATAAATTTAAATTCTGTATTGTGGAGAGCTGAATAGTTAAAATACTGAAGACAATAGAACCTTTAATCAAACAAAAAATATGCAACCATGTAAGCAGACAGTTAAAGCAAAACATATATTCATTATAAGCAAAACAATTTCTAACAACGTTGATATTTCTTTGGACTTTGAGTTAGTAATCATCTGTTAAGGAAACTAACTCGATGGGATGCAGACAAACACTTTTGGAATCCAACAAGAATGAGTGAGCATAAACCATATTAGGTCAAACTAAAAGTTGGCCTTAGGCATCCCCTTTCCACCAACAACCTCAAAGAAATTACCATGATCCAACTATTCCAAAAACCTAAACTGTAAGGCGAAGAAATATGAATAATGTTATATTTTATATCTAACAAGCTTCTTCATGCAAGAGCCATTTAGGCTTGAAGCATGGACAACGCATAGGTCCACCTACCTTGCATTGAAATTCAACTTTTTATTAAAAGAACAAGGGCGGCAAAGATCGCACTCTAGACCATTTAGTCATAAAGGCTTTGGTACCAACTCAAATGAAAAAAAAGGGACTGTATATTGTTAGAGAAATATTAAAACCATTATTATAGCCTCACCTAAAGGCTTTTTAACCATTTTGCCCCTAATTAATTATTTAATAACCATTTTGCCCCTGATTGGAAACTATCTACCAATCTGCCCCTCTTTAATCGACTAAGCCAAAAATTTAATCGACTAAATGATCGAATGAAGATTTAGTCGATTAAATCTCCCTATTTAATTGACTAAATCTCCCATACACAAGGTTGTTCTTCTGATAAAGAGGTAGATTTAGTCGATTAAGTTGAAGATTTAATCGACTAAATCTTCATTCGATCATTTAGTCGATTAAATTTTTGGCTTAGTCGATTAAAGAGGGGCAGATTGGTAGATAGTTTCCAATCAGGGGCAAAATGGTTATTAAATAATTAATTAGGGGCAAAATGGTTAAAATGCCTTCACCTAAAAGCTTAAGCTTTTGGGTTGAATTGGTTCTTTTATCAGAGCTCGGTATTACGGATTCGATTCTCACCGCCCCCATTTAATTAATAATTAATTATATTTTGTGGAGTTTCTTAACACAGATAGGTGGGTCTGTTCATTATCCACCTTTCAAGTCCAGTGGGTTCTCGTGTAAGGAGGCGTGTTAGAGATATATAAAATTATTAATGTAGTCTCATCCAACAGCTAAAGCTTTTGAATTGAATTGACGCTTTACATATATCATTTCTGATTAATTAGTGTACATGAGTTCATTCTAATTCGTAGACCTAGCTAAATAATTACTTGCCTAAAATAACAACAGGTGTCATTGTCATTGGTCACGAACTCCAGTGATGCTCTAATAAGAAAACCTAAGGAATTGTAGAAACCATCAAAGTAAAGAATACGCAAATACTAAACATATACAAGTTTTCTCAAGCAAGAGTCAGGGTACTTACGATCAATAAGAAGCTGGGAAGCTGGACTGCAACTACACCCTTCTAAAGCTATGAACCTTGAATAATGATTCTCATTAAGAAGATTACTGCTACCAGCATCTCTGTGATCTGGAACTTGAAAATTTCTTGAAGAAGCAACTTGATTCTTTTCTAAATCATTCCCAACACTGTTTGTTCGATCAAGCCGGTCTACAGAATTTGATAGAAACCAACAGATATTTAAAAAATTAAAAAAAAAAAAAAAAAAAACAGGAACTGGCAACAAATGTGCCGAAAGCTTTGCCATTGCTAGCTGATAATTATGTAAATGAGTAATGTACAGTTGTTCAGTGTGGGGACTTCACTGAGACAAGTACTTTATCTTTCTTTCTTTTTTGTAATATTTTTTCACAATCGGAAATTGTAGAAAAACAGAACATAAGTTTTCTCTATAGTATTTCCATGAAGGTGGCTTCAATTTAAGGGTGTGGGCCACTCACATTGGCCAATCAAATCTCATAATTTAAGGAAATAAAAAAAATAGGATTATCTAAACAAGGAAACAAAATATTTTAAGGTTGACAAGCATATGGGCCTAATCAACCGAAACTAGGAAAATATATATATATATATATAAGGATCAAGTGGAGAGTCACTCATACTAACAATGAATCAGTGAATGAAGATTGTTGAAATTATAGGGATTTAGATAGGGAAGGAAGAAAAAATAGAATAAAGACTGATTAATCTGAAGTTGATATTGATTTGATATGAAGGAAGTGTTATAAAAGACAAAGCAATAATCCTTATTTATACTAATAGTAGACTCCTAATCCTAATCAAATAAGGAAACAAATCATGAAATATAAGGAAATATGAAAACCAATCCTAAGAGATTATTTAAGATACTCTTAACTATTCTAAGATATAATCAATGATATTATGAGATATCCTCTCGATCTTCTAACAAAGATATTATTTTTTAAGGAAATCATAGCTACCGGACATATGATGAGTCTCTAAGGTGAGATGCCTTGGTTAATTTACTCCCCTACAATCCTAATCATTTTTGTTCAGTTCACAGACCAGATTCTTTGGTAATAAGTATTAAAAATTTACCCGCATTGAGTCACAGTTTATTTCTTGCTTGAATTATTGATGATATTTATTACACTTATTTGTTACTCTTAATTAGTAGTTTTAGGATTATTTAGTGTGTAAATAATGGTCTTTTGGGCCGAATTGGCTGTTGGACTGTTAATTGGGTTTAATTCGCTTTTATGCAAAAAGTCCAGATTTACGTTGTTCCAGTATTTTGAGCAGAACTTTTGTTATAGGTATCCGATTAATCTCATTCTTGTACCATTTTGTAGATAATTCAGAGATCTACAAATGTTATGAGACATGAAAGCCAAATTCGGATAAGAAGATGGTCAAAGTTGGAGCCAAAGTCAGACACGAGTTGCTGGAGTTTTAGTTAATTAATTGGGCTTAAGTTTGTAATTGAGAACCCAATATCTATAAGGCCCAAAGCTATTATTTACATTTTGTTTCCTTTTACTTTCAGTTAGACTTGTGGAGCCTCGTAAGGGCGAGATTAGGAACCTTGTAGGGAGTCTTTAGTTTTAGTTTTCAGTTATACGTTTTACTGTTTTTAGGATTGAATACAATTTCGTTTTCTCTCTTCTGTTGTTCTTTATTTCTATTTTCGTTTTCTACTTAGCCATAAAAGGCTAAGCGACCTTTAATAAATCAAAGGATTAAGGATTCCATGGTTGAATCCGGAGGACCTGTGCCTTCTTTGCATTCAATTCGTTTCTCTTTCTTTATCTCGGATTCGAGATGTACAATTGCACTCTAGGGAAGGGATTAAGAGAAGAAGAGGACCTCCATAGTGGATAGACATCATCTCAAGACTCTCTATGAGGAGCCCCAACAGCAGCCTGTGAAGGCAGAGATTCAACTCACTGATGCCATTTACCCTCCTTAAGGAGGATAGAGAGTCTCCTTTTCCTTTTTTCTTTATTTTTTGTTTTTCTTTGCATTTTTTATTTCCACTTTGATTGCAAATAATTGGATTTTCCTTTTTTTCTGATAATTGTTGAGCTTCACATAGAACTTGGACATGTTGCTTTTGATGGATCATTCTGATTGTGCTGAGTTCTTGATTCTTAGATTATCTGACTTGGTAGTTGAATTCATGATGCTGATTGCATGAATTGGTTTAACCCTTGTGAGATTTTAGGCCTGTGTGAATGGATTTCCTTTTTTTCCATTCTTTCTTTCTTGTGTGCTTCTACTCATGATTTTTGTTCTCTAAAACTTACTCTTTTTCTTTTTCAAAATACATTTCTCACTTGCATGCATAAATATGATAGAGACATTCTTTGTTTTATTTTCCCACTTTGGTCAGATAGCCACCACTTGCATTATATTTCCCTTAGTTAGCCCCTTTGTGTCTTTTTATATCATTCTTGTCTTAGCCACATTACAAGCCTAAGTGCAAAACCATTTGATCCTGCACCTTAGAAATTTTTTAAGAATTGATTTCATCTTAGTGTTGTGTTTAAGTGGGGGGTTGCCCAAGACGTGCAACATTTTAAGCGCGGAGGGGGGTTGCCCAAGACGTGCAACATTTTAAACGTGGAGGGGGTATTTTATTTGGCATTGCAAGCGTGGAAGGGGTATTTTATTTGGCATTGCATTGGTTTGGTCATTGTGTTTGCATAAATAGCTAACTGTTGAATCATTATTATAAAAAATAATTGCAGAATATAAAAAAAAATTGTGTTTGGTCATTGTGTTTGCATAAATAGCTAATTGTTGAATCATTTTTTTTAAACCACTCCCCGTTAAACCCGACTAGCGAGTGTGGGGTGGAGAAAATCCTTGTACGCAGCCTTACCCTTGCATAATTACAAAGAGGCTGTTTCTTGGATTCGAACTCATGACCTTTCAGTCATGAAGGAACAGTTTTACCACTGCTCCGGTTCGCCCCCTTTTTAATTGTTGAATCATTATTATAAAAAAAATTGCAGAATATATATATATATATATATATATATATATATATATATAGAAAAGGAAGAAAAATAGAAAAGAAACAAAAAAAAGGAGAAGAGAAAGAAAGAAAAAATGAAAAAAAGAGAAATTAAAGGAAAAACTAAAAAAGAAAATGTCTATTTCAATAACTTTGTGTTATCTTTGTTTTATTTTTGTTTTATCCTCGTTTCTGTTTTGTGTAGTTCTTGACCAATGCTTTTTTAAATTTATTGGGTGTTTAGCCTCTTATTTCCATACTTATCCACCATTCCTTCGCCCTAGCCCCATACAATCTTGAATAATAAGTCCTCTTGATTTGTGCATGCATGTGTTTTGAGCAGTGAAGAAGTAAAAGTTGAGCAAACCTATGGTAGGACAATTTTCTTGAGTGGAATTTGAGTGATACACTTGCTTACCCCATACACTTGAGAGATTGACTGAGAGCATCCCTTGAGAGACCATCTTGCGTGAATAGCATTATCAAATGAGATTACCATGTTTTGTAATTTGAGATGAAGGAATTCTTGTCTTGATTGGTTGATCTTTAGAAGCTTTATGATCCTTGTTCACATTCTGTGTTCTTGGCAATTGTTAGAAAGGATTGGTCTATCCCCTAGTCTTTATTTCTGTTTTGTCAACTTTTTGGTTTGTTTCAAGTTTTAATTTTGCTCAGGAGTGCAAAAGGATAAGTGGGGAGGATTTGATAATTGATATTTATTACACTTATTTGTTACTCTTGATTAGTAATTTTAGGATTATTTAATATGTAAATAATGGTCTTTTAAGCCGCATTGGATGTTGGTCTTTTAATTGGTTTTAATTTGTTTTTATGCAAAAAGTCCATATTTATGCTGTTCCAGTATTTTGAGCATAATTTTTGTTCTAGGTATCCGATTAATCCCGTTCTTATCCCATTTTGCAGATAATTCAGAGATCTAAAAATGTTATGAAGATATGAAAGCCAAATTCGGACAAGAAGATGGTCAAAGTGGGAGCCAAAGTCAAACACGAGTTGCTGGAGTTTTAGTTAATTAATCGGAGCCAAAGCGACCTTTAATCAATCCAAAGATTAAGGATTCCATGGTTGAATCTGGAAGACTTGCGCCTCATTTGCATTCAACTCGTTTCTCTTCCCTTATCTCGGATTCAAGATGTGCGATTGCACTCTAGGGAAGGGATTAAACATTTACGTTTATTAACCCAATGATCTTAAGTCGAACGGGTTGATACTCTACGATTGCACGAGTAGACGCGCTGTATTCGATTAAACGTTAGGCGATCATCTAGAGAGGAGTTTCTAAACGAATGAAGGGATTCCGATTCGTATTGTCCAATGATGGATGTTCTTGAGAGAGACGATTCAGGTTGTTTCCTATATTACAAATCCTTATTTTTTTAAACCTGATTAATTTAAGTGAGTTTGACAGCTCACGTCAATTATCCCTAAATCCTATCCAACCCCAAATTCTAATCTCACAACTACAGTTCACAGCACCAAACAGTCACTGATTTAACTCTTAATATCTCTCCTATTGCCTACAAGTTAATCTTGCCTTACTATGACTTCGATCCACAATTTTACAAGCTTAAACTCACCCAAGAAGACCGTATGCTATTAAATCCTAAAGCATCTTTTGTCCTCCATCAGAGACATTAGACTTATTTGACAGAAAGAATCTAGATTCCTCTTCAACTATATAATCAAGGTGGCAAGTTACAGGAGTATGTCATTAGAGTTCACGTGGTCAAGATGCTGATTAAGCAGCAAGTAGCTTTTTTTGGCTAAGTATTCTGAGATTAATTGCTGAACAAAATGATAACAGGTGAAATTTCACATCAGAAACTCCAGTTTGACAAGGGAAAATAAATTTTTTACCTAGATTACATAAACTCCAAAACTCACAAGTTTTTTGTTTTTCAACTCTGGATTGGATTAGGATCTTAATCTTGCATAGCAGTATAGTTGAACATAATTTGATAGTGGAATGGGCAGAAAAGATATCACAGAAAGAGTAAAGAAATTCTAAAATGCTGTTTTACATGGGAATCACTCTGGGAGCGCACCAGTAATGATAAGTTCGTTGAGATTTCTGTGAATTGCTCAGATCTTGTTATGGGTTAAATTCAATGTCTAAACGCGTGGTTTGTCCCGATTTCACTGCCCGACATTGTAGTTAAAACTTTGTCACACTATCTACTGTGATTTGTTCCATTATCATATAACCACCCTATTCTTTATATATATCGCCAAGCTCCTAAAAGCAAAAAATAAAAAATAAAATAAAATAAAATAAAGAATCGTTAAAATGAAAGGTGAATTGATTGGGAGATGGATGAAAAGAATAAGGAGTGAACTGACCAGATGACTTGCGCCTGTTGGTAGAACGGCTCCTGCAAAAAGAAGAATGAGAAAATTGAAAAGGGAAGAAGAAGAAGAAGAAGAAGAAGAAGAGGGTAATAGGCAACAGTGTTGTGTTGGTAAAAGTACCTTTGATTGGGAGGAGCATAGCGCTTCACCACTGTGGCCGATTCCGTTGCTGGAGCTGACTGAATGTTTTCTAGCATCTCTCTCTAACTACTACTACTTCTTCTTCTTCTTCTCCTTCTTAGAGAGAGAGAGAGAGAGAGAGAGAGGAATCACGAGTTGCAACAACTCGGTTTCCTTTGACCATAGATTTAACATTAATTAACTAAGCGAGGACTGGATCGGATCGGGTCGGTCCGGATGAAGCGGGTACTCTTCTGTGCAATAAATTAGCGTCACAAAACAAACATGTATCACACCTCTCACTCTATTTATTCTGTTTTTAATTACTTGTTACATAAATTAATACCCTAACCCGCATCCCATCAAATATGAGTTATAATAAACTAGGGCACCATCAAACGTGTTGGAACTTTTTTATAAATTAAATTATTTCATTTATAATAGTAATTTTGACTTTATAATTATTTATAAAAAAAATATTTATTATTGTAAATGACATAACTCTTTCTAAGATTCATATTTTTTTTTTTTTTGTACATTTTCTCTTCCTCGTGATCTATTTTTTTTATGACACAACTTTACATAAATGATACATATTTTTTCCTTATTTACATGTTTTTCCCATTTACTAATATTATTTGATACGGCAAAGGAGAGAAAAAAAAATTAGCGCGCAGAGAGAGAGAGAGAGAGAGGGAGGGAGGGTGTGGAAAGGTGAAGGAAGCGTAGCGGTGAGGGTGATACTGATGAGAGAGATGGAAGGGAGAGAGTCAGGGTCAGGGTCAGAGTCAGGTGCAATCGCTTCAACTGCAACTGCAGCTGCAACGCGGCCATCTCTAAAATCGAATTCTCAATTCAACAAATACCAATTCTGGAAACAAAAGGTTTATCCCTATCCCTATCCCTATTTAACCCTTGTTTGATTTTTATCGTACAAATCAAATCATGATTATTGAAGTAGAAACATTGATAACGTACATGTGATTCGCAGTTGAGGGAGAATTGTTTCAAAAGGGTGCGAGACGACAGAAACCGCTTGCTCTGGAAAGTAAGGTCTCAATCATCTAACCAACACCAGGTTCTCTCTCTCTCTCTCTCATTTTTTCGAAATTCAATTCTACTTGTATGCTATATGCATTTAGGAACATTTGGATAACTTTTTCCTTGGTTGCAGGATATTGTCACAACTGCTTTCCAGGATATTGTATCCGATGAACTCAACAAAATCAAACACTCATCGATTCATAACATTCCAATTTCTGATTCTGAGATGGATGATCTATTATGGGACTATCAGGGTCTCCATACTAGTTACCAGGGTGAATGCCAAGAGATACTCTTAGAAATGCAAAGGATATTTTATGAAAATCTCAAATCCGAACCACCCATTGAAGGTCTAACTTTATAATATCACCTTCTTCTCATTTAACATGCTACATTGCATTATTAAAGAACGAAACTTTCTCTCTAACATTATTATTTCTGTAGTGAACAGTGAAACAAGAACAAAATGACGAGTGTTCTGTTGAACATTTGGGTAGTTCTAGATTATGCCAGAAGATGAGATGGAAATAAAAGAATCATCAAAGCTATTAGGAAAATCTATAAATGGGCCATGTGGCTGTAGATTTACTTTTCAGTTAAATTTGCTTTAACTCGCACCTGCTTTTAATATGGAGATTTTACTTGATCTCCCTGCAGATTTAGAAAACGAAATTGAAACATGGGAAGATGAAGTGGATGAGTACTTGGCTCGTGCAGTTTATGAGCACATGCAGCTAAATGCAGATAAGGTATGCAAATTCAAAACATGACCATTTTCCCAAAGTATATTCTAACTAGATATTGTCAGCTCCCAAAAACAGCAGCCTTAGGTTTTAGTTCTGCATTTACTTGGAATGAAGTCTCTGATTTAATTATGGGAATTGATAATAGGGGCATAGAGAAGAGATTTGGTGTCCTATTTGTAAGCAAGGAGAGCTTAAAGACAGTCACAATGTTATACACTGCACTCGTTGTGATCTTAAACTAAACAAAGCCAATGAGGTACTTACATTTCCTCTCTTTGTCATAACCCTTGATTTTCTTCTACTAAACCATTTTTTACCAGCTTAAAGAGAATAAAAACATGGTTTTTTTTATTTATTTTTGAACTTGTTTAAACATCAAGTCAAGTGGCACTGAGGCTATAGATTTGTGTAGCCTAGCTCTCTATTAGCTATTCAATCTATTGCTATGGACTATACTAGTTTATTTTAGTCTCTGTAGATTTGGAGATTTGGTTTTTTTCTTATATGGGAAAGTGGGGGTTCAAACTTGGGGCCTCCAACGATATAATGACAATTCAGTTCCTCCAGATAGGTCACTGGGTAATTGCTCTTGTTTGTTCTGCATTCCTGGATGCGTTTTCTTTTCTATTTGACAAGGATATTTTATTATTAAATAGGAATTTGTCTTTCAATAATTTTTACAAATTTAAATGACATAATAAACCTGGCATATGTACTAATGTTGATGTATCGTGCATCGTTTTTAACTACTAGCCATAATCTTATTCTTCTGAGATTTCAGCTTACTTTGGACTTTTTGCGGGACCGGCTGGCTGAAGTTCATACAGAGCATCTTGACAGGGGCTGCAGATTGAAACCCAGATTTTGTATAAAGACAAATTTTAATTTAACTGCATTATACATTTCATGTGAAGGTTGTGATACATTTGAGGTTGTAATTTAACAATTTCGTTAGTGCTTGTGACATAATTAACAGAGGTTCAACACACGTCAAGATTTTTCCTTATCTTTTTTGTTTTGCTTCATCATTTTGTTTGGTTTCTAATATACATGGGAAAAGGGAATTTGCGTGTAGAAAAAAATGTTGGAACTGTAACCTGAAGAACGCAGAAACGGAAATACCTTGCCTCACATTTTAGAAAAATAAAAAGAATGCAAAACTATAAACTATGTCAAAAAAAACCTATTCATTTTCTCCTGTCAGAAACTGTTTTTAATCGTTTTAAAAGAAATGTTGGCAATACATTCTTTTTAACACTTTTTATTATGAAATAAAACCTTTTCTGAGTTTCAATGAGTAATTTGGACTTCTTTGAGACTCACATGATATTTTGTGAGTCATGATAAAGAATATTAAAAAGAGAATATAAACAAAAAAATGTGTTGTTAAGATGAATTCAATTTATCTTATCTGCTTTGATATATCTTTTGATATAGATCATTCTCTTTAAAAGGAAGCTCCGTCAGGAAGATAAACGCTAGAGCCTACTGTTTTCAACTTTCTTTACGGGTCTCTCGGTCTCTCCTACTCTGTACCTCAAGACTCTTTAAAGTCTCCATTTGCACAATACCTTGCTAATGTGTTCTCCAATGACATCCGTGATTTCCACCCGTAGGCAGCTTCCGATTCCCGGGTGAGGGGCCAAGAGAATTACAATCATTTGTAGTTATGAAAGTTCGGTAGAAAATGCTTAGCTGTATTGAAAAGTTTACATGAAGATTCAAGATTTATGAGTCAAACAATGAATTCAAATGCTTACAACCTTCAAGTGCCTTACAGCTTAAAATGATACACGCAGTAGATACAAGAAGCGAAAATGATACAGGTTATAATTAAACCAACTGCCATTATAATAGTCTAAATTGACCTACAAAACTATTACAATGACCTTTCAGAAACTCAATTAGCAACCAGACAAAATTTTACATTCAGATCTCCCTGAAAACCTTCTCGGCAGCGGCTATGGTCTTTTTGATGTCATCAGAAGTATGTGCCAAGCTGGTAAACCCAGCCTCAAACTGTGAAGGTGCCAAATAGACACCTTCTGCTAACATTCCCCAGTAGAACCTAGCAAACTTGGCCGTATCACTCTTTTTGGCATCTGTAAAATTGTACACAGGTCCTTCTGTGAAGAAAAACCCAAACATCCCACTTATATGCCCACCACATATTGCATGGCCTGCCCTCTTCCCAGCATCAATGATGCCTTGAACAAGCTCACCTGTGATTTTGTCCAAGTATTTGTAAGTTCCTGGCTCCTTAATACGCTTCAGAGTCTGTATGCCAGCAGTCATGGCCAAAGGGTTCCCGCTCAAAGTCCCAGCCTGGTACATAGGCCCAGCTGGCGCCACCATCTCCATAATATCTCTCCTGCCTCCATAAGCGCCTACTGGCAGACCCCCACCAATGATCTTTCCTAGAGTTGTTAAATCAGGAGTAATGCCATAATATTCTTGAGCACCACCATATGACAAACGAAATCCAGTCATGACTTCATCAAAGATGAGAAGGGTGTTGTTCTCCTTGGTGATTCTGCGCAAGAAGCTAAGAAAATCAGCATTAGGAGTAATGAAACCAGAGTTTCCAACAACAGGTTCAAGGATAACTGCTGCTATCTCTCCTTTGTTTGCCTCAAAGAGCTTCTCAACAGCTGAGAAGTCGTTGTAGGGGGCTGTAAGGGTTTCAAAAGTGGCAGCTTTAGGAACCCCAGGGGAATCAGGAAGTCCTAAGGTGGCAACTCCACTTCCTGCCTTAACAAGAAAAGGATCCGCATGGCCATGGTAACAGCCCTCAAACTTGATGAGCTTCTCATTTCCGGTGAACGCACGAGCCAGGCGGAGCACACCCATGCAAGCTTCTGTACCTGAATTAACAAATCGAACCATTTCAATGCTTGGAACCGCAGAGATAACCATCTCCGCTAAAGTGTTTTCCAGCAGACAAGGTGCACCAAAGCTTGTTCCTTTTTTCATTGTTTCAGCCAGAGCAGCAAGCACCTGCAATTCAAATTAGAAACATAACCTTTTGCAACAAAGTAAAAACTAGCCATGCTAATATCTCAGCAACCCCAAAAGGGGCTAAGAATTGAATGGATCGTCTTCCATTACCAGGAACATATTGAGCAAAATACTTTGACAAATAAAAGGAGTTCTATGGGATCCCCAACCAGTCACCAACCACAACCCCAGCAATAAAAGCTTAAAAACCCAAAGCCATAGATATCTAGGTTGCTAAAAAACTCGTAATTAACATAACAACACAGTATCATCATATAAAAAATGATATGAATACAAGAGCGCCTCTAAGAAAGAAGACAACAAGTAGAAAATATGAAGCGGAATGGGATTTAGAACAGTGGAAACCTGATCATCAGCATGACCAATAATTGCAGGACCCCAAGAACCGACATAATCAATGTACTCATTGCCATCAATATCCCACATACGAGATCCCTTCACTGAATCAATCAAAATTGGTTGACCACCCACAGATTTAAAGGCACGAACAGGGGAGTTGACACCTCCAGGCATCAATTCCTAACAACAACATAACATAAACATTCATCACTACAAATCAAATGAGCAATTTGAGAAAGAAAGAAGAAAAGAAAAAGAAAAAAGAGAGAGTGAAAAAGTACCTTAGCAGCAGCGAAAGCTTCTTCAGACTTGCGAAGAGTGAGATTCTTCTTGGTCTTCTCGTCGATGGAAACGGCCATTACGAAGGAAGGAGTTCGAGTTGAAGTCCGAAGAGGCAGAGTTGAACCGGCAAAGCCTAGTGCAAGCCCTGCACCACTGACGCCGGCAACACCCATTTTCTTCTTCTTCTTCTTCTTTTTTTTAATGTGAATTCGATTTGGAAGATGAGATATTAACTAAGATGATAAGATTGCCAAACTCTCCTCTGAGTCCTCTCCTCTCTCCGGCTGCTGTAAATTGGATAGGATCTGTTAGACTTGTGCAAGAGCGAATTATAATTTTCACCTCCATTTAAAAAATAAAAATTTATACTTATTTAATACTTAAAATATTATTATTTTATTATTTAAAATTATTATAAATAATAATTTATTTATTTTATTTAAAATAAATAAAATGATATAGACCAACATGTATGCTTGTCAGCCTGGTATGTAAAAAATACATATATAATTTGCTTTCTAAATAATTTTTTTTGAAGACTAAGTTTGTTCTATTTTTGCTTTTATTTTTTGAAGTTAATTCAACCTTAATTACTTTTTTAAGACTAGTTAGTTTTATCCGATATTTTCATAAGTTTCGATTCTTTGAACCGATTATAGGACTAACTTGGAGTGCGGGTCGAGTAAGAGATTAAGATACTTGAACATCTTTCAAACGTGGTATACGAAGATTAAAAAGAAATTTCTTTTTTCACTTCCTCAATTCCCTTACTACTATTTAATTAAACTTATTCTATTTAATCATATGTAAATGAAGTCATACATCCTTATTAGACCGAATAATCCATTTGCATCATCTCTCAGCTCACTTGTAATTGTAAATAACTTAACCCATTTCCTCCTCCTTAAATTCTAATCTTTTGCGAAATCATATTGATATTCTTACATCACCGCTTCTTCTTTTTCTTTTTTTTTTCACAATCTTTGTCAAACACGTTTTCACTTTAGCAATACCACACAGTTAGGTTTAGAAAAAAAAATTAGGTCCTCCCTCGTATAAATTTTGGTTTTTGTAATTATTGTTTTAATTATCAATACTTATAATTTCATTTATTTAAGTTAAGTTTCTTCGTATAAAACGAGAATTAATACTAAAATGACTAAAAATAAAATAAGATTCTTTTTTTTTTGGATACAAAATAAAATAAGATTCTATATATTAATTCTAAATATGAAATAAAATTAAAGGATTGTTTTTTATAAAAATATATATATATATATATATATATATATATATATCCCAAACTCAAATTATAAATGGTATAACACTTTCGATAAACCTATTTGCCTAACATGGCTTTTGGAGTGATTTAGTGCTAAACTATCCAAGAAGTAAACACTTCGACTGCATCAGAGATGCAATTCCCGTATTTTTGCAATATAATAATCATGTAGTTCTGTTCTGGAAATATAATAACCATGAATAATATGCACGAAGTCTTTTCAAAATATGCAAGAAATCTATTTACCAAAAGTAAAAATTGAATACATACAAAATAAAAAAAGTGTCCCAAAAAGTGATAAATTTTATACATAAGTGAATGTTTTAACATTACTTACTGAAGGGTGTTGTCATTCACTGTTATAAAAAACTCGACCAGAAATGTAGAAATATAAGTTTTTATGTTTTTATTAAGGGAATAAAACTTCTGCCGTTGCAGAATAACTTTTATTCTTGCAGCAGAGGCTAGAGCTCAGCATTTTGTTTTATCTTATCTATTTTACTTTTCTCTCTTTTTCATTGATGGATCTATGAGAAGAATAAAAGTTCTTCTGCAATAGCAGAAGGTTTATTCCCTTTTATTAAAATCATATGTATCAAAATATAAGTAAAAACCTATCTCAATAAAAATAGATAAAAACTCCGCATAAAAATATAAAAACAATAGAAATACAAGTTTTTATATTTTTTCTTGTACCCAAAAATAGAAAAGTGATTTGGTGGAAGATGCAAATATGAAGATGCAACAGGTGGTAATAACAACTTGAAGGTATTTAACAAAAAAAAAAACTTGAAGATTAATTTTTCTAAAATAAATAAACAATAAAAACCTAAAGTAGCTTAGCCAATATTTTCTTAAATAATCAGCGCCAAACAATAATTTTTTTTTTGGTAACAATTTTTTTTTATTTTTAATACTAGAGGCCGTTGCAATAATGTTCAAAAAATAACATTTCTTTTGAGAAATGATACTAGCATAGAGACCCCCTCACAAAATCTTTTTTTTTTTGAAAAGAAGGAAATAAAGACAAAGCAAACTACAAAGATTTAGTTAAACGAGACCAAGCAACACTCCTAAAATTATTCCCCAAGACTAGAGGTGCTAAACGATCCTGGGGCCTCTGGCTCGGCTCGTGAAGGCCTGAGCTTACATATCTAAAATTGATAGTTGAAATCAGGTTTGGACTTGTATAAAAGTTCGTTTAATAAAAAAGTCTCAGGCTCCAATTCAAAAGCTCGGCCTTAGAGCATCTTAGGCTGACCTAATATATTAATTTTTATTTTTATTTTATATTTTTTATGCTACTTGTGATAGCCTCTCTCTCTCTCCTCAATCTATTTCATAGTATTATACAGTACATTACCAAATACTAGATTATATTATCTTATACACTATATTATCTTATACAATACCGTGACAAACGCTAGATAATATTAAAATTCAATCAGGTCTTATACACTCAGGTCTTAAACTATCAGGTCTTATCCTATACTATGCACCAAACATACTCTAAGTTAAAATAAATGCTTTGTTCATTAAATTTACTAAAATTTAAAAATAAATTTAACAGTAGCAAATTTATTTTAAGAAAAAAGTTTTTTTTTTCTTAATCACAAAAACACCTTTTTACCCAAAACTAATTTTTTTTCAAAACCTAGCTATTTTACGAAATATTCCTCTATTTTTACTTCTTGAACAAGTACAAGCATCATAATAGAAAAAAGAAATATGACAAACTAGGAAATTAAACTTCAAATGTCAAAATAACATTCGCCAACGCTAAATAGAACTTTCTCTATTAAAAAACCTATAACTAGGACAAACCATTTGTCCACCCATTTTCTCAATGTCAAACCCCCTTCTTCTATCTCTTTTCACAAGACTGAAGTTGTTCAGTACAGAGTCTGACCATGACATCAGTCTAAACTTTCATCCTTTACAAAATATTACGCAATAAGAGATTATTCAAAAGTTATACATAAACTTAACATTTGTTCCCAAATTTTCTGCCACAAAATTGCAAGCTTTAGTTTTCTTCAAACAAAACTATAAAGAACTCCCCGATCAAGTAATTTAGTTACAAAACAATATTTTAAGAAGATTTCAAACCGCTAAAGATAGACTAAGGTATGAACCTTTCTATTCTATGATTCTATCACCATCTAAACACAATTTCTTTTCCTTTTTTTCCTTTCTGGTTTTGACTAGGAGCACAAAGAAATCAATTATACAAAAGTATCAAAAAATAAGCCAGTTTCTAAAGAAATATCATGGACAATAATATACATGCGTTCTACAAAAGAATATATCTAACCCAATCACTCTACGTTTCGGGTGGTTTCGGTTTCATCCCTCCCCTAATTTTCTTATCTATTTTCCTTCTTGTCCCGACCACTTAAACCTTCAGAATCTTTGCACTACCATCAGTGAACTTTGAATCACCCAAATCTGGGAACAAAAGAGAATTTATACGGTACCACCACAAGTATACACCTGATCTTCCACACTCCATGAACCATAATTACAAAGAATACATTTCTTTCACATAAGACGAAAATGAAGAAATCGCATAAATTGGTTGCTTTTTCCATCATAGGATCCCAAGATGCCACCAGAATAGAGGGCAGCAGTTTCTCCAAACAGCTACTATACAAACACCAATCATTCTTCATTTTTTACTCCACATAGATATGAATTATTTGGCACGGAATTCATGCCGAAATATGGTGAGGTTTTGAGTAAACTTATCCCTGTTTTTTGAATCTAAGCTTAGCGTAACATCCGCCATAAGTTTATCAAAACATAGAGAGAGCCGCTGATGCTGATCCATCGGCTGCAAAAAGTAACCAACCTGACTTACTCAACATAAACATAGTAGAAAAACACACTACAGTTCCAAACACTCAAATACATGCAAGATATTACAACAACAGTTATAAAAACTGAACCATTATAGGATTCTGTTGAGATATATAGTCCCACATTGATTGGATGGGCAACTAATATGGCCTTTATAAGGCTTTGGGCACTCCCACCCCTTGAGCTAGCTTTTGGGGTGATGTATCCCAAGATTCTTAACATGGTATCAGAGCCTCACCGTCCCCCGCTTTAAAAAGTGAAATTAAAATAAATAAATAAAAGCACAAAAAGGTAAACCAAAAATGGGCCTGTGCAATTTTCACGCTTCTAGCCTAAAGGGCTCTTGCGTGAGGAGGCGTGTTGAGATATATAGTCCCACATTGATTGGATGGGCAACTAATATGGCCTTTATAAGGCTTTGGGCACTCCCACCCCTTGAGCTAGCTTTTGGGGTGATGTATCCCAAGATTCTTAACAGATTCTTAGCATGCTATTGCTACCACTCTGATGATGTCAAATAAAGAATCTGATGTATTGTCATCTGTAATCACGCAAACTGTCAGCCACATGGGAATGGATCATCTCTCTGAGTTTTCCATGTGACAGTATCATGTGAAGTGAGAGATAGATATAATAACTATAGGGTCACACTACTGAAGCCATATATAGAGTTGTTGTATCTATCTCTCTCCTCACATCACCTCTTCATATGAAAAATTCACATGAGAGGATCCACTCCAGCCATATATAGAGTCTTTGCATCTATCTCTCTCCTCACATCACCTCAAACCCTAGTGCACAAGACTCCCCCAACTTTGAGAAAATAGGGGTGAGGATCCATTGTATGTAGCCTTTTCTTTGTATTTTTGCAAAAAGACTATTTCCTAGACTTGAACCCATGACGTTAACGTCACAAAGGAGCAACCTTAAAGGTTCACCTTCATCCCATCAGCCATACATTCTCAATATTTTGCTATATGGTTATACCTGATCTGTAATCTAGATTAATAACCACGATAAAAAATTCTGTAATCCAACTTTGATGTTTCGGTGAGAAGGAAAATACCTGTGACGACAATATTTGAGCTTTCAAATTTGAGAATATCTGCAAGTAAATAATAACTCTTAGTTTGACATGTCAAATAAAATTCAAAGAGTGTG